GCTGGAAAACTCCAGTTAGAAGTGAAGCAACATGTGCCACTTTAAATGTCACACAGCGTGAATCAACTCTGAGATTCCAGGGAATTCTCTGCTGTTGCTTTTTCTTCTCTCCTTGCTTTTTACAACTGCTCATGTGCAATGCAATCTGATCAATGTAACACAAGTCTTTCACGGGAGGTGAATTTGGATATGGAACATATTTTTCCAAGAGTAGTATGTGATACCATTGGTAATGTGTTGATACTGAAAAGATATTAAAATATCTTGGCTTCAGATCTTCTGGGTCATTGAATTTCTGAACTTTTGTCATCTAACTTGGTGTATCCATGCTATATTTGGACTTGCTTTTTTAGACACCTCATCTAGATTTAAAATAAAAAGAGCTTGTGTTGAGTTGATTGCTACACTGCTGTTTTAGCTGAGGTGAATTTGAGTGTGTAATCAGACCTTAGAGTTATAAAAATAAGAACTAGAGGATGCTGAGTTGAGTTGGCTGCTGCCAGTTGTGCTCCCTCCTGCCCATTTCCATGAGCAGCCACCCCACAGCCCTTCCAGTGCCAGGGCAGCTCTGGAGATGCTTTGTTTTCTCCCAGTGCCTGGGGCTGGAGCTAGTGGTGGCCAGGAGCTGCTTCATGGGTAAGGAGGTTTCCTCTTAACCTCCAGTAAGAACCTGGCAGTGGTCCCAGTCACAAACCATTGCATCTGGTGGAGGTTTCCCAGCCACAGCTTCAGGGCTGGAGGAGAAAAGGATCTCTTTGCTTTTGGGTTTAGAAACCAGGCATGGGAACTGTGGTACATCATGTGCTGTTTCAGGTGTTGAGAGGCTGTCCAGGTCTTTCAAAATACCTCCAAGGAGCCTGTCTGTCAGCTCAGTGAAGCAAGGTTTTACCTTTTCCCAGCACCAGACATTTGGGTTTAGCTTTAACTGGTTATGGAGTGTGATACTGAGGTTTGGAGAGGTCTGTCATGCCTTGTTACCTGCTGCTGCAGTGGTTGCTTTCCCTGTGGTTTGCTCTTAACCTGTGGGTTTTCTTCATCCTCTGAGGATTGATGTTACAAGTTTCCATGGCAACTTCCAAGCTCTCAAGTAGGTGCTGTCCATTCAAAACAGAATGCTAATGTGGGGTTTGTAGGACAGTGACAGTCCTGGTGACCCTGGAGGAATGTCCCAGGGAGTGGATTCATTTTTAACTCTAGAATATTTCAGATATTGACTTGCCAGGAGAACTCTCCAGTGCCACTTAATAAAACCTCCATCTGTCTGAGTCTACAGTTCTTCCTGATGATGTTGAACAGAAATCAAGTACCTAGGTTGTATCTTCTTCATCACAATGATTGTCCATTGTCACAAAAAGACAAGTGTGACATGTCTTCTATGGATAAAACCTTGGCCTCACTAAAAAGGAGGCCAGAAAATTATAATACATCTAAAAAAGGCATTATTATTTTTCCCCTCACAATTTCTTTCTTAGCCCCATTTAGAGAATTCAAAAATTCACAGAATTGCAAGTAATTTCTTATTTTTTTTAATTTTTTGTTTACTGTTGTAGGAGCAGAGCCTGGAAGCAGTGCTTGAAATTGCATCAGTTACACAACATGTGCAAGGGGAGGGTTGGGACCTGTGAGATGGGCAAGTAGCCCAGCCTGAGTGGAAGTGATAGTTCTGTGCAGGTCACAGCCTGGCCTCTCTGCCCTTGCTGGTGGCCACTGCTGTCCAAGTCCTTTTTGAAGTCAAGAGGCAGAAGCAGCTTTCATAATAGATAATTCACTTCTGAGTCAGCCAGATAAACATCTCAACCATAACACAGCAGTTCAGGTCAACCTACAGAGTTTCATATCCAGCATTGTGCTTTCCTCCATTTTTTTGTGGTACCTTATATTCTCATTTTTATAAGCAGATACCCGTGTGTGTGCTGCTTAATGAGCTAATGCTCAGTGGAAGTGTCTGTCCTCTCCCAGTCTGCCCAGTTGTGGGTGTGAACCCTGATGGCTCCCTTATTTCATTTGAGGTGAGATGACTCAGCTGAGAAGGGGAACATGGTCCTGTTGGTGCTTGTTTTCTATGCAGAAAATCAGAATTTGTGTATTCCTCCTGCTGTGTGTGGTTTGAGAACATCATCAGCCCTGCTAAAGTATCAGGTGTTCTCCAGATTGCAGCTGCTGCCTTTTGATGAATAAATTTGCTGTGGAGCTCAGGCACTGATTCAGTGCTGAGCATCTGAATAGCAAAGGAAATAAATGGGGGCCAGAGCTGTTCTGCCAGTTGTCTTTGCAGTCAAGGCCCTAAGGAACATAACTGACCCCAGGCTGGGTGTGTCATCCCTCTTCACCAGGGTGAAATGTGTGTATAATGATGAGTGTCTTTGCTTTGACTTATTTAACATTTGTAATAGTGACTTTTTTTTAATATAGTATAAAAATATATATTCGTATATTTATATAGTCATGTATTCTATTTTTACTATATTTTTTTTTTCAAACAAATCTTGCATTTGAGGAGGGAGCTCAGCTTGGCATACAGGAGCATAGGATTCCTCAGAGCATCTCTGGGAAACTGCTGTTTCTCATTCTTGGGGCTATTACAGAGGCACATGGCTAGAACAGAAACCCAGCCATATTAATACTGACTTTCATAGAGGTAAATATAGCAGCTGTGAGGACCTATTTTAAAAGTGCTTCTGCAACAGAATTCCCTCAGTGCTGAGGGAGGGGCGCTGTCCTTTGGTTGATGATCACATTGCTCTGGCTGTGACAGAGGACAGGAGGAATCACTGAGCTGTTGTGTTCATCAGCAGCCATTCCAGCTCACTCTGGTTGGGTTTCTTGTGGGTTTTGAGTCTTTTGTGACATGACAGACCTGTGAAGTATTTATTGTTGATGCTGGCATTCTGCCTGCTCCTTGGCTTGCTTTTCCTTGCCACTGAGACAGGTGGGTCTGGCACATGAAGCTGAAAATAGCGCTACCTTTAAAAGCCAAGAGATCTGAAAATAGCTTAAATATAGTCCCCCTGTAGAGGAAGTTTTATGCTTTGCTTTGGGAAGAATTGGTATGATTATATTCTTGAGGAAGGATCACAAAATGAGAATGCTGCTGATTTACAGCTTCTGTGATTTACCAGCATTGACTAACCAAAAGATACTGCTGCTGCTGGGTAACATCGAATTATCTTAATGATCTGGGCTCTTCAGAGGCTGCATCATAGGGAACAGTATGGCTGAGTGGTGTGTTGAAACATAATGCATCAATTTAAGCCCTAATGCATTTTGAAATGAAAGTATCATCATACACTTGGAGCTGTGCAGCAAGAATACTCCAGTTACAGTACCCAAACTGCTCCTCATGCTTGACTGCTTAATGGAATGTAAACGTTGCAGCCTAATTCTGGATTTTAAGAGGCTGCCTATACAGTACTTACTTTAACAAATAATTTTAGAAAACTTTATAAAAATTGATGTCTATCTATATACTGCAGTGGGATGTGGGAGGCAGTGAAAACACTTCTACAATCTGGAAATGTGCTGTGAGCTTCAGGTTTCCCACTCTGGTGTGGTTCTGACTCCAGAAGTTGGGTCTAAAAGCCTGCCTGGCTGGGTCTCTTCCTCTCTTACTGAAAAAAAACAGTCAAGAAGATGATGAATACTCGGGTCCTTTGGTTAAATTCCAGATCTTGTCCTTGAATTATAGATTTGTCTAATTTAGTAAAGCAGGCTGTAAGCCAGGGAGTGGGTTAGGATGAAATGCTGACCGAGCACAGCGGAGTTCAGGCTGGGATGAGCAAGGAAAAGCTGGGAATGCAGCAGCAGCAGCACGGCTGGTTCTGAAAGTGACACTTGAGAGGCTCTGTCCCTGATGGTGCCTTCATGTGGCACTTCCCAGAGCACGGGGTGTGGAATGAGTGTGTTTGCAGGGCTCAGTGAGGTACCAATGCAAATAACTTCTGGACCACTGAAATGCAGATGAGGCTTCTCCCTGTTCAGCAGAGGGAGATTTTAGCTGAGTTACTGGGAGGCTGAGCAAGCCTGAAATTGGAGTTCAGTCTTATGGCCTCCCATAGGACATTCCAGTGTATTCAATGGCAGCTGCATTTGGTAGTTTTAAGCTTGTTGAAACCACTTAATGAAATAGCCTGCAAGTCGTCTTGAGGTCACTGAAACAGCTGGATGAAGGGCCACTTTTGGAAGGACATCACTTGGTTAATCACTGGAGATTCATCAAGTGATGCATTCCTTTCCAGGAGCACTCCTGGTGCCCACAGGTCTGTGTGAGCTGCTGTAGGGTGCATAAATATGGTCCAACCACATCCTTTGTTGCCAGAACGAGCTCTTTGCCAGCAAGTGTTTTAGGAGCTGGAGTAAGCAGTGCTTTGACTTTATCCATGGTCTTATTAATGTTTTGTTACCTGCGTGTACCTGAGAGCTTCTAAGTGCAGAAACAACCATTTCTTTTACTTTTTTTATCAAGACAAGTGCTTGCTGCAGTGGATTTGTCACCTATTCCCCTGCCAGCTCAGACTTCTTACTGTACAGGACCTTGCTTTGTGTCCCAAGGCAAACAGGCTTTCCACAGATATTTGGGAGTATCTTGGGTGAAAAGAGTGCAGGATGAGACACAGAGCTGTGCTGTGATGTGCTGCTTCGTGTGTCTTCTGTCTTCTCTGCTGCATGGATTGGATGTGGGTAGGAAATGCTGCGTGGTGCAGGCAGAGGAAGAGGAGAGGGAGACTTGAGGGGATGAATGAGTCAACGTCTGCACCCTTTTTGATGTGTCTGCTGACTTGGAGCACAGTCATGGATGGATCCCCTGGTTGCTGATGTCAGATCTGTCAACTGGATTTTGCAACTGCCAATGGGATTAACTCTGTGTATGGAAGTGCCTCTGCTGCAATCCTCCTCAGTCTGGAGGATTGGGATACTGTGCATTTGTATTTGTCATGTTATTTCTGACTGAGTATCATCTGGGGTCATCACTAAAGCCAATCTCTCTCTCTCTCTCTCCTTAGCTGAAACTTGAAGATCGCTCGGTGGTCCCTCGAGATGTGGTCAGACACATGAGCTCCAGTGTAAGTGCTTTTTTTCTTCATCCCTTTTTGATTGTGATACTGCTGCATAGGTTTCTAGGACTGGCCAAATTGCCTGAATGGAGTTGGACAGTAATGCTTTGAGGATGTTCTGGTTTTTTGTGTGTTGGATAGATTTAGGTGCCACCAGTGAAAATGGAATTCTGCTAAGGCTGCTTCTCTGCATTGCATAGCTGCAAAGGTCTCCTGAGCAAGCAATCCTGGGCATGGTCAGGGAAGGAGACAAGAAGCCTGTCTACCCTGCCATTCTTCAAGTTTGACATTAATCCATTTGAGATGTGGGGACTGTGGACCTACTCTCCCAGACCTAACAGGGAGGTTGGAGTGGGGGCAGATCCCAGTTCCACTGTTGCCTTTGCCTCTTTGTGTGCTCTGGTAGAGAATTTGGAGGGAATATTTTCAGACACACCTCTCAATCTACAGTAAGCAGCATCTTTTCCAGCTTCTCCCAGAAATTCCCAACACAGCTGGGTTGACAGAAAGAAGCTGTTTCTTAAACAGCAGCTGATAATTGTTCCCTTTGCTCTTTCTGGATGCTGTTCTATGTCCCAGCCTCTCTGTTCTAGTTGTATGGCACTTGTGCCTATCAGAGATGAGTGGAATTTGGTTTTATGTAGGGAAGACTGGGGAGATTGTTGAGTATTGATGATCAGATGGGATGTGCACTCTTAAGGAGCTCAGCAAGGTTGGCAGTTTCTTGCTGTGGCTCGGAGCTAACCTCTAACCCTGAGCCATATGGCCCTGCCATGTGCTTGCCTCTATCTTCTCTTGACTTGCTTCCAGCAATGTGGCTACCAAGGCTGTGATGAAGGAAGCAGCTGGCCACTAACTGCTGCAGTTGCACCACATGGTGTGTGCAGCCTGGTGCAGGGATAGAGAAAGCTTGTTTGGGTTGTTTTGGGTTTTATTTTTAAATAAAGCCTTTTTTGTCAATTAATAAAAGTAAACCCACTCTCTTTTTCACAGCATATTACAAAGAAAAAAAAAAAGGAATGAGAAGCTTGAATAATAATTTTTAAATTGCTGAAGCAAAGTATTTCCTTAAGAAATTTAATGGTTGTTTGAAATGGGAATTTGAAGTCAACATGTTTTTCTAAAACTGCAGCTTTATGAAAGAGTTCTCATCCAAAACAATGAACAGGTAGAAACTGGAATTATAGACTGTTCACAATGTTGTACCTGGCACAGCTGGAGCTGTCAGAATGTTCTTTTCACTCAGGGGGATGCTTTGAGTCCTGTCTCTCAACTGTTTGTTATCCAGTGCTTCTTAAAGTCATTTTAAGCTTTCAGGACAGCAGGTTGTTCTCCTCTTGGCAAACATGGATGTGCTGCTTTTGTTTGCAATTTCCATTCTCATTTGAGCAGAAATTGGCTCCCCTGGCTTGGTGCACATGCTTTGGTAGATATGTACCCAGCAGTTGTCTTGCACATTCATTTTTGTTGGTTTGCGTGTTTAAATAATGGTATTTGTTTGACCCTTGTGCCCACTAACTTCATTTTTTAAATTGATGGAATGGTGAGATTATAGCTTAATTTCTTCTCTCTATTAAAAAGCATAACAAATCTGAGGATGTCCTCACCCTCAAATGTTTCTAAATGTTAGTGCGGGTGAATTAAACAATAAACCTCCTTTATACCAAAGAAAACCTTCACTTGCTAACAGATATATTCCAAAAATGACAGGAGCATTTAAAATAGAAAACCTGCAAGTGTCAGCCTGCCAAATTCAGGATGTGGGATGGTTGCCCTATGCCAGTTGGCCTGGCAAATGGAGAATGTGGAACTTATTCTGTATTCAACACACTCTCTTAGGGCTTGTTTTTAACCTTGAGCCAGAAGAACTCGAAATCCTCTGTTCCTCAAGAGAGGAGAGCTGACTCAAAATCCATGTGCTTCTCATTGAGCACTGAGTGGGGGAAAAGACTGCTTCAGGGGAAAAGGCATAAAATGGAATCCTTTTCACTGAATGCAGCTGGCCTGAAAGTCTTAATCCAGCTGGATGAGAAGCAGGAGAAGTGGCAGAGGTAATTTTTCCAGATGATATGCTAATTTGGGGAAAAGGTAAGAAGTAGGTCTGTAATCTGTCAGACACCTGGATTTTGTTGTTTCAGAGGATTCTGGGCTATGCTGTCCCTTTTAAACAAAGGAATAAAGGGGATTTAAAGATCCTCTTATTAGAAAAAAAAAATTCCTCTTATTAGAAAAGAGGGGTGCTGAGGGAAAGAGTAGAAGGATGGGAGGTGGAAGATACAGGATTGATGACTGCGTTTCCAGAGCTGCTGCACTTCTGGGTGGGAGTTTGCTGGTCTGCCTCAAAGCCTTGTCTCTGATGGGGAGGGAATCCATTCACTGCTCAAATACTCAGTATCTCCAGTGTGGTGCATGATGTCAGGGTACCTGAAGAAGCAGGAACAAGGTCTAGGGAGTGCACTCAGTTGTGGAGTGAGTGAGGCTTGAACCCATCAGCTCTGCTCACTCAGTTCAGTCACCCCCCTTCTCCAGTTCTGCTGTTGGGATTTTTGTAACAGAGCTGTGAAATGTCAGCTCGTTTCATTTGGCCCCTCCTTTACTGGGATCAGCTAATGAAAGGATGGGGGTGTTTGAGCTGTGCCCAGCTGAGGAGCTGCCCTGGAAGATGAGACAAGTTGGCAATGTCTCTTTCTGGGACTGCACTGCTGAGCACTGCTATAAACTCAGTGATTCAGCAGAACCCCTCAGCCTGCAAATCTGCATCCTCTGTCGCAGGCTAATGTTTCATGTGACAGGGAAATAAGTAAACTCATAATAAAGGAAGGTACAGTGGCAGGTGAGGGAGGAGAACTGTGATTTGACAGCCCTGTAGGTTCTGGGGCTGCTCACAACATTGATCTCTGCTTTCTTAACTACAGACAGGGCTCTGCACTTGCTCAAGCATTTTATAACTGGAAGGAGAAGCAAGCTGATCTAAACCTGTTGCTCTTGGCCATGACTAATAGCACCCAGCTGTGTTAGGTGGGAGGCACCTTTAGGGTGTGCAGGTACCTTCTGCATGAAGAAACTCTCTTAGAGAACAGGCAGAAGGGTGCTGGAGCACATCAGTCACTCCAGTCCTGGTTTTATTGCTTGCTGTACTTTCACCATCCATTAAATGGGTTTTAGACAAGGAGACAATATGATCCACAGAAATCACAGGTGTTGGATTGTATCATGTCTCAGAGCTGCTGTTGTGTTGGCTGCTGATAAAAGGAAAAAAATTAATCTTGAAATGCACAGTGCAGGGCAAGGCATTTGTTTTTGGTGGGTTTTTTGGTTCTGACTAATAAACAGTCTAAAATGCAGGGCCTGAACTGCAAAGCACAGCCAGAGGATGGTGTGGGTATACTTGTTTTAGCTGACTCTGGAGGAGAAGCAGGGCAGGTGGCTGTGCTGTAGCCTGCAGAAGCTGTGGGTTTGTTGAGCAGGTGCCACTTCTGAGCAGGCCTCACTCATCCCACGGCTTGAATCGTGCTGGCAGGAGCTGTTGTGAAGCCAAAGTAGTTCTGGCCAACCCTTTTCAGGTGAGAGAGATGGTACAGCTCTGCTGGGCTCTTTCCTGGCAGCCTGTGCAGGCAACAAGCTTAGCTGCAGTCTGTTGTAATGGAGCTGAAGCTGGGAAAGGCTCCCTTTGCTTCCCAGCCCTTCTGGAAAGGCATGGGAGTGATATGTGGAGCAGCTGGAGGGAGTGAGCCCCTGCTGCTTTGGGGTCTGCCAGCCTGGCTCTCCCAGCCCTCCTGGGCATGCTGGCACAGCTCTGCCTCGGGCAGCCCTCTCTCCTGATCCCACTGCCTTGGGCTGCAGGGCACTGGGCTGGTGTGGGCTGAGGAAGAGCTAGCAGCAGGCAGGTGGAAAGCAAGCCAGCCAAAAAAAGGGCTGAGCAGTCTGTCCAGGAATTACCCTGGACTGTCTTTGCTCCAGCTTTGCCAGTCCTCAAGATGAAACGGAATGAGTTGAGCACCAGCAAACTCTTGAACTCCCACAAGGGCTGCCCAGGGCTCTGAGTGAAAGCCTTGACTAAACATTTCCCGTGGTTGAAAGAACAGAACTGAGCAAACAAATCCACTTCTTGCAGGGCATAAACCCCTTTGAGTGTTGTGCTCAAGTCCTGCTGGAGCAGAGTCCTTGATGTTTGAGATAAGGACAGCTTATACCAGGGCAACTGTCATGCTGGCCCTCAGTCAGCTTTGATAATGGACTTGTGGTCTTTAATAAATAAGACTATCGATTGTCCCAGCTGTCAGGAGGCCAGGGCAGCTGCTGCCTTTGACAGTGTTTGGGTTAGCAGTCCTTCCTTGCAGGTCCCCACCATATGTGTGAGCAACATGCACATTGTGTGCTCCCTGCCAAGCTGCCCCCTGAAGGCTCCTGACAGCATGCCTTCTTTTCTTGGGGACAAAAAAGATTAAAACTTTGTTAAAAAGTGAGGGAGATAATGACAGACCATCTTATAATTAGACCAACTGTGAATTATCGGGCTGCAAACCTTGAAATTTGACCACAGGTGCCAGATTTTTTTTTCAGTAAGACACAAAATAAAGATTATTTATAATGTCCTTCAAAATTGTGAGTTAAAGTCACAACAGCTTTAAAGAATTTCTGTTTTGTTTCTGATCTGCCCCTGCCTTTGCTGACTCAAGGCAGTATTTGCACAGTGGTCCTGTGGAGCTGGGAACCAGGCAGATTTTAAAGCAAGTAAATACTAATCACCTGATACAGCATGGTCTTATTTGACCAGGTGTAGGAGTCTCTGTTTTAGCAGCTATTTCAGATTCTAACTGAAGAAAACACTACAGGTCTGTAATAGTGGTCTCACCTTCTGAGCTCTCATGTTGTATGAAATGCCCCTCCAAAACAAGGACCTGAAGGACAATAAGGGGTTTATTCTTGAAGTTTGTCTCTGAGCTTAGCACTTGTACACAAAACATACATTTGTGTGTAGGACCTTCCCTAGGTAACAAACCTTTTTTCCCTTTTGTGTTTTCAGGACAGTCAGTGTGGAACCGTAATTGACGTCAACATCGAGTGTGCTGTGAAGCTGGTGGGAACCAACTGCATCCTTTACCCTGTCAACAGCAAAGACCTGCAGCATATCTGGGTGAGAACACAGCCAAAATACACGTGGGAGCCAAGGCCTGCTGGTTTGGAGGGATGCTGCTGACTTCAAGTCTCTCTTGAAGGCGAAGCATCCATGTTGTGCAAGATGCATCTGCAGTTTGGTTTTATTTTAAAAACCTCCCTAGCAGAAGATGATGCAGCATCTCCTCATCTCCCCATCTGTTCTGTGTTTCTCATCACATTGCTTTGACCAAATTGTCTTGAAGAGCTAGACTGACATTAAATTATGTGGGAACTCCTGCACTGAGTGTGGAAAGCTGGTGTGGCAACCTGACCAGGGCAGCCCATGGCCCAGAGCTGCTGAGCTGTGACACCGCTGCTGTTTAAACAGGCTACAAAAAAATGCTGAAATGACTCAAGCATGTTTCTGTTGAGCTGGAACAGTCTCAAACATATCTGTTTCTCTCTTTGAGTGGATAGTTGGTTTCCAGGGACCAGGTGGGGTAGGAATTGTTCTTTTTCCTCTGAGATAAAGGTAATTTGGGAGTGAAGAGCAGGGATGTCATAACGCATCCCAAGCCACAGCCTGCAGCAAGATAGTAGGATATGAGCTCCTCTGGGATGAAAAATTAGTCTTAGTGATAAAATTGGCTCCAGCTACAACAATTACTTTTAAAGTTTTGTTTCTTGTTTCCATCACAGCCTTTCATGTATGGTGACTACATAGCCTATGATTGCTGGCTGGGCAAGGTCTATGACTTGAAGAACCAGGTCATCCTCAAGCTCTCCAATGGAGCCAGGTACTTCTCTCCTTCCTGGTTTTCACAATCCTGATCTGTTTTGTAAGAACGAGAAACAGTTTGGGCTTCATTTACATAGTGATAAGTTATCTGCTTGCATGATCTTCAGAAGTAGGGCAAGAGAATACTTCTTTCTCTGAAAACATTGAGATTCATTGACAACCCTCTGGAAAAGCTGCAGTCTGAAAAGTGACGATTTTTTCCAATCCCAGCAGTACAGTGCTCCAGAAATAAAGCACATGGGTCTTTAAACTGTGTTTCTCCTCTGCAAATTAGCTGTTTAAGATGGGTGGTTGTTCCAGACTATTTCTCAGTAGGAGAGCATAACTTCACTGAGATGCAGGGAGAATTCTTACCTTAAAAAAGGGTCTGTGAAATGGTGGAAATTTGCAGGCTAGTGGTTTTTATCAAAGATGAAAAAGCTACCCAAGATAGGACAGCTTTCTTTTTCACTGAATTTTTTATAAATGAAAACACAATCCAAAGCCTAGAGGAAGATATAACCAGAGATATTGAAAGAAATATGGTGTGGAATTTCTGCAAAACCAGCAGAAGGATCTGAATTCTGAATTCTGGCCCATAAAAGCTCAGTGATACACTGCTGGGTGCATGGCCAGACCTGCTCAGGTAGTGTCAGTTCCTTGGGTGCTGTTTGCTTTTGGGGTGGATGGCTCTGGAAATGTGACCATGTGTCTCCTGTGTGTTTCCAGGTGTTCCATGAGCACAGAAGATGGAGCCAAGCTGTATGATGTTTGTCCCCACGTCAGTGACTCGGTGAGATGCTGGCTCTTCTGAGAGTCCTTTTGATCAACTTTGCCTTGGAAACTTTTTGTGCAGGAGGGAGGGAGAAGGCAAAATTCATAGGCATTTATTAATCCTGAGAATTTATCACTTACAGTAACAGTTTAAAGGTGATGTTAGTCCTGAACAGGGTTTGAGGAGGTATTACAATTGATACATCCAACTGGTTTCTTTGTAAGCAACGTGTGTAACACACTGTCCACTGGCTGGTGTCAGGCAGTTCCCTCACTACTCCTATCTGCATGTGCTTCTAAAGGCTCTTACTCAATTACTGCTTTTAAAAACTGTTCCCCTTCTGGAAAAAGGTGTTTTGTTTAACAGGTGTTCTGCTAGAAACAGGTTTTTAGGTCATGTAAGAGAATGTCTCTTGTTACTGCAGTCCATGGTGTTTTTTGAACAGAGACCTGCCACCATACTGGCATTTTCCAAATCATGTGGCAGGGAAGGTTTTGCTTGCTTTTGGCTAAAACAGTTTGCTGTGTGATGGGATCTAACCTCTCTCACCTTCAAAGGCTGATGACAGCTTGCTTGTTCTTCCAAAGGGCCTTGCTGCACTGCTGGCAGCAGTGTTGGGAGATGACAGAGGATGACGTGTGATTCTTAGGACCTAGCAAAGCACTGGGCTCTTATCCTTCCCAGCCTTGAAAGCAAAGGTCCCTTTGATCTAAAACTGCACTTCTGCTAAAACTTGATGCCAGCTTGTTGAAGAGTAAATGGAATATCAGTTCAATAGGATGTGCTGCTGTGGTTTTCTGGCTCTGTACAGAAAAGGAGTGCTCTGTCACTCGATGTTCTCCAATAGCTCAGTCTCTGCTACTTTGGGTTGTTCAGTGTGTTTTCTGCTTGTTTCTAAATGTTGTAGCAACATTTAGCTTCTGGTTACCCAATTTTGAGATGGCTTGTTTTGAGTCAGGCTTGCCTTTAAAGTGTACAAAGTCCTCTGGGGAGTCACAGTTTGGGCTGAATTAGTGTTACTCTTGATCCTGTGCTCAGAATTGCTGTTAGATGGTTACCTTAGATCTTGTCACACTGCTCTTATCCCCTCTGACAAATTACAAGACTCAATGCAGTTTTATGCTCAGTATTTTATCTACCCTAAACTGTTCTGTCTGCCCCCACACTCTGAATCTCAGTATCAGTGGGAAGGAGCTCTAGGAAAGCAATTGTTGTGTTTACTGTCCTGTTTTTGTTTTCAAAGAACTGTCATATTAACTAATCCACCTGCGACAAGAATAATACTTACACATTAAATTTGAGAAGCAGAGGAGTGAAGGCACACATCCTTTGCCTCTTGAATTAGAGCATGGAAAAGAGAGAGATGTCCTTGCCCTGCTGATCTTGGCTACCTTGTTACTGAGAGTGTGGAAATATGCATCTTTTGTCTCTTGCAAGTACTTTTGCAAGTACTTCTCCTGCACCAAGTCCTGGTCCTGTTTGGATGACAGAGCAGGTTGCTATAGGAACTGCTGGTTGCCTTCAGGAGAGGATGAGACACAGGATATGGGCATCTTGCAGACTTTACCTTTGCAGTTAATTTTACTGATCACAAAAGGTGGAAGATAAATGTTGGGATATTAAATCTTAGAGTCCTTTATGCTGTTTTTCTCCCCTCCGTTTCTCCCACAGGGTCTATTCTTTGATGATTCATATGGTTTTTATCCTGGACAAGTCCTCATTGGGCCATCTAAAGTGTTCTCCAGTGTGCAGTGGCTCTCAGGTGTGAAGCCTGTTCTGAGCACAAAGAGCAAGTTCAGAGTGGTGGTGGAAGAGGTAAGGACTGATACCCTGACACATGGCCACCTTCTGCCTTGCATGGTCCCTGGCTGGCTGTTTGGAGCAGAGTCAGCTTGCCATGGTAACCTCCCAAGAGCAAATGTGCTGTGGCTGTGGTGTTCTGAGGTGCCAAATTCCTCACTGAGGACTGGAAGGACTTTTTAGCATCCTAGCAAGGGTCCCTCCTGGCACCCTGTAAAGTAATCATGTGTCAGCACACTCAGAGGGCAGTACTGCTGATCATTAGGGCAGTAGGATCACATCTTCTATTGAAACTTAATGTTGCATGCTGTCCAAAAAGGGAGAAATATTGCTGATTCTTTACTTTGTCAAGGAAAGACAAGTCGCTTGTCTTTCCTTGAAGATAAAAGCTGTAAAATCTGTTGTCAGGGGTCAGGCTGTGGGGGCACTGTGATTGTCCTGGATGTGGTGAAACTTCACTTGCCCATATTAAATGATAAAATCAGGTTTACATTTTCCTGTACATAAACTTTCAGATCTGAGACAGTGGTCTGGGAAAGTCTCTGAAATGTGTAATTGCCTTTTCTGTCACTACATTATAGGTACAGGTGGTAGAACTAAAGGTTACTTGGATCACTAAAAGCTTCTGTCCTGGAGGTACTGACAGTGTGAGCCCTCCTCCCTCGATAATCAGCCAGGAGAAGCTGTCCAGGTGAGATCCTTTGCAAACCCTTTTTCACTCCCAGCACTCAGGCCCTGCAGGCTGTGGGTGACAGGCCTACGAAGTGAAGAGACACAATGCTGCTGTTTCCACATTCCATGCCTGCATATTCCAGAGCTTCAAAAATACGAGAGAGCAACTTCCAAATTAGTTTAGCAGACACATGAGTTACCAGCACGGGGGCAAGCATCCTGCTAATGCCAAGTTCTCTCCAGCTGGCAGGTGCACAAACTGGTGTCTGGCAGCAGCTTCCTTTTTCCCTTGTCCTTCGACCCCTGCCTGGAGCAGGCTGCAGCTCCGTGTGTGTCAGGGGTGAGGCTCAGGGGTGCGGCTGCAGCCCGGGCTGGTGCTCAGGCAGTAACTGGTGCCCTCTGCAGGCTGCAGCTGCTGGAATGGGCTGGGAAAGCTCAAAAAGACAAGTCAGATGAGCAGCAGCACTGTCAGTGTGGGCTCTGCCTGGAGCTCCAGCACTGGAGGGGAGCAGTTCTCACATTAGAGCAAAAAACCCCAAATGTCTCTTGGCAGCTCTCTCTGGGGTGAAGGGTGGAGCTACAGGGAGAGGAGTGCCTTGTGTCCTGCCCAAACCCTTTGTATCCCCACCAGTCCCTGGTGAGATTCCCCCTTCTCCTGTAGAATTGTGTGCCTGGAAATGATTTGGTGTGGTGCTCTGCCACCCCTGCAGCAGCAATGCTGGTGTGAGGCCGTGCCAGCCCTGTGAAGGCTCTGGGCACTGCTGAGTTCTGTTACTGCTCTGTGCTCACGGCTCTCCTGTTCCGCCAGGGTAAAGCGTCTGGGGTGCTTTGACCATGCCCAAAGGCAGCTTGGGGAAAGGTGCCTCTACGTGTTCCCAGACAAAGTGGAACCTGCAAAAATCACCTGTGAATGTCCAGAGAGGAACTGTGTCCTGGGTGAAGGGTCAGTAGCCAAAAAGGTGAGTTGAGGGGTTGAGGGAGGTGTTGACTTCTCTAAGCATTTGTGGTCACTGTGGCTTTTAAAGCAGAGATCTTCCTGGTAGTCATGTGGCCTGAAATGTGACTCCTGAGGTGGTTGTGAAGAGTAATGGCTTGTTGTTGCCAGCAGGGAAGTCACCTTGTGGAGCAGTGTGACTGCTCCGGGTGCAGCATGCAGCTAACACCTTGAGAGAACATGGACAGGGCCTCAGCACAGAAGTGTCACCTTGCAGGGGTCAAGTGTGCTGTGACAGCTGGGGCTTAAACACATGTTGTTTTCCTTAGCATGCTCATGGAGCTGAAATGTTGAGTTAAATCCTTGCTGCAGTAAAACGAGGAAGTTGTTTTTGTTTCCTAGGCCAGTTGAGTCACACTACGGTCTGTAGCTGCTGGCTGTAGAGCCTGTTATTCCTAGAATAACAGGATGTCATCAGCGTGTAGATGGTGACCTCTCTGCACGTCCATGCATGTTACATGGATTTACTTGTGCAGCTTCTTGTGACCTTCCATAACAAAAAAGCTCAGTACATGGTTAAAATAAGCTGAAGGAGCAAAGCTCACTTTACTTGGGGAGTGCAGTGCTGCTCCTGAGCAGAGCACTCTGAGATGCTGGTTTGCAGAGTAGTCTGGTGCAGGTGGAATTTGCAGAGTCCCATGGGTGCTGTTTTATCTGCACAAAGCTGAGCATTCCCCAGGCTGGCTGGCAGCCTGAGGAGTGTCCAGGCACGGGTCTGACCCACGTCTGCTCTCTCCAGGTGAGACGGCTGCTGAAGAAGCAGATTGTGAAGATCATGTCGTGCTCCCCGGAGTCTCAGGGCACCAGTGAAGCCCCTGACAAAGAGTCTGCTGCAGCTGCTGACCAAAAATCAGAAGAGCTTAAACCTGAATCCAAGTGTGACCTGGATGACTCTTCCAACAGTGCACCAAGTCCTGGAGAGAGAAAAGAGGAGCAGCCTGAGGAAACGGGGAAGGAGAAAGGAGGAACAGCAGCACGGCAGCAGCAGCCTCCTTTTCTCCTGAAGGAGGAAGGGCTGCCTGACTACCGGCTGCAGTCCATGGAGCAGGATGCTGATGATGAGGCAGCTGATGACACTGATGACACCAGTTCTGTCACCTCTTCTGCTAGCTCCACTGCCTCGTCCCAGAGTGGCAGTGGCACCTGCCGCAAGAAGAGCATCCCGCTTTCCATCAAAAACTTGAAGCGCAAGCACAAGAAGAAGAAGACCAAGGTTTCACGAGAGTTTAAGCCAGGAGACAGGTGAGCTGGGTTTCTACACCCATGTGTAATTGCCAAAATCTGCTTTCCCAAGTGCTCAGCTGTAAAGCACCACCTGAACTCAGGGGGTTTGGGCACTACTTGGTAGTAACTGACAGCAATTACCTTGTGATGACTGTGCAGTGGCCTGTGTGGAATCAGCTTGGTCTCAGTCCAGCTCCTGATGAAACTGGGGCCATGTGACCTGACACTGATGCTATTCCATTTCAGCTGTGCCTTGGGGCATCGACAGCATATCTGTGCTCTGCTAGACTCTGTGTGCAGGGGAAGAGGTGAATAAAGATCACACAGCTTAAACATGACACTAATTGGTTACCTTATTGGCAGCTTCTGCAGAGAGGCTGAGGACAGACCACGCTAGGAATGGACAGCTTATCCTAGAGAGCTGTCTCCAGAGCAGCACAGAGCTCTCAGCTGGCAGGTGGTAGCACTGCCATGGTCTCTGTTATCCTAGCCCTGCTCTGCACAGATCTGCAATTTTTGCCAGCAGTATACTTCTTAATAATAGAATTTTTTAATGAATAAGTTGCACTCACTCCTTAAGAGCCTTGGAAGAATTTAGTTCAGTAGTTTGGGTGAGGGAGCACTGCGTGTATCTGCCCATTTCTAGATAAAGCTGGATCTCAGCAGTTTTGGCCTTTAACTTAGGAATGTCATGGGATGCAAGGACATCTGACAGGTGGTCTGCCTGTCTGCAGGCTTCACTGGGCTACTTGGTTGTGTACAGATTCTGCATCAATTGGTGCAAGAGTACATGAGAGAATTCTCCCAGGAAAGTGACATTATCAAAGATTACTCAAGAGATCCACTAGTTTGAGAATGTCACAAACTTCATTTGCATTTTTTGTAGGTATTTAGCCTTGCCTGTGAGTGATTCTTGTAGTCCTTGTAAGTTCTGGAGAAATTAGATTTGAAGGTCACAAAGCCCAGCAGAGCAGCATCCAAGTGTGAGAAAAAATGGGAGTATGTGATAGAGTTCCTGGGAATGGATTCTCGGTTCATTCTTCATGTCTCACTCCCCTGCGGAGTGTCTCTGTTTCACTGAAGGTTTTGCTAAGGAGAGCTTAGCTGGGTCACCTGGTGGCTCCCTGGACCATACAGGCAGTGGGGAGAAATCCCTGTGGCAGCCCCAAGAAATTCCAGTGCTGGATCAGGGCAGCTCCATGCAAGGAGATGCAGAGATAACCATGACAGAGCGTAGGAGTTAGAGGATTTTTCAGCACAGACTGAGAGCCCCCAGTTGATGCTGTGAAGGGAACATGTGGCAGCTGGGCACAGCTCAGTGTGAGGGGCCAGTGCTGTTGAATATTCCTCTGGGGTGCTGAGGAATCAGATGTTTCTCTGGTCATCAGAGATGTTCTGCCAGGCACTGCTGAGAAATGCCGAGTGCTTGGGCTGCCTGCACTTGGTCACCACATGTGATGTGTCAGCCTGGGCAGTCTGGCTGCAGGGGCCAGCTCAGCATGTGGCTTTGCCATCAGTGAGTGACCTGCTGCAGCTCTCTGTGCAGCACACAGACCGCTGGATATCTTTTAGTGAGGGTATGCAGGGATTTTTATTAACATCAAGTCTTGATTTTTTGTTTGAAGCCACCGCTGCAGACAAGAGTGCCTCATTTCCTTGCACAGCCTTTCCACTCCAGTCCTCAGCTGCATGTGTCCTGTGTCCCCCAGATATGTCCTGTGTCCCCCAGAAACCATCTTGTTGTGTTTCACACACACCTTGGCCTGTTACAGACCCTTCTCTGATAATTTCTACTGTTGAGTGCTGGCCCTGCTAAAAACATCATCTTGTGTCCATTTAAAAATATTTCTCAAACATTAATAAAAACAGGTCTGGGAGCAAACAGCTGTATTTGCCTATTGTATATTCTTTCTGATTTGGTTCTGAAAACAACATAAATCCAGCACTTGTGTTATTCTGGAAGGTCTGGCCAGCAAAGTAAAGGGAAGATTTAAAGCCAGTGTGGGATTTAGTTTGTTCTGTTCTGTAGGATTTGGTTTGTTCTGTGCTGTAGGAGAGATGAAATTAGCAGAGGGCTCATTAGAAGAGTGTCCAGCTAGGCTGTCCCTCCTGCCCCAAGCACTTTGCCTCCTCAAGCCCCACAGCAGAGAACCAGCATGTGGTACACTGTGGTGTGTTTGGATTTAATTTCTGTGCTGCAGAGACACATATGTGTTTGAACAGCTGGGAAGGACATTTTTCTCCTTTAAACAAAATCCTTTTGCTTTACCCACATTCAGTAGGTAAAGCATTATTTTTTTTTTTTTATTTTTTTTTTTCTCTGTGGAAGGGCTGTGATAATTTATCTTTAAGTCATGTGTTCTTCTAGTTTCAAAGACTCCTCAGAGCTGGAAGGTGCTCCAGTGGAGAAGATCTCAAGCTTCAAACTATATGAAGCTCCTGTCATGCTTCTGTCAGGGGCAGAAAGTGGGTCCTAGTAGATGTTAATTTGCCTCCTTAGGAATAAAAGTGAACTCAGCAGGAGCTCCCTGGAAAGTCAGTCCTCCTTCAGCAATGTAACACCTGCAGGGGTTGAGAACCCATCAAAACAAAGAAAAAAAGCCTGCTGTGTAGCTGTGCCTATGTGGGGGTTCCTGCCTTGCTTCCCAGCCTGCTGATCCGTGTGCCTTTGTGTTGCTGAGGTCCATCTTGATCCCTGACGTTCCCTTTGGTAACTCATTGCCTTTGTGTGCTGCCAGGGTTGCTGTGGAAGTGGTGACCACGATGACTTCAGCTGACGTGATGTGGCAGGATGGCACCGTGGAGACAAACATCCGCTCCAACGAGCTGATCCCTGTCCATCACCTGGACAACAACGAGTTCTGCCCCGGCGATTTTGTGGTGGACAAAAGAGGTATTGGGTGTCAGAACAATGCTCTTAATTGCAGAGTATGGTTGGGTTTGGATCCCCTCATTTGCTCTGTAGCTGTTAGTGCTCACTTGGGGTTGGCACCTGACAGGGACAGCAGTGATTCAGCTGTCTTGGTGGGAATGGCAGCAGAGAACCATTATTTACATACCAAAGTTGAACTGTGACAACAGGAAAGATGTGGAAAGAATAAATACCAAGGATCCAAACTAGGATTTTCAGTATTTCTGCTGAGCAGGAGTTGCCTACCTTGAAAGTGCCAACAGCTCTGAGCTTGGTCCCAGAGCGAGTGAAGAAACGAACAGCTTACCTCAGGCTGTTTTCTCTGTATGGCTGATTTATCATGACTTTCATGTTATTTTCACTGAGAGTTTTGGGATCCAGAGGCCTCTTCTTGAATCCCTTTTCTTCACCAAACCAATTGGTGATGCTAGTGAGGGCCACAGGACAAGTTCAAGGAGACTTACAGCTTTTGGATGTGGAATATTGATGATGTCATCTGGCTCTCAGCTCCTTTTCTAGCAAGGGTAGACCCTCAACAGTGGAGACCAGAAGACACTTAGGTTGGGAAGCAGGAAAGCTGGCTTAGCATAAAGAGAGGCTGTTTTATGTGGCCATTTCTGATGAGTAATGTCTGACTGGTCTTCTGGGTTACACGTAGTCTGTGGAAACTAAAGTTACCCATCAGCTCCAGCTCTACCATTCTAGTTTGGCAGCAATTCTCACTGTGTAGGAAGAAGTGTTTTTCCTCATGCCATTCACAAGTGGAAGGCTTTAGCCATGAAAGTCCAGGAGCTGACAGCCTCAGTCACTGAGCAAAGTCTGTGCTCCTTTGCCTGATTTGTGTGTTTTCTTCCCTCCCATTGTGACCAACAGCTCAGAGCTGCCAGGATCCTGGGTTGTATGGAGTGGTGCAGTCTGGGGACCACATCGGCCGTACCTGTGTGGTGAAGTGGTTCAAGCTGAAACCCAGTGGAGATGATGTGGAGGTAAGTGCAGGAGCCAGTGCCTGCTGCAACCAGCAAAGACAAAGCAGCCACAAAATAACACAAACCTCACAGATGAACACAGATAAGCCTGGAAATCAGCTCTGCATTGATTGTGTGTCCCTGAGGAAGGGAGCAGTGCTTATGGGCCTGGGAGACTTAGCTGGAGGTGATGTCACTTCATATTTGTAGATGCCTGTGGGGTGGCAAAGACCAGGCAGATAATTTACATCCCATGGTATCACTGGGTTCTGGTATGGGTGAATATTTTTACTGAAGTTGTCGCAGACAATTGATTTATTGAGTTTACTATAAGAATTTTTTCCTCCCCATATCTTTACATGCTTCATAGAAAGAGGATCAATCTATTGCACCTTATTGTGCTTGCCTCTGCTAAGTACTATTGCCCATAGTTACCCTAATGCCATTTTCTTGGGATTTGTAGGAATGCTGTCTTTTCCAGAGCCTTGATAGGCTGCAGTCTAGTTGGAGCTGAGAGGGGGCCTTGACACTGCTTTGTCTTAGCCTGCCAGGCCTCATTGTGATAATTGAGCAGAACATGTGTCTGGCCTAGGGTTGTACTTCACTTATTTCTCATAATTCATGAGCTCCTAGCTCTCTTTCTCCAGGAGAAATCAAAGGAAAGATGTTTCCCATTAAATGACAAGTTTTTTTTGTCATATGCTCCCTGTTGCATTGGATAATTTCAAAAGTAAACTCTTGCCCTTTGGGCCCCAGTGTACTGCTTTGAGAAATCTGGATGTTCTGAAGGGAATAAAACACTGTGGTTGCATGTCTCCTTGTCATGGTGACATGGACCCTGAGGTAAAAGTGAAGGTGAGCGGATGAGACAAAATATTTGCTTCCATTCACTGTTGTGCCTTGATCCACATGTGACTGGATGAGGTGACAAAGAGGGACAGCAGCAGCCCCTTGCAGGCTGTTGGAGCAGCTGGAAAGGGATCAAATAAAACACAGAGGGCTTTGGAGGGCTGAAGGTGTGTTCTGGGGCTCCGTGGGGCTGACTGTTGCGCTGTGTCTGGGTGCAGCTGATCGGGGAGGAGGAGGATGTGAGCGTGTACGACATCGCCGATCACCCCGACTTTCGCTTCCGCACCACCGACATCGTCATCCGCATCGGCAACTCGGACGGGGCCGCGGCCAAGGAGGACGAGGTGGGTCCTGGGCATGTGGTGTGGTCACAGTGGCACCGGCTATTGGTGCAGTCACTTGCTAAAATTGATAGGAAGGGCCCCACATGGGCATCCTAAATAAACTCCCTAGTTCCTGATTTTGTGTTGGTGTCCCCTGCTGTCGTGAGTAACACATCAGAGCTCTGTCTGGTGGAGATGCAACCTTGAAATCCTTTGACTTTGATGACAGTCTACAGCAGAGCAAGAGTGAAGCTGAGACAAGAACTGAACATATGCCTGAGGGCTTTTCATAGAGCTCTTGCTTAGGATTTCAGAGTAACTTGTAATAAAGGGATATTCTGTGGGCTCCTGAGCAACAATGAGGTGATTTTGTCATGAAACCGGTTTCACTTGGCAGCGGAAGACTGGAGTTCACCTATGGCAACTGAGCTATGTTCATGTTAATTTTGTTGAGCTGATTGATTTCCTTGAGGGAAGAAGGAACAATTTATATTGTAGAGGAAACACCCCTGGAGGTACCTCCAGCTTTTGAGCCTGCTGCTGTAAAAGAGTGTTAAAAGGTGTAGTGTGGCTCTTACAGCACGAAACACATCCCAGCCTGCTCAGCTGACCTGAATAACCTGCTGCAGGGCAAGGTGCTCCTTACCTGCACACCCTGCAAGTCTGTGGCTTGTTTGTTCATGCTTGTGCGCTCTGAGGAGCCCCTGGTGTTGGGGGGCTGAGGGCACCCCACTAGAGGGCACCCCCATTCCATGGAAAACCTGTCCCTTGCTGGCACTGAAAGGCCACTGCTCAAGATCAGGATCACTGTCAAAGATCAGGATCTCCTGCCAGACCAGCACTCCTGCTCCTTGTGGAGAAGGGTTCTCCCCACCTCCATGGCAGAGCAGTGTGGTTTCTGTATGTAGGATGCAGGTGTTGGTCTAGGTGGTTCTCCAGCTGGGGAATGTGTTTCTCAAATCCTTCCTGCTCTGCTCTGAAGTGCCTGGGGAAGAAAAGAGACTGACAAACCACTTTTGTCTCCACAGCCTTCAGTTGGACAGGTGGCTCGTGTGGATGTCAGCAGCAAGGTGGAAGTGGTGTGGGCTGACAATTCCAAGACTATCATTCTGCCTCAGGTGAGGTCCTGTTCCAGCTCCCAGTATCACTGCAGTTCTTAGCTGAGTGACAAGATGTGGGTTTAAATCCTGTGTGTAGAGAGATTCACCAGGTGAGGGACTCTTGCTCTGTTATTGGTGCAGTCCCATATGATAGGGTGGCTTCCCAGTTCTGTTACCACAGGCAAATCCTTTTGTCAGGAGATCTGGATAACTAGTTGGTCATAACTGCTCTCTAATGTAGTAATTAGGAAAGCCTGTACAGGCTCTTTTTGTCTTCACAAGTGCCTCCCAGCCCTGCTCCTGGCCTCCAGCACCTGGTGCTTTGCAGAGCTCAGGGATCATCGGTTCTGACTGGAGCCTGGGTTAGTGCATTGCCCAACCTGGGCACTGCCAAAAGATGATTGCATGTTCTCTCTTGTGAAATGCCACCATAGTGGGGTTTTCGCTAAAGAAACTCCTCCAGAAGCTGGGCCAGATCCACAAATTGTCACCTTAGCTAACCTAGGGATCAGACTCAAATCTTAGCCCATGGCAGGGAGGGAAAGGGTTGAGTGCAAGCTGGAAAATACAGATACAGCCACACTGCTAATCCACTGCACACTGCTGATTTGTCTGGGGTTCTTTTGAGGCTTTTGTTGTAATGTCTTGTACTCATACTTGCTACTCCTCATACAGTTTCATCCCACGTCTTCTCTCCTTGTTGCCTGGAATGAAGGCAGACAGCCTAAAGATACAAAACAAGCTACAGCTGTAGAGTCCCATTCTGTCACTGACAGAGCAAGCACTGCCTCCACTGCAGAGATGCCTTAGCAAGGACAATGTACTTGAGCAAGATTCCTTTCTAAACCAAGCAGCTCTGCATTAATTACAGTAGAATAGTCAATGCCTGCACTGTGGCAGGGGACTGGGGCGTACAAAGCAGGCTGCTGTCTCCCTTCCCCGTTGTCACATGTGCTTGGATCACAGGCACAATCAGAGGTCTGATGCGTGCTCCACAAAGGGCTGTTCTCACTCTGCAGTGCCAGGGCTCTGCAGCAGCTCCTGCTGTGTCACGCCAGTCCCTTCGATTCTGCTCCTCTGCGTAATTATGGGAGTTAGGGAAATGTCAGAAGCATGAATTATCAGTTGGTAAAACCATGATTTATCAATGCCTGACCATGTGCCCAGAGACGAGCTGTCTGGGTGCTTTTTCACAGCTCTAAAAATAAAGATGGCATAACAGGCTAATTAACTTTCCAACTCAGATTTGGATTAGCTTTGAGGGCAGTGAGTTTTGATGGCTTTTCCTGCCTGCAGTCACTTGTGTTGAACCCAGCTAACCTCTGCTGGCTGCCTGTCTCCGAGTGGCACAGGACTGGCTCAACAGTGCTGGTTCATTGAAGGCTTTGACAAGATGACTGAGGGTCCCTGTGCTTTAGCCTCTGGGGTCATATCTTGCAAGATTAATAGGATTCTTGGGCTGTCACTCAAGTATCAGAAGCTTGTGGATAAAATGCTCCCATCTTATCACTGTAAACACAGCCCTGTAAAGGTGTTCTTGCTTCCCTGGTTCTGTGTTGGTGCTTAAAGCTGGAGGAAGTCTGTAAACCTCTGCAGAGAGACCTCCTGAGGTGCAGCATGTGCAAAAGCAAGTTGTAGGAGGTGAGGCTGCATGGAGTGGGGATGTGTTCAGCCTCCAGTAGTGAGAGGGAAGAGAGGATTTTATGTAAGAGCTTATTCAGCAGCTTGGGTGAGGCTCCATTGTCCCAGCTGAATTTTAAGCAGTAGCCACATATAACAGCTAAAGCAGCCTAGCAAGGCTCTTTTGGCAAGTATTGCATGCCATGGGAGAGGAGAGTTGCTGTGGGAATGTGTTCCTGGTTCCAGCATTGTCTCTGTAGAAGGACAGAGTGTGGAGGCAGCCAAACCAGGGTTCTGTGCCAACACAGTTGCTGGTGCAGAAGCAGGACCAGAAATACCAACTCCTCACGTGATACCAAATACCTTCTGAGCTCTGTGTTCTGAAACCCTGGGGCATCCAGGTAGCTGTGGGGCACCTGCCTGCACTCCAGGGCTGGATCCCAGACACTGGAAGGACTGCAGCCCATCTAGAACTTGCCCTAGTTTTACCCCCAGGGCCACAGTTGGAAAAGTGGAGGATTGGACTGTGTGGTTTCATAATCTGTGCCAGTATAGATGGAATGGGTTTAAACAGCCCAACCAATTCCAAATGGAAACTCCTTTCTCTAAAACTGTGCTTCAGCCTAAGTCTCGTGTAACTCTGCTCTCCTTTAGCACTTGTACAATATTGAATCAGAAATTGAGGAGTCAGACTATGATTCTGTTGACGGCAGCACCAGCGGGGCATCCTCAGAGTGGGAGGATGAAAGTGACAGCTGGGAGACAGATAATGGCCTCATGGAAGATGACCACCCAAGAATTGAGGACTTTGAGCCTGAGGAACCAGCAGCAGAGGAGGTGAAAAAAGTAGAACAAGAAGTCCAGGGAGCTGTGGCTATGGCAGTTGCAGATCTTGCTACAGAGAAAGCTGGCAAGGATGGAGCCCCAAAGAGCTTCCGGGAACTAAAGGAGGCCATCAAGATCTTGGAAAGCCTGAAAAATATGACTGTGGAGCAGCTGCTGACTGGCTCTCCCACCTCCCCAACTGTGGAACTGGAAAAACCCACTCGAGAGAAGAAGTTCTTGGATGATATTAAAAAGCTGCAGGAAAATCTAAAGAAGACCTTGGATAATGTAGCTATTGCTGAGGAGGAAAAGATGGAAGCCATGGTAGAGACGGAGAAGAAGGAAGAAAAAGCAGAGGCACAGACACCAGTGAGGTCAGAGTGGCCCAGTGAGACACCAGTGCTCTGCCAGCAGAGCGGAGGGAAGCCTGGAGTCACCTTCACCAGTGCCAAGGGAGAAGTGTTCTCTGTGTTGGAGTATGCTCCAGGTGAGTGTGGATACTCGGCCCTTCCCTGCTCTCCTGCAGTGTTTCTTTATCCAAAACCTTTGCCTCAAACCTTTTGGATTCTGTATCCTCTTTTCTTCTTAAGTCCTTTTCATGGCTCATTAACTAGAGAAGAGAAATTAAGCCAACTTCAGTAGCACAGTGTGTTCAGGGACCTAAGCATGGCTTTTAGATAGCATCTCTAGGCACTCTTGAACCTTCTCAAGCCCCAGAAGTGTGCTTCCCTCTTTCCCAGGGTGGTGACTAACGTTGGAAGGCTGCAGACATCAGTTGCTTTCCACTGCAGATATTTCCTTGCAAGTTGCAGAATTTGCTCGGGCTTTTTTTTTTTTTTCGAGGCTGAATTGGTTGAGAAGCAGAGCAAAAACAGCTGATGTTCTTGTGCTGGGTGTCCTTGATGAGTGGGTTTCCTTACTCACTGGCACCAGTGTTAGTGGCCAGAGACAAAAAGAGCATCTGGCTGTGTGGAACATTGGTGACAGTGGAGCCCAAGGTGCTCCAGCCAGGGTGGGAAAGGTGGCCAAAGCTGCAGGTGTGAGGAAGGAAAAATGGGGAGCTGTGCTTGGATTTGGCAGGGAAAGGTCCATTGCTCTGTGGGATTGTCCCAGCTGTGGGACAAGCTTCCTTGCTGGGCCACAGGGGACAGTGTTGTGTGGGACAGTGAGAACAGGAGATGCAGGTTGTGGTTGCTGTGCTGTGTGAGAAATAATCTCTCCTGGCTCATCACCAAAGCAAGTTAACTCCTCTCTTCCACATGATGCATATTACACATGGGTGGATTTGCCTTCACTAGGAAACTGTGGCAGTTTCCAAAGGCAAGCTGTAATTCTGTTGTCTTCCTTGTCCCACAGATTCCCATGCCTTCAAGAAAATGGAGTTCCAGCCTCCAGAAGCCAAGAAGTTCTTCAGCACCGTGCGGAAGGAGATGGCTCTGCTGGCCACCTCCCTGCCCGATGGCATCATGGTGAAAACCTTCGAGGATCGAATGGCAAGTGCCTGCTCTCAGATGCCTCTGTGGTAGTGCTGGGCTCAGCATCCAGATCCCTGTCTTTGGAATTCCCTGCTTAGCCCTAATCCTTTGCATTAGAGCTGCAGGAATGTGTGCATCATGTGAAACAGGGCTGTAATTACCCAAAATGGCTGTTTTTGCATTCCCTGAGTCAGGGTGGCGAAAAAGGAGCTGCTGATTGCAGGGAGCCTGTTCTGGGTGCTGAGTGCCAGCAAGGGGCTGTGTCAGCAAGGAGAAAATCTGGGATTTTTGTCCCTCCTCAAAGCCCTGTTTCACTTGTAAATGTTCACTTTGCTCTCAGGGTGCAACTTCTGGCAGGGGAAGGTGTCCTGAGATGTGTTACTTGAGCTGACACTTGAAAGGGCCAAATCAGTCACATCCCCACTGTCCCTCTGTGTAAACACAGCTCTGCCAGGGTGAGAGAGTGTTTCCCAGTGCCTGACCTCCTGCCTCTCCCCACAGGATCTCTTCTCAGCACTTATCAAAGGGCCCACACGCACACCCTACGAAGATGGCCTCTTCCTCTTCGACATCCAGCTCCCCAACATCTACCCCGCTGTCCCGCCTCTCTTCCGCTACCTCTCCCAGTGCAGTGGGAGGCTGAATCCCAACCTGTACGACAATGGCAAAGTGTGTGTCAGCCTCCTGGGCACCTGGATAGGCAAGGTAATGCTGTCCTCACCTGTCCCTGGGGAGCAGGGCTTGTGCTGGGTTGCTTTTGGAACAAGTCACTTCCTACCAGACCTGGGTGACTTCTCTCTTGGGTGGTGCTTAGGCTTTGGGCACTGGTTTAGGTATCTGGGGTAGATAACTGGTGTAGTTTGGCTTTTGCTGGGTCTGTATTTGGCTCAACTGTCTCTCCTCAATGAGAAGTCTGTGGTCAGTCCAGCCACAGCAGAGATGCCAACACCAGCATGGGGTGTGCCTCTGGGCTAGGGCTCTGTCTTCCACACTGTGGACAAATCATGCAGCGTGGTACAAAGTCCAGCTGGAGACTTGGAATGAGCAGAGCCAGGGAAATAGGTTTTGAGCAGGACAGGCCAGCTGGGAAGGGGTTGGAACTGATGGCTGGTGTGTAAGGTTACACAGTTCCAGACAGAACTGGCCTGGGGGGGTGTGGTGCTGGTAAAAAAATAACGGAGAGATGTGTTGTTGAGCTGGGGGACCAGCACATCACGTGCTCCTGGAGTCAGTTCCTGGTTCCTGCCGTGAGCCACAGGATGTCAGCAGCAGGAATGCAGAACAAATGGGGCCTCACTTCATCTGACAGTGGTCACAGAGCAAACTGATGGTGCTTCAGCCCTTTAACATATTTGTGTTTGCATTTCAGGGGACAGAAAGGTGGACCAGTAAATCCAGTCTCCTTCAAGTACTCATCTCCATCCAAGGTAAATGCTCCTGCCAAGCCTGTGGGGCAAGAAAAGGCAGAGGGAGGAAGGGATGTTGGTTTATGGGGGGCATACAATTGGGATCTGCCACCCCAGTTGGGCTAGTGCTGCCTTTTGGTCTCGCCTTGCTGGACAAAGCAGTGTCCTTACCTCTCTGCCTGAGCAGTGGAAGCAGGTGCCAGCTTTTCTCATGCCCAGAGTTCTGGCTGCATCCCAGGGCTCTGACACAATGCTTTCCCCTCTTCTCCTGCAGCAGCCAAGCACAGAGTTGTCTGCTTGTTACTGTGAGCTGACAGAGGTGAACCACCGTGTCCTCAGCCTGTTACCAAAGTTAGTTGAAGTTGCTAAACTGGGCCTCATTTGCGAGGACTTTTTTTTTTATCCCCACTGAGTCACCCGCCCATCCTACCTGGGACATGTTTTGCACATGATGCTGGTGTTTATGCTCCTACCAAAGCAGAGAATAATCAGGGGTGTGCCTAGACGAGCCCCAGGGCTTCCTGCCATGGGGCATTGCTCTGGCCTATCCAGTTTGGGAGCAGACAGACTAAATCACGGAACTTCCTCATGGGTGACTTTCTGTGCAGGGAGCTCAGGCATGTGATGAGAAACCTTTGACACAGAGCAAGGGTTCCTGCTGACTGGAGGCAACTCCTGCTCTTCTGAACTCCCACAGTCCACCTGAATCCTCCTGTGGGGGAAGGATACCTCGATAAAAGCCTTTTCTCATTTCCAAAGCCAAGGATCCAAATTTAGAAAACGAAACACTAAATGTTTTACTGGAGCAGCTTGGTGTTAGGGGAAAATCTCTCCTGCTGCCTGGGTTTTGAGAGACACATGATCTCCCCAGCTCTAATGCAACTTGTGGCAGGCTGCCAGCAGCCTGGCAGTGCAGGGGCTGTTGCTACATACCTGTAATTTCATTAGACCAGAAGTAAGCAGGAGAAATCTTGGTAAAGGTGACTTGTCACAGTCTTCTGTGTCTCAGAACTGCACTGTCTGATGGTACTCTGCTGGACAGAGCAGAACCTGGCCAGCTCAAAACCTGTTGCTGCAGTCTGGCCTTTGTTCTGATTAAGAGGAGGAAGAAAATAAAAGCTTTTGTTGGGTTTGTGGGTTTTTTTGCAGGAGGGAAGTGAAAGGAGCTGTGAAACCCCTCCCTTCCTGCCCTTTTGACCTGCTCTGCTGTTTGTGCCCTCTGCATTGTGCTGGCAGAGGGCTGTTCTTGCCAGCCAAGGAGGATGCCACTCCCCGGTCCCTGCCAGGCACACCAGGCTCCCCTTGCAGCACCAGTCCTGTGCATCCTGCACCTTCGGGGGTTCAGCCTGGCTGGGTTTTGACCCTCCAGGGGATGGGATTGCTGTGTTCTGCCTTAACCCCTCGGTGTCCGTTCCGCCGGCAGGTCTGATCCTGGTGAACGAGCCCTACTACAACGAGGCCGGCTTCGACAGCGACCGGGGGCTGCAGGAGGGCTACGAGAACAGCCGCTGCTACAACGAGATGACGCTGATCCGCGTGGTGCAGTCCATGATGCAGCTGCTGCGCCGGCCCGTGGAGGTCTTCGAGCACGAGATCCGGGAGCATTTCCGCTGCCACGGCTGGCGCCTGGTGTCCCGCATCGAGTCCTGGCTGGAGACCAACGAGCTGGTGGAGCGCAGCCACGAACAGGCCAACGGGGCGGATTCCGCCTCCCTGGTGAGCCCCGGGGAGCGCGGCCCGGAGCCGGGACCGGCCGCTGAACTGTCCCTGTCCGACCCGGCGCTGGACGCGCAGGAGGAGCCGGACGAGCCGGAGCTGCTGAGCGCCGCGCCCGGCACCGGTGACCTCCAACAGTTCTCGGACTCGGAGAGCACGGGCCAAGCCAGGGGGGACCTGGCCAGAGACCGAACGGACGAGGGGAAGGCTGCCCAGGACTCTGCCTCGCAGCCCAGCGTGAAACCAAAGAAAAGGAGAAAGAGCTACAGGAGTTTCCTGCCGGAGAAGAGCGGTTACCCTGATATCGGGTTTCCCCTCTTCCCTTTGTCCAAGGGGTTCATTAAAAGCATCCGCGGTGTCTTGCAGCAGTACCGGGCTGCCTTAGCAGGGGCCAACATCCCAGAGTGGACAGAGGACAAATAAACCATCAGGTTAGGGACAGGCAGGTGCAGGGGAGAAGGGAAAGCAGCAGAAAGTAAATTGGCAAACGCTGTTAATCAATCAACTGGCTTCTCCTTCCAGCTTTTCTTCCTCAGCTTGGTTTGTTCCAAAGAAGGTGGTAGGCCTGACTGCTCCTCTGAGGAAAGGTTGTTTAAGCATGAATAACTCTTTGTCCCCAACTCCTCTTCCTTCCCCCTGTCCCATGTACATGCTCTTCTTGCAAGTTTGACCCTGCAATGGTAAGATTTGAGACCTGCACAGAAGCAGTCTTGCAGCCACTTTCCCTCTGCACTTTCATCTTGGGGCACCTTTTCACACAAGGACTCTTCCCACCCAGCACTACACCCAGCAGTTTGTTCTGGTGGGGTTCCAGCCAGGAGAAGGGATTGCTGTAGTTTCTGGAAATGAAGGGCAATGTCCTCCCAGTCTTTTATTTTTCTTGGCATTCCCATGGGTTCTATGAAGTCTAGCCCAGCTTATCTGTACTTAGACATTGGATTGTGTTTGCATTGGAGTTGTCTACACCATATGGAGTTGCTCTAGTCTTAGTTGTTCACCCATAGCTACGAGGTTCTTCCAGTTGGGACTGGTAGGCAGGGCCAGAGCCCTGCACTGGCACTTGTGCTGCCCTGGGAGTGCTGCAGACTTTCCATCCAGTTCTGCAACTTCCAGCTCAGTCTCCTGGAGGCAGGTCTAGCCATCCCCACTTCCTTTTCTCCAGAGTGAGGCAAACTTCCCTTTCCCCACCATGCATGCCTGTCTTCTAGAAGTACATGGGATTCAGGGTCCTGTCCTTGTTACTTGCTTAGATATCTTTTGTTCCCAGCCATCCCGGCTGTCACACAGCACTACACCCACCCTGGATCCCAGCGAGTGATCCTGGGGCCATTGCAGCTCTGGATGAGCCTGGTGTGGCTGCTGCTCCCTCATCCAGCTGTACAGGGGTGTGAGGAGCCAGGGCCACCCCAGGGGAGCCGTGTCATGTTGTGGCAGCACCAGTTAGTGCCAGTTCCTGCACTGTTACACAGTGCTGCTCTGGGAATCCATCCCTGCTCCCTGCCACGCTGCTGCTGGATGCTCAGGGCAGCCTGAGCTGTGACCGTGGGCACTTTGAGGCAGTGACTTCAGAGTCCCCTGGGCACGTCCCCTCCCTGAGGCCTCTGGTGCTGTCTGCCCACACCTTCACTTGGAGCTGGGCACTCCCACTCCAGCCCTGCCGCTTTGCCCGGTGCTCAGGCGCTGGAGAGGCACCCACGGGGAGCACAGTGTGTCAGGGAGAGTCCTTCCAGCGGGGCAGCGGTGCCAGCCGTGCCAGGGAGGAGTTGGGCTGAGCACACGGCTCTGCCAGAGGTAAGGATGGAGCCAAAGCTCTCCTTTGCTTTTGCTCTTGCTCAGTGTGGCTGCAGTTATAAACAGAGAACAGCAGGAGGAAACCAGCACATTGGTGCAGTGATTTTTGCTCCCACCAGCCCAAATCCAGCCCCCCTGCACCCCCACCCTCCCCAGCTCCTGTTCTCTCCTATGGCCCCTGATGCTCCTGAGCCAGGGGCTGGCTGCACAAAGCCTTTCTCATGTCCCCATCCACCATTGGGATTTTGGAAGACACATCCTTCTCCTGGAGCTCCAGAGGATGCAGGGCTTGGCTGTGCTGAAGAGGTGCTGGGAGCCGTGGGCAGGGCAGGCTGGAGCTGTCCCCACGGCCACGGGAGTGAATGGATCCCTTTGAGGGGAGCACGGCAGTGTCTCAGGGCTGGGGGCAAGAGGTGAGGCACTGCTCCAGGCCAGGGAAGAACAGGCAGAGGCTGATTCCAGGCACAACCATGTTTGTGATCCGGACACTGACACCCTCTGTCCCCAGAGCCCGGCTGTGACTGCTCCATCACCCACAGGACCAGGGATGGAGGGAGGGAGAAACCCACTGGGGATGGAGGAGCTGTCGAGTTCCCCTTTTCCCCTCCTTTACTCTGCAGCTCTCATCTCACAGGGCAGGCACCACGTCCTCCCCTTAGCCCAAAAAGTCTCTGATCCTACACAAGAGCTTTTGCACAGGCTGGGCTCCCTCTGAGGAGGGGGATGTTGGCCTGGAAGGGGACACTGCTCCCGTGGCACTGCTCGCTCTCTGCAGCTGTCCCAAACCCAAGCGTGCACAGAGGTTTACAAATTTTCTAAAGCTTTTGATAATGTGAAGCTCCTGGGTGATGAGGTTGGTGGTGAGCACACTGCAGCTATGTAATTTTTTGTGTATGTATGTAATATTTAAGGGTAACAAAATTTAAAAGGCTAAAACCTTAAAAAAAAAAATCTAAAAACACACAAAAAAAGCCAAAGCATGATGCATATTGTTAGCCTTAAAACTGGCTACACGACTGTGTGATGTACAAATGAGAGCAGCCTGTAACTGTTTTAAGTGCTGGGGACGGGGAAGAAGCATTACAAAATCAGTTTGTAGCCTTGATTCTGTACAGTATTTAATGAATAAAAAACAAACCTGACTATTGAGGCCATGCTTAGAGGTGTGTCGTTCACGTGCAGATGTGGATGCTTGGTTGCTTATGATATATGTATAAAGTGCTGTGTGACCATTAAAACTTTTTTTACCTGCAGAATTTTTTTTTTTTTTTTTGTTTGGCTAACCAAGGTGTAATAAAGGAGGGAAGATGACTTGCCATTAAATTTTGCCTCTGTGAGTAGATCTGTGAGTTGTCTCTTTCTTTCCCTCTGCCACTCTTTGGCACTTGCCCCTCTCCCGCCAGCCTGGGGCTGGGCAGGGTCCCACAACGGAGGGATCCAGGCGGGTCTGGCAGGGAGGAGCTGCCTCTGTTCTTTCTCTGAGCTGTTCCCCAAGACCCTGATGTACAGAGGAGCATCTTCCAGGCTGGCTGGTGTTTTTTGTTTCCTCCTTGCTGGTGCTTGCGGGTGGCTCAGTGCACGCCCAGCACAGCTTTTGGTGGCCCCGCTGCTCGTGGCCAGACTCAGGCAAAAAATAAAAAATCCTTTTGGAGCCCCCCCAGCCTGGGGGCTCCTGTGAGCCTCCAGCAGCTCAGCAGGGTTCCAGAGTTATTGCTCAGCCTGTTTTTACACCTGGCGCGATGCCGCAGGGGAAATAACTTTATTTTGGGAGGTGGTTCCCAGCTCTGCCTGCCCTGCTGGCTCAGGAACAGGGCTCCTCTCCATGAGCCACTGAGGCCATGGGAGGAGGACAATCGTGCTCTTCTTTCCCGGATCTGCCATCCTAATTGCACAGTTTGCAGTTGAATAAATGCAAATAGCCACCACTGTTTACTCTTCTGCTTTGTACTTGAGCGCTGAAAATGAGGTTTAATTACTGCAATTTTATATCAAAGAGGCTCAGTAATTCCCCCCAGGCAAGTCCCAGGCCAGGGACCTGGAGCAGGGCTCCAGCTGGCCCGGGCAGCCCGAGAAAAGGGAGGCAAGGGTCCCCCAAAAGGCCCCTGCTGCAGGCAGAAAGCCAAACCCCTCAGCTCCAACGACCCCTCCTTGAACCTCTTCCATGAATCCTTCCCTGCTGTCGCTCAGAGGCACCAAACTTTCCCCAGGATGTCCCCAAGTGTCACTGCAGGGCTGAGCTCCCTGGATACGAGCTCAGCATGAGGCTGAGCAGGGAGGCATCGCTGCACCCCAAAACTGGGGCTGGGTGGTGGCAGCAATGCCCTGTGTCCTGCATCCTCAGCACCTTCCCTGGGAGCATCTCCGGGGCCCCTCGCTCCGTGCTGCTCCTTTCAGGATGTCAGGGAGCAAAGGGCTGCGGTGCTGAGCTAAACCTGTCCCGCCTTCAGCACACCCTGGGTGAGCCCAACCCCTGACAGCAGCCGTGAGATCGGATTCAAAACCCAGGAAGGATTTTTTGGTTTGGTTTTTTTGTTTTTTTTTTTTTTTTGCAAACGCTAGATATTTATTTTGCATTTCTCACAAGAATAAACTCCGCTTCTACAGGAAGCTTTGGGTAGAAACATTCTTTAAAAAGTCGGTTTATTGTATTAGATCTATTGGTCCTGACCCTCCCTGGGGGGGTGGCACAGCAATGCCACCGTGTGTGCGTCCGAGCCGGGGAGGGGACGGGGCTGTGCCGGCGCAGCCGCCTGGGGGCCGGGACCTCGTACCAGGATAAAACACGCTGGCATCTCGCCGGCACCGAGTACCTGATGGGGCTTGTGGCTCATTTTTGGAACAACACTGAGAGCTGTCCCAAGGGGGTAAAGCTAAGCGTGGGGGCAAGCGAGGGGATGAGCCCCACGCCCCCCCAAGACCTATTGCTGTGGAAGGAGGGGGTTCCTGAGTGGGAGGAAGGCTCTGCCACCCTGGCGCCGGGCCGTGCCGGCAGCTCAGCGCCGCAGGGAGGGCAACGGGGAGCTCAGGAGCCGCTGAGGACGCGGCAGAGGCGGGCATGGACCTGGCCCTGCACGGGCTCGCAGGCCAGCGCCTCCCCATCCACCGTCATGATGCCCGCGGCCACGCGCGGCTCCAGGCGGAACGCCCGCACCGGGACGTAGGACAGGTGGGGACAGTTCAAGTCCAGGTGGGTCCCCCTGGACATGGCCAGGAAGAGCTTCAGCAGCGTCACGCGGCTGATGCCGGCCTTCATGTAGAAGAGGTGGATGCAGCCGTCATGCAGCCGGGCCGCCGGTGCCATCAGCAGGTTGGTGCCCAGGTGGGACTGGTAGATGGCGTAGACCAGGACGAACTCCTCCTCGGGGACCACGGTCCAGTGCGGCGGCACGGGCTGGCCCAGCGGCACCAGCAGCGAGTCGGGGGGCGGCGAGCCGGGCGCCTCGGTGCCCGCGGGCTCAGGGACGCGGCCGTTGGTGACGGGCGCGGGGACATCCCTCGGGGCCGGGGCGCTGCCCTGCTCCGCGGCCACGGGCAGGTAGGACAGGCGGCCCTGGTACACCCGGAGCTTGGCCAGGCACTGCAGCGTGCCCAGGGTGAAGCGGGCGCTGCCCAGCCAGCGGTACTTCTCGCTGTCGATGTCCACGTCCGAGATGAAGCCCCAGCCAAAGCCCAGGAAGGAGAAGAAGCGCTTGCCCGAGGCCGTGCTCAGCGACACCAGGTCCATCTGCGTGTACAGCCCCTTGCACAGGATGAAGGTGCAGTTCGTCAGCAGCTTTTTCTTGGCAACGTGGTCGTAGCTGTGAGGGGTGGAGAGGGTGAGTTTGGAGCTCAGGAACTCTCCTGCTGCCCCAGCATCCACCTGCAGACCTCACCCTTGTGTCATGGCTGGGACGTGTCCCTGCTGGGTGACAGTGTCCCTCAGGAACAGCTGCTGGGAGTAGTTTTGCTGGGGATGGGAGGGATAAACCAGCTGCTGAAAGATGGAACTGAGCCAGGGCAATCCTGGTCCCCCACACCGTGGGACTGGCTGTGCCTGGGATGGGTCCTTTGGGTTAAAGCTTTACCAGTCTCTGAGCCCAGAGAAAGGGAGTGGGGAGAGCAGGACAGACAGGGATTAGTCCCTTGCTCCCAGCTGGGGCTCTGCTGCACAAGCATGCGGGGAGTGAGGACCCTGCCAGGCATCCCTGGGCATCCCAGCACCTCTCCCTGGGCTGCAGCCCCACACAGCCTTTCTCTTCCCTCCTCCCTGCAGGAGGGCAGTGGGTGCCCATGGGGCTGGGACTCACCCTGCATAGTAGTTGATAGAGGCAGCCAGGGCGTTCCCAGAGCCTCCTGGCAGGATGCACAGCGGCTTCTTCATGGCCTCCTTCCAGTCCGGACGCTCCATCAGCCCGTTCACCACCTGTGGGGATGGAGGAGCCTGTGGTACCCAAGGAACTGCCCCTGCCCAGCCTGGGGGAGCAGAGCCACGGTGCCCCTGCCCAGGGCAGGACAGAGGTGATGGCTGCTTTGCTCCAAGCTTGCTGCCATCTCTCCTTTGTGACTCAGAGCTTGGCCGCTGCCCCAGGCACCCCAGCTCTGCCCAGCCCCGAGGTGCCCCTCACCTCGAACAGCAGCCCGTCCCCAGACACGACCACCAACGTGTCCCACTGCGACAGGTCCTCATCTCGCACTTTCTCGTGCGCATGGTGGGGTCTTTCTGTTGGGGAGAGTGGAGAGATTTGGAGCATCACCCTCCATCCCTCTGCCCTTCCTGCTGCCACCCCCCAGACAGCGACCCCAGCCCCAGATGGTGACCCCAGCCCCAGATGGTGACCCCAGCCAGGGATGCAGGAGGCAAGGCAGTCACTCCTCCAGTGCAACATCCTGCAGGACCCAGAGCAGTGCTGGTGCAGAGTCAGAGGCCCTTGGAGGAGCCTGTCCCATGTGGCAGGGCCCAGGCAGGATCACAGGGAAGGGAGAAGGAACAAGAGGAGCAAGAGTTGCTCATGGACTCACCGGTGATGAAGACAGTGGTGGCAATGTCAGCCTCAGCCAGCATGGGCTGCACCACCGCCTGGAAGTCATCGAGGGCACGGCCAGAGCCGCTCTGTGGGTTCAGCAGCACCAGCGCGTGGCAGGGCCGGGGCAGCACCCCATAGCTGTCACCTGGGGGGCACAGGGGGCTCAGGGCGCCGGGTCATGGCCCTGCCCTGGGAGGGCTTTGCCAGCCAGGGCAGCATTTGCCAAAACCAACAGGGGAAGGGGAACTGGCCCTCCCCCATCCTCCCCCCTCCCTGGGCTGCATCTCTACCCAGAGGCAACAGGGGTGAGCAGGGATGGAGGGTCCCTGCTGGGAATGCTGGGGAGGTGGCACAGACAGTCCTGCAGGGACTCTGGCAATCAGCAGAGATGTTCACACCCAGCATGGAGCCCTGCAGCGCTCCAGCCATAGCAGAGTGGGGGGATGAGAACCCCAGGTCCCAGTTCCCCGCATCCACCCAGATGGAGCGGGGCCAGGACAGACAGTTGTGCTGGCAGACAGACGGAGGCTCCTGCTTCCCCTGCTCCCCACGGGGCTCAGGTTTCGCCTGCCAGGGCCTCTGCCGGGCTGTAATTACAAGCCTGGCAGGGGTCCCATCCCTCTGCCTCCCCAGTTGCTTCCAGTCTCTCCTTTTCCAAGCCCAGTGGTCCCTGGGCAGGGGGACAGGGGGAAGCCACTGAGCTGCCCTGTGAGGGAGGCATGGGGAGGAGGAGGAGGAGGAGGGCTGGAACCCCCGGTGCTGCTGGGCACCCCAAGCCCTGAAGTGAGGAAGGGCAGCAGCCTCAGGCTCCCCCAGTGCCTCTGCAGTGAGGAGCCAATCTGGAGATTGCTGGGGATGTCCCCAGCAGCTCTGTGCCCCCTGAGCTGTGGCCTGGGCTGGGGACATGTGGGTGCCCAGCCCAGCACATGGGCCCAGCAGCTGCTGACTCAGCAGGACGAGGTGCTGAGTCAGGACAGCAGAGGCCTCCCCCAGCACCATCCTGGGCTGGGAACCCCCTCCCAGCCCCCGAGCACTGGGGTGCCCCCACCTCATCTGCACACGCACAGCAATTTGAGCTGTTTGAACACACGAGCTGGGGGTCTACAGCTAAAGCCTCCTACACCCACACTGGGGACATGCCATGGAGGACACCACATGTGTCACCTCCCCTGGGGGACATCCAGCATCACACCAGTCATGGCCATGAGCTCCACAAGCTGCCTGGAGAGAGGTGGGACTGGAGCATCCCATCTCCATGCTGGTTTCAGCCCTGGGAGCACACAGAGCTCTGCTGTCTTCATCACCACCAGCATTATTTCCTGGCCCCATGGATCATCCAGAGGTGCTGTCACCCTCCAGGACACCTCACCAGCTGCTTGGGACCTGTCACCAAGTCCCCAACAAAGATCTGCCTGTGACAGTCCCAGGGCTGAGCCTGGCCCTGGCTGCTTGCTCCAGGCACTGGCTCCAAGCTGCTTCTCCCACTGCTGCCCAGGGCCAGTGGCTCCCCCCACCACCCTCCCCAGCCCCTTATCAGTGGGCTCCAGACACAAAGGGACAGCTGCCCTCGGGGAAAGCAGTGAAGCACCCAGAGCAGAGGCCACTCCAGTTTGGGTCAGGGACAACAAAAAGCAGCCCAGGGCTGGGCTGACCCTGCTCCGAGTCCTGCAGAGCTCCCCTGATCCCCCAGGCACTAAATCCCCTGCAAGAAAACACAGACAAGCACCCACACAGGGTTTGAACCCAAGCCCAGCTGCCTTCTCTCTGGGGGGCTTTTCTGTCTCTTTCCTCCCTAAAGCCCTGGATATTGAAAAGCAAAAGCCAAAGACACTTCAAAAGCCTAAATGGAGTTTTTAACCCTGCAGTGTTAATCAAGCACGTCGTTTCTCACACACACGCAGAGCTGCAGCTGAGTCTTGCCCAAAAATCCTGCCCTGAGCTGTGGGTGCTGCCCTGTGGCCTCCTCTGGGCAGCAGGGAAAGGCTGGGACCCCGAGGATCAGCTCCTTGGCTGGAGGGGGAAAACAAACCCTGCTCAGGGCACAGAGGGATGCCACGACTCCCAAGGGACAGATTGCTGGTACCAGGCTGTAAGTGGTGACAGGAGTGATCCCAGTGTGGGACTGGTGGCACCAGCAGCACCAGGCTCAGCCCTGTGGTAGAACTGGATGGTGTTGGATCAGAGCTGGAGCCCAGCAATAGTGATGCACAGGCAGACAGATTCCAGCAGCATCCTGACCCATCCAACTCTTCCTGTTGCACAACACCAGCCAGTCCCTGGCATCCCAGCAAGCTTCCACTTCCCAGCACAGTGTGGTCGCTTTCAGCCTCAAATGCTGAGCAGAGCAGAATCTGAGTCAGCAGGAGGAAGGGGCTCCAACTGCTGCCACAAACTCTGCTCCACTCCCTCTGCCCACATCCTCCCATGTGATGTGTCCTGGCTGTGCCCAGGCTGTGCCCACAGTGCCACAGCTCCGCTGTCGGCAGCCCAAGCCACTCCACTGCATCCCTGCATCCTTCTGGGACTCTCTGGGCACAAGGAGCAAGCATGCCCCATGGAGAGAGGCTGGGGCTGAGCCTCCTGGGGCTGGATTTCTCTGTCACAAGCCTGGGGGCAGTTTGTCCCCTCCTGGATAGCTGCAGTTTGGGACACACTGCAGGCAGCCCCAGCTTTGGGGTTATCAGCTGCTGAGGAACTTTCTGTTTATCCCTTGAGGTGAAACAAGGAGGGGGAATCATCCCTTCATCCCTGCTGCAGCACTCCGCAGGGCTTTTATTCCAGAGGATGCGACAGCACCAGGATGGGATCGCTGGTGGCTCCCCAGGTCCCCTCCCCATGGGGACAGGGTGACAGGACTCTCTGCACGGACTCACCCGCAGCTTCCCAGCACGGCCTTATCAGTCCCGCACAGGCCTCTCTGCCGGCACGTGCGAGCGCTGGGTGTGCACCAGGGGCATTTTTAGCTCTGTCCAAAACTGAGGGAGGAGGATTGCAAATCCCGATGGCCTTCAGCAAGGAAAGTGACTGCAAAATTCTGCACTGCCTTCTCCCATCCTCCTTCCCCCTGCTGCCCACAGGGCCCTGTGTGCAATGAGCTGCTCCTGCCCCAGCACCCTCCACCGCCTGCTCACAGGGCGAGGGTTGGAAAGCGTCTGGAGACTTCCAGCTGCAGAGTTCAGGCTGGAAATAGAGCTGGGGAACTGGTTCTGCCCTCACCCCATTCCAGTGGATTTTTTTGTAATTCTTTAGGAAGAGAGACAGAAAGTTGTTTTGTAGCTGCAGGTCATGTAAAAAAAAAGCTGCATTTTAAAATCCAAGCAAGGAAAAGCTGGGCTAAATGTGATTTGACAGGATCCCTCTAACCGCATGCCTCTTAATTTCCAAGTCTGATCAGAGCGACTGGACAGCCAAATAAATGAAGTAGTGCATATAATTGAATCTCTGCTCAGATGTTCAACTATCTGCCAGCACGCCCTGCCCTGCCTGCGGGAGCTGGGGGATGCGGCCCCCGAGCAGGACCCCCACCCACCTCCAGACCCTAACAGCTCCCGAGGGGAGCTGGGTCAGAAACACACAGCCCACCAGACTGCCCTGAGATCCCGCTGGACCGCGGGGGTCCTGGGGGGATCTGCCTGTCCCCAAATCCCAAGTGATGGATGGGACCTGCTGGGGACAGTGCCTGGCTCCCGTCCTGCCTGCGTCAGCAATGATTACTTTTTTTTCCTTGGATCATGCTGCCCTTTGGAGCTTTGGAGTTACCGAACGGGAGCAATGGGGATGGGGGGGCCCCCAGACAGGGCTCGGTTGTTTCTGTCTCCTTTCAGTGGTCACACTATGGGGGAGACAGAAACAACCGAGCCCTGTCTGGGGCTGCGAGCGGGGATGTCCCTGTGTCCCCCCAGCCTCGGGGAACGTGCGAGTGTCCGAGTGACCCCACGGTGTCGCGGGTCACCCCCGGTCTGTGTGTCCCCCCCACCCCCCCGTGCCCCCGGAACGGGGTCGGGGTCACGGCCGGGCCCCACGGGCGGGGCGGGGGGAGCTCGGCACTCACCGTCCTGCGCGGGCACGGCGGGCACGGCGAGCTCACGGATGCGGCGGCTCCAGGCCTGGGCGATGCGCAGGTTGCCCTCAGCGTCGGGAGCCCGGGAGACGCGGAAGGTCCGCTCCAGGCGCTGGCGGGCGGGCGGGCCCCAGCGCGGCCCCCTCAGCGGGTAACACACCAGCGAGAAGCAGGCGGCGGCCGCGGCCGCGGGGAAGGCGGCCGAGCCCACGCAGTCGGCCAGGCGGAGCGCGGCGTCGGTACCGGCCGAGCCGCCCGGGCAGCCGCCGGCACGCCGCACCTGCAGCTCCCGGGCCGTCAGCCACAGCGAGCAGGCGGCGGCACCGGGGGCCGGCCCCGCGCCGAAGATGCCTTGGAGCAGCACCGGGCCCCCGCCGGGCTCCGGGGGAGCGCGGCGGCCGGCGGCCATCGGCGGAGCGGGCGCGGAGCGGAGCGGGAGGCACCGGGGAGCGCCGCCCGCCGCCGCTCGCTGCTGACGCCCGGCGATGGCAGGCGGGGCGGCCCCATTCATAAAAATTTAACCCACCCACCCCCCAAGGCCACCTCTTCCCTCGCTGAGGGGGGCCGGGCCGGTACCCCCCACACCCCCAGCCGGCTGCCTCAGTTTCCCCAAGCGCCGCCCCGTGCTCCGGGCAGTGCAGACGGGCGGGGGCTAAGGGACGCCGTGGGTTTGCCGCGGGTGGTTCTGTGCTGCTGGGGTGGGTGTCTGGCGTGGAGATGGCAAAGAACAGACCCACGGTCACGGCGGGAGGGGGGAGGCAGAGCACCCGGCAGCCACCCCCGCCCCAGTTCCCGCACATCATTGCCAGCAGGGCACGCGTGGGCACTGGCAGGTGTGCCCGGAGCCCCCACGTTGGACTGAACAGCGTTTCAATACCATTTCTGCATCTCTCCAAGCACGAAAGGAGTGAGGTGGGGGCCTGGAGAAATGGAGGCACGGCGAGGGGTGAGGACAGTGGGCAGACGGCGGGGGAGGAGGATGGAGAGGGACGATGTCCTACCCATTACTATTGGCTCACCATCCATGGGGGTTCGAGGTTGCCGTGGGTGTGAAGCCCCCGTGGAGGGAGGTGTGAACCCCACCTTGGGGCACAGAGCTCTGGGGACAGAGCCCAGGGGACTTGTTCGGAGGGTGCCAGCAAGGCTGGGAGTTGCTTTGTGTTCATGGCAGCTGGCAAAAATCATTGACAGCAGTTTTTGCTGGCAGCAGGACTGACCTCACCCTCCCAAGGGACTGCTGGGCTCCAAGGGGTCTGGCCCAGCCCAAGAAGGATTTTTTTTTCCAACCAATTCCCCACAGATGTAACTCTGTCCTAACCTTGAGTTTGCACCTCAGGGAGGCATCACTCCTCACACTTAGGGCAGTTTAATTAGCAGCAAGCCCTCTGTTCCTGCTAAAACCTTCTGGAGCTGGCCAGGAAATTGCAGGGAGGTCAGGGAATGACCAACTGGGCAGATAACATGATTGAGTCTTGTTTTCCCAGAGCAGACCTGTGAGGAGAGCTGAGATGCTGTGATTTGGAGCATTGTGCTTTCCAGAAAGACTTCCCTGGGCGCTTTGGGTACAAAGGGATGCTCAGAGGGGCACAACCTGCTCCCAGCCCGGATGCTTTCGGCTTGGGAACTGCAGCACTCGCAGCTGATTCTGGGTGAGATTCGGGCTCAGCTGCTTCCCCGGCCGCTGCCATGACACAGTCCAGCGTTTGTAAACAGCTCTGAGGTTCCTCAGCAAGGTGTCATGGGAGGAAATAGCTGGATGCCGGGGAGTGCAGCGTCCTGACCTGCCCCTCACCCTTCTCGGTGACTAACCCGCTCCCAATTTCCTCTCAGGAAGGCATGAGTCGTGTTGGGAGGATGTGAGAGCAGCTGTCCCATTGCTCCTGGCAGGTGCCGTGGGACGATGAGGCTGCTTTGGGCTCTGTGCTCACCACGCTACATCCGTCCAAGGCCCTGTGCCCCCGTGCCACAGGGATCCCCCTTTGTCCTGCCAGCCTGTGCTTTAAATAGCAGTGGAATTCCTGTCCGGTCTCTGCTGGCCATGCTTGTGCTACGGAGAAAGGGGCTGAGAGTGGCTTCACAGCAAGGTGTCAGGGCTGGAGATGGGTGCAGGAAGGGTTGGGGAAGGGCTGTGCATGGTGGGGATGCCAGTGGCTGGGGGCTGCAGCCAGGTTTGTCTCAGATGGGCAATGGGACTGGCACAGGCTCAGCCTCTGTGATGGCAGGGGAGACACAGATGGGGCTTTTCCATCTCAGTTCTGGTCTGTGGGGACTTCCCAGAAGACTGAGCTGATGACCACCCTTGGATGCCCACTCCATGCCGTGACCACACGGTGACCACCAGCAGCCCCAGGCGGGTCCCTTTGCTCTCAGCAGCCACAGGCTGATTCAAGCTGGTCCCACACGGACACCGCTTGTTTGCCTCCAGATGTGGTGTCGTACATGGAAGTGGGATCACTTCCTTACCCATGCTGATAACCAGCCATTTGGGGCTATCTTAATTACGAGAGCCTTAACGAGGCCCCTTGACCCCAAGGGCAGCCCGAAGGGCGCTCAGCAGCTCCCGGGCTGTGGGCAGGCGACTGCCAGTCGGGTTTGTCCTGATCGGCTCCATTCCCGCCCGCGTGGCGCTGCTCAGGCCGAGTGTGGGAGGGAAGTGCTGGGATGGGATGTGGGCATGTGGCACGGAGCTGGCATGATGGGGGACAGCCCGAGGAGAATCCCCCCACTTCCCTCCTCACTGCAAAAGGGATTCGACCATGGAGCAGAGCGTCCAGTCCAGCCATGACCACCAGTCTCTCTTCAAGAGCAAACATCCCTCCATCTCCTGTCCCGGGAGGAGCCCTGGGGTATCCCACACATCATGTGGTGGAGAAGGTTTGTACATTTGAAGCACCGTGCCCTGGGTTTGCTGGGTAATGTGATGTGTGCCCTGAGTGTGGGGAAACTGAGGCAGAAACAGCAGACAAGGTTTGTCTTGAGTTGTGCAAGAAGCCAAGGGTTAAATTCATCAACAACCTCCCTCAGCTCTCTCCAGTCCCCGGCTTCTCCTGCTCCTGCCCCCAACTGCTGGAGGAGTTGATCTGCACTGGGAGTTACCCTGGGGGAAGAAAAGCACAGAGCCTAGGGGCTTCCCATGCCTTCCATAACCCTTAGTGCCTGTGGGGGCTGCAGCAGAGACCTGGGGCTCTCTGTGCCAGGGCAGGCCCGGATTTCGGGGTCCCACTGCCACATCACAGCCCCAGAGGAGGCGTGCAGAGGACGTGCCTCTGCTGTGAGATGAAGTGCAGAGGCACAGAGCTCTTCCACATCCCTGCCCGCCCTGCTGCACCCGGGGATGGGAATGGGAGGGGGATGCACTCCTCCCGAATCCATCTCTTTTAGCATCGTTCCCACTGCTGAAGTTACTGTCTCAAGGTGGAGCCAGAAATAGCGCGGCTGGCGCTGCAGCGGGGCTGGCAGGCCTGCAGGCTTGGCAGGGGGACAGGCACCGACTGCAGCAGTGGGAACTTTCCAGGCAGCTCCTGCGGGAGCGGCCGGTGCATGGATGGAGCCATTTCCCTGCAGACCCAGCCCTGGGACTGCGGATCAGCCCCACTCAGCCGTGGGGTTGGGGCTGACACGGGGTCCAGCACAGAGCAGGAGGGGACAGAGCTAACAGAGATATCTCCTGAAGGAGAGTGACTGGGATCGCGGACACAGGTCTGGGCTCTGCCACTGATTTGCTGCAGAACTCAGGAAAGTGGCTGCACCTTCTACCTGCCCCCATTACCCAGGAGTGGCAGGTTTTCCCCAAAATCCATCTTCTGTCAGCCTCTAAGGAGCTCAGGTTTTTTGTGGCAGCTCCTAAATCACAGCCAGGCTCTGCAACTTGTTGGGGGCTGCTCCCCTACACTGACTCTCCACTGAGCTCTCCGAGCAGCCGGCACAGACCAGGACCACAGGGCTCACCGGGAGGCCCTAAACAATGCCGACGAGCTGAGCTCATTCCTCCCAGCTGATAATTTGCTTAAAAATATTTCTGAGCTCAGACCTCCCCAGGGAAAACACTCCCAAACTCCAGGCAAAAAGCTGCTGAGTCTGGAGGAACCACACACCCACCACTCTCTGGCCGAGACCTCCCCTCGATGACAAGGCCTGGCGTCAGAGGGAGTGAGGCCAAAGGCTGCCGTTTGATCTCCCCCTTCGCTGGGGGATGCTGAATTTCAGCCCGTCCAGGGCTTTTACCACTTCCCGGTAGCGGTTTCCTGCGATGATGTGAGCGCAGGAATTTTTGGGAGGTGAGTCAGAGGCTGCAATGAGAACCGCCTGGCTGGGGCTAGGCTGGGAGGCTGGATCCCGATCCAGGGGTGGGTGATCCCTGCTGCGATGCTTGTTGCCGGCGGGCAGCATTCCCACAGTGGAATTACTTGTGGGGGACACAGAATCCCATCACAGACCCCATTTCTGGCCTGGAAGAAGAAAGGGATTTGCTGCCTCAGTTCTCACGGCTCCTCCTTCCTTGCCGGGCTGGGATCTGTACGCTCCGGCCACCCCACCCGGGCTCCAGGGAGAAACTTGGGTAAGAATAAAGAGCAAAACCTCGTCCAGCTCTGCAGGAAGCAGCCTGGAATGGCTGTCCCGCCCCAGCACCGGGTTGTTCCAAGAACAGAACTGCCCCAAAGCAGCACCGAAGCTTAGTTTTCCCTAAGGAGCAACGCAGGAGTGGTGAAGCGGAGAAACTGCCCTCCCTGGTCTCTGAAATTCAATACACAAAATGAGTTCCTGCTAAAGGAACCTCCCAGGTTTTGCCTGCTGGGTATTAAAGCTCCATGACCCTGTGCCCATTCTCTCTCCAGCATTACTCAAACCCTTCTACGTAGAGAATAAGTGAGTCCAGAGAGTGAGACTGAGCCGGGATAAGCCTTTGGAAAGGAGCTAAACCTGCTCAAAGCCGGCACTGTTCCCTGACCCGCCCTCCTAATCCTGCCTGGTTGATAATGGAATAATAAAGGACTGCACAGCCTTGCTCTCTGCTGCTCTGTGGGGGAGGTTCCTGCTGCCTCGGTTCATGCCAGGAGCTGGGATATTAATGACTCCCTAAGTAAACAGAATTGCTCCGTTCTTTTTCTTTGCGTGGCTGTAAAACCAAGCATGACCTTCAGCCCGCAGAGAAATCAGAGTCGCTCCCCTTTCCAGGAGAAAGGCTGGTTGTGGCAGTGATAACACCATGATCTCTGCCTGCCACCTTTGCCAGGGCTGATCCCAACCCTGCAGCTTCAACAGCGATCCCAGTGGGACTCACAGGGCCACCCCTGCGAAGCTTTGGCCTCTCCCCGTGAGGATGAAGCCGCTGATTCACTGGGGGAGAATCTCAGGAGCACAGAACGGGGGGTTTTGGCACACCCAGCCCCTCCAAGGTGTGCACACCTTGTTTGCTGGGCTGGGGGCTGCCATGTAGAACCTACAAACCTGTTGCATCTCAGTCTCAGCAGCTGGGAAGAGGGCAGGGAAGTGACAATGCCGATGAGATCCACTCCCTGTGGCTGGAATATTATATGTGATACATACATGTTATATATTATACGTATATATTGTTATATGCTTAATATTTTATATATGCTATGTATTTTACCTATAAAAGTGTAGATTATTTATGTAATAATATATGCGTTAACAGATTTAATTCATAGGTGTTATAGATGTTATATATAAGCACACAGTGCATGGAAGGGTCAGGCAGATGGGCTGAGCTGACTGTTCCTGTTTAACTAAGCCATTGAGTGCTTAGTGCTTTAGAACCCGTGAGGATTCCAGAGCGGACAGCTCCGGCCGGGCACGGAGCATTCCCTCAGGAAAAGGGCGCGGATCCTCCCGCCGCCCCCGCCACACAGCGCCGCCGCCGCCGCGCTTCCGTTTCCCCCGCCGCCATCTTCGGCACGGGCACTTCAGCCACCGCCTACACCCCGCGCCTCTCACCGCCGGGCAGAAGCGGAGGGCGGCTCGCACTCGGGCAGAGGGAAGTGTATTTATCCCCCGAGGAAGGACGTTCCTGCCGCCGTGCTCCCGAGGTACCGGCGCGGTTCGGGCAGGCGGTTCGGGGACGCCGTGACGGGGGAGCGCGGCGGTGGTGCCCTCACCTAAGATGGCGGCGGGGGCGGATCCTCCCGCCGAGAAGATGGCGGCGGAGGGAGCGGCGCTCTGGCCGGGTGGCGCAGCGTGCTCGGCTGGGTGAGGGGAGCGGGATGGGACCGTCCCCTCCAAACACTTCCCTCTTCACAGGGACCTCCTACCCCGCCGCGGAGACCTCGGTCCAGCCCTGCTGCATCAAAGAACCCCCCCCCAGCCTTCCTTCTCCAGCCACGGGAGCCCCTCTCCGCCCTCACTTTGGGGTCATCCCTCCCCTGTTGCATGAGGGGCCACTGGGTGGGCGTGGGGTGGGGTTACCCGTTGCCTGTCTTCCCCTCTACTCCCTAAGGCAGCCGCTGCTTCATGTTATCTTAATAATCACAATTTCCACCCTCCCGTTCATACTTTGCCGCAGGAATGGACCAGCAACTCCATAGGTAGCGGAAGGGTCCCCACCCTCTTCTTCCCCCTCCTCCTCCCCACCCCTTAAGGGGCGGTGATCGCGGCGGAGAGGAAAGAAAAGGATGCCACGGAAGCTGTTGTTGCCTTATAAATCTGTTTTTTCTCACTTTCGAGCTCCACGGGGTTTGCATGACTCTTTGGCGATGAACGCGGCCAGAAGTGGCTACCGGGTCTTCTCGGCCAACTCCACCGCAGCCTCCACCGAGCTGGCGAAGAAGATCACGGAGTAAGTTGCCTTCTCTTTCAAGTTTCTTTCTCCCCCATCACTCCCCGGCGCAGGCAGGAGAAGCTTCTGGCATCCCCCCCGCCTTCCCAAGGGGGGAAGCTGTCTCCTGCCAACACCTTTGTGGAGATTTTGCACTGGGAATCTTCACCTGAGCCAGCGATGGAAATGGAACCCCCGCTTTCTCCCTTCTTCGACGTCCATTTCACTGCTGGAAAGGCTGGGCTGCAGCAAAAGCTGTTGCTTTTGGGGAGGGAGGAGGAGAAACTTGACTGGACAAACCTCAGAAAAGCGTTTTTAGCAGGTTTGGGAGATGCTCAAAACTTTCTCCGACTCCTGACCTTGTTTTGCCAACAGCTTCGGTACCTGGGGCAAGGGGAGTGTCCATGTGCACATTGGCACAGCACCTTGCACGGACCAGAGTGGATTTGGGAGAGCTGGCAGGCCTGTGCTGTTTGGTTCAGGGTAAAAGTCTCAGTTTAGGCAGAGTTTGACCTTGTCTTGCCCGGGATGGGTGCGCTGGGTCCTGCTGAGTGAAGGGGTGTCACAGCTGCCTCCAAAACCGGGCTCTTGGTGCACAGAGCTCGGAGTTTCCCCCAGCACTTGAACTTTGGGGTTGAATGAGTTTGGTTCAAATTGGGGCAGTCCCAGCCGATGGGACTATTCTGAGAAGGGCATCTATGTATTGGGCTGTCAACTTAGGATCTGGATTTTCTTTATGCTGTTTCTCAGCTGCAGTTCATGGGCAGCTGATCCCAAAATCGAGGGGTCTCAGTGCTTGTTTGCCTGCTGCAGCTAACAGCATCCCAGTTATCCTTTCTAGGCATCTGCTCTCCCATTCCCATCTCCAAGGCTGTGCTTAAATTGGAAGTGGGACTTAAGTACAGGTGTGCTGCCACCTTAAACTACGAAAACACTTTGCTGTTCGTCCTGCTTGCTTAATAAACAGTGTTCAATACTTAGCACAGACTATCTCCACAGAGCTGACTTGGCTGTTTGGCTGGGAGGTGTGTTGGATAATAGTGATGAACTTCCTTAAGTGTGAGGTTAAGAGGAAAATCCTTGTGTTTGGGAGTGGAAAGCTTTTTTTTTTTTTTGGCTCATGTGGTCTTGCTATATTTGGTCGGTTCTGTTCCACTTTTCTTTCCCTGAACTCTGAAACTAATGTATCTCTCTATAAAAGTGAGTTTTGCTGCAGCAGATGGGACAGAGTTTTAGAGGGCTTGTTCTGTTGCATCAACACAGCACAGCAGAATTCCCCTGGGGACGAGCTCCCAGTTCTCAGGACGGGAGGAGCAAACGGGCAATCCTTCTTCCTTGCTCTTTGTCTTAAAAATAACTCCCTTCTTTTTAAAGATGAAATGAGAAGAGACGTGAAGAGGCTTCCCCAGGCCACGGCGCTGGCTGGGATGATGTGCTGATGTTATCCCAGGGATGCTCTGAGGGGGAAAGATGCAGCATACGGATCCAGAATGACCTCCTGGCTCCCTCCTTCATCTATCACCAAGTAAATTTCTAATAGGAGCAATGTGGGGTTTTTCCCTTGGCTCTGGATGCTCTGGTGGTAGCACGAGCACAGCCCTGTGACAAACAGCTGCTGCTTAACTGAGGCTTAAGGACATTTATCTTTGTTGTGGGTGCAAAATCTGAAACTGTTTGCAGTACAGATTTGCCCACAGTAAAAAGTCTCACAAAATTAAAGGTATTTTCAGCATCTAGTGGAGTAGTTTTGCACTGCCTTCCCTTTGGAGCTCGAGGGCTGTTTCAGCTGATCTGTAACACATCCCTTGTTTTTTCAGGTTGCAAAAGATGCGTGGCTGCTGCCTTTCCCCCGTCTCACATCTCAGGCTGTTCTTTGCTGGGGAGGTCAGTTGCACCTTTAAATAGTGTTGGAGCAATCTTACAAGGGTGAGTCTGTCCTCTAATATTGTGCGTTCTTTTTAAAGTTTTTTTATGACCTTGAATAAAAGTAGTAAAAGAACTTTAAAACAACACGCAATATTAGGAGGGCCCCTTGAGACACCTGTCCATCTGGGCTCTGTTCTTTTCCTGTAGGTATGAGCTTAAGATCTCTACTTGGGTAGTTCTGACTTATCCTTTTTAAAATCTCAAGCCTGGAGAGGAGCAGCGTGTGACACTGAGCAGCTTTCAGACACCTGATTTTTCTCCTCGCTTTGTTTACTGCTAAACTTCCAGAGCTACTTTCGTTTCAGGCTCTGAGCATCACGTTCTGGCACAGTTCTGATCTGCATCATTCCCCTTGAGCATTCTCTAGTTATGGGACAGAGATTAATGGTCAGTCTTACTTTCACTTTAGGTTTCCAGAGCTTTAGTTGATGGTAGTGACTGCCAGGGAGAGGAGATGGTGCTGGATTATGAGGACCTTGTGAAACTTGAAATAGTGAAGATGTTCCTTAGATTCACCACTGCTGAAACATAAACATATATATTTACTTTTCTCTTATAAATTGAGAGTGATGATTATTTTATTTTAAATTCTTTCCATGATGGAAAGAAAAGTCTTGCTGTAATTAGGACACTTGGGACCTGACTACAAACTGCATTTTCAGGGGAGAAAGATAATTTCTGTGACCTAATGGGTCCTAATTCTGGTTCCTAATGGGCCTGTGTGCTGCTGGGGGGAGGGAGAACTAGGAAGTCTTTTTGATCTTTAATCCAACAGATGCATTTAGATCTCCGTCTGACTGCAGTGCTTGGCTCAGCAGGTTCAAATACTAGATTCTACTCACTGCTTATGTGTTTGGCTTGGAGGAGGCTGGTGATTGAATCTTGCTAATGCCTCCCCAGTGCTCCTGCAGCTCCGTGATGTGGGATGTGATACTGTCTCACTGCCAACTGTGGATGGGAGTATTCCAGAGATTCACTCAGTTTGCAGCATGGAAAATGCTGGTGATCTGAAGATAAAGCATTGCCATGAGCCTAAACAGCATGGAAATAGGAAAACATGGGGGTTTGTGTTTTGACCTCTGGCTGCAGGGTGCTGGGTCACAATGCTAAACCCAGGGTGGTGTTTTCTGTGACTGGGTGGGAGGTGAGCCCTGCTTTGGAGGGAGACAGTACATTCAGAGGACTTGCAGCAGCTTCCCTCAGCTGAAGGAGGATTTATGGTAGGAAATGTATTCTTTAAGTCATCTTGCCAGCACGTGAGATGGTGGCAGAGGGTAGCTAGAGCATCTCTGTGCAGTTTAGGCAGAGCACAGAATGTGGATGAGCAGGCTGGGCTCATGTGGAGCTTTCTGTGCTGGCCAGCACAGCTTTAGTGGAAGTTCCTTCACCAGGAGTGGGCTGGTAGGAGTAGAGGAAGATCTGCCTGGTATTTGCCAGTAGTTGGGCTGCATGGCTTTGGTGTGGCTGGAACAAGTGATTCCAGTGGCAGATGAGGAATAGGGACTTTTCTTCCGATATCCAGTCGTGCTGGGTGGATGGAGAATGGCAAAGGAGAGCTCAGATAGTTTGAAGGCTATCTAAACAGATTGTAATCAGGAAGCTGCCATTCCCTTTCCTTTCCTGGCTGTTCTTATACTGGGGAATTAGGAAGTGCACAGCAGAGCTGCCATTGTGTTGGCTAGACCATGACTGATCTTTATTTAAAGATTTACTAAAGTTTGAAAAGCAATTCAGAGTCAGGCTGTGGTTTGATTTGGCCACAGTCAGGCACAGCACAGACCCTCTGTCCTCTGCTTCAGCTCCTTCTGAGTCTGCACCAGTTCCTGGAGTCTGGAGATGTGGGGAGAGCTGGGAGTTTGCAGAGCTGAGACCAGGGAAAGTGTTTATAATGAAGAGGATATTGCCAAAATAAAATACTGTAATTAAGAGCTTTGTGTGCAGATTTCTCTTCAAACTGATTGTGCTGTGAGCTGGCCAGAAGCTCCCTATGGAGATAACCTGACAAATGTCTTGGGTTCTGGTCACAGAGGGGGAGAAGGAAACTCTGCCTCGCTGGGGGCACTTCAGTAGCATTGAAACAGGCTCTGATGGCACAAAATACTGCGAGTCCATCTGCCCCTTGAAACGTGATTCAGCTGAATGTGGGGTGTCTTTGGCTGCCCTTTGTCTCAAGAGCCTGGTACAGTGGTTTTTGACAGTCTTCAGTGGAGCATTTTAAAGTACAGTCTGATGCAGCCTCACAGTGTTTCCTAAAATACTGCAGTGTGTCACTTCCTCATTAAACTACAGGTGACTCCTGAACTGTTTGCATTTAGATGTGAATTTGAGACAGGTTTTATAAACACTTTTGTATTCACAGCTTAATATCCTCTTGGCATGTTTTGAGAAAGTTAGATCATCCTTCCTGGGCAGTGTTTACAGAGAGATTCCAGATCAATAGGAATTTCTACTGGCCAGTTGCTCTGAGTAGGATTTTTAAAGCCATAAAGAGTTGGGTTTTTTTCCTCTTAGATGCTGTCATGCCCCAGAGGAGTTGGTGTAGGGATGGAGCTAGTATGAGGATAGCTACTCACTTTGTTTGGAGATGTGATTTATCTGCAGGACCTAAAATGTTATTATTCCCAGAAGCAGCTTTATCTCTGCTGGGTATGTGGTCTGGGTTACCTGCAGTGGCCCCTTCTCTGTCCAGGTCAGGTCTGCCTGTGCCTGCAGATGAGTGATCAGCAACTGTGGCAGCCCAGGTTCATGTGATTATGCTGTGAGTCCTGGAGCTGGATGAAAACAGTTCTTGCTGTCAGTTCACTTCCTCTATCCCTTAAAGCAACAACCAGTTGGGAACTTCAGGATGAAGAGGATTTTGAGAGAAAAGAGTTGGGATGGAAGAGAAAACAAGGGAGAGGTAATAGGAAGGGGAAATTTATCTTTGAACTCTGGCTGTTGCCAGGCTGTGTGGTTGATAAGGTTGTGCCCTGCCCTTGACTTCCATGCAAATATCCCTTTTGATAAAAGTCCTCTGGAATTTGGTGCTTCACAGCAGGAGTTGTACCTACAGTCTCCTTTTTATTGTTCTTGACTCAGTCAGGGTTTATCAGACTCCTTCCCCGGCTGATACCTTGTCTAACCAAAGCCTCAAGGAAAGGATTTGGTGCAAGGTGTGCCCCTGGAGTGCACAAACATCAGCTGCTCTGGGGGAGCTGCCTCTGGATCCTGCTGTGCCTGTGGCTCCTCTGGAGCGCTGCAGGCAGGGCTGATCTGGGACTGTCATGGGCAGTTTAATCTCATATCCACTGCTCTTGTTTACTTGCAGTCAACAACTGGAGCAGAGCTGGGATTTGTCTGACTAGAGCTGCTGATTGTGTTGGCATGGGTCTTGTGTCTTCTGCTCCCTGCACCCAGGTTTGACAACTGAGCTGTTTTAGTGCCCCAAGCCAAGCTGGTTTAGTGTCCCTCCTTCCTTAGGGGAGCAAACTTGCTCTTCTGATTTCTTGTTTCAGCAGCACACAGACTGCGTTGCTGCTCTGTGGTGAGTAGGAGAGCACTGGGCTCTGGTTTCTGCTGGCTACATCATGGAGACATGAAACTGGAAGAGACTTTTAAGACAGAGCACAGCTGTTAACCCAGCTCTGCCAAAGCTACCCCTGAACCACATCCCCAGGGCCGTATCTACATCTTTCAAATCCCTCCTGGGATGGTGGCTCCACCACTTCCCTGGGCATTGTGTTCCAAGGCTTGACTACTCTTTCATGGAAGAAGTGTTTCCTAATATCCAATCTAAACCTCCCCTAGTGCAACCTGAGAACATTTCCCCTTGAGCACCACAAATATGGTTTTATTTGCTACCACTTACCACTGAAAGTGCCACCTTCCAAGGGATGTTCTGCCGAGATGAGTCTGGCTGGACTGGTTTTGAAGCTTTCCTTCTTGCCATGCGATTCAGGACTGACTAAGAGCACTTGCACAGTCTCTCCAATGGATTTCTTTCCCCCAGTACTGAGGTGGGTTTGTGCTGTGTGCAGTGAAGTCAGGGCACACGTGCCTCCAAGGGGAGTCTGCAAGACTTGCCTTGCAGTTGTGCAGGAGCAAGTGTGAGTCATTAAACATTTCCCAGCACAAACTGCTCTGGGGTGTGTGTGTGTGTGTTTCTGAGCTTGTTTGGACTCAGATACTTAGCAGTGATTAGGACTAAGCCTGGTGGTTGCAAATCCTCATCAGGACAGCAGGATCCCACCTGTAAAACTCACCTCTGGTGTCAGTCTATCCCTGAGGTGCCCAGGCTTGCTTATACTTGACCAGCTGCCAGCTCTTTTTGATGATACCAAAGGTGCTGAGTTGTATTGCAGCTGCAAGTTTTAACCCAGCTGAGCTGAGAGGAGCCCAGGCAGAGATCTGTGAGCCTTGTCTGGCCCAGGCTGCAGGGAGATGCTGCAGTTGGTACCTGAGCAGGGCTGGTGACAGTCTGGCACGTCCAGCTCTCGAGGTGGCAGTTTAGTCACCAGCCCAGCCATTGCAAAACGTGCTGCCAGACACTCGGTTTGTGCCAGAGACGTGCTTTGGAGCCAGCTAAGCAGACATACCCCATGGCATCCGAGTGTCTGCTATCTCAGCTGTCCCAGGCACGCTCTCCAGGCCAGCTTCTAGCTGGGACCTCCACCTTTGGCTCACAGCTGAGCCCAGCAGCTGCTGATGGGACAGAAGCATGCCAGGGTCAGGCAGTGTTGCTCTTTCACCCCTGAAAGCACAGATCTTTGTGGCAATTGAATTGCAAGGCCAAGTTAGTGGGTAAAGAGATGGAGTGAGACCAACTGCTGAAGGCTCTAGACAAGGAAAAAACCCAGCAGAAGATATGGACTCTTGTATTTAGAGTTAGTCTTGATCTGCAGAATTTTGGCATATACCCAGGTAAATACAGTACAGGTGCAGGCAGGAAACTGCTGCCATAATCAGTGTGGTGAACAAAGGTATTTTTCAGGCATAAACTGTTTCCTAATTCGTTGTATGGCCATGGCCACAGAGCAGATCCTGGGAGAGGAGGGAATTATCCCACTCCATCTCACTTGGCCAAAGCATCTCCATTGCTGCAGGGTCTCTGAGGCTCTGGGTTAAAGCACAAAAGCCTTTTAAGTGCTTACTAATGGATTGCTTGTCAGAACAGTTAAATACTGGAGTGTCACCTGAGGGAAAAGTCTGCATTTTGGAGCATTTTAAAATGCTCTTCAGAGTCTTTGTTTTTTAAGAAAGAAATTTAAAAAGAGAAGGAGGATGACTAATCTTTGTTGCGATGAGTGTTGTAGATTTAATATATGAGAAAAGGAAGGAGTAATTTGAATAAATAAAAAACTTGAAGTTAAAATTTCATGAATCATTTGAGTTATTTCAGAAGGAAGATTCAAGGAGAAAAAAGAAGAGAGGTGGGAGTCAAAAAAAGTGACTCAGGTGCCATTAATTGAGTCTTGAGTAAATCATTCAACTCTAGTTGCACATCAGACCTGCCCAAGGGGGCATTGCAGAGGCTGGCAAGGTGCCCTTTGCCATCAGGAGTCACAGCCTGTGGTCAGTCATACAGGCTTTGGATATGTGCAGAGTGGTGTGCCCCAGGGCCCTCTCAGGGACATCAGAAGGAAGGATAACCCCAGAGAAGGGGAGGATGTAGTTCTGCAGCCTGGCTGGCTCACTCAGCTCCCTTTTGGGCAGTGCTGTGTTTTGGTGGTGTGTGACGTGGTCCAGTCCTGCTTGGCAGCACAAACTGCTGGGTTCCTCTGTTTCTAACGTCCTTTTTCTCTTTCCAGGCGACTCGGTGCTGAGCTGGGAAAATCTGTGGTATACCAGGAAACCAATGGAGGTAAGAGAAATCTCTGCTCTTTGCAACTGTTTTGAGGTAAAGAGAAATCTCTGCTCTTTGCAACTGTTTTGAGGTAAAGAGAAATCTCTGCTCTTTGCAACTGTTTTGAGGCAATCTTAGAAATGCTGGGTAACTCCATTGGCCAGACCTGTGTAAGAAGTGCAGTGATTCAGCTGTGATGTTACTGCTGCTCCTGGCAGTACTAAACCTCCATGGCTGACCTTGGACAAAGCAATTAAACATGTTCCTTGTTTTCCCTGGTTATCTTGTTTGTTTGCCTGTCTGCAAACTCTCCTCTAGAGTCCTGCCTCAGGTTTTAGCTGCAGCCAAATATTTTATACTCCTATGCCGAGCAAAACATCTCCAGATTTAAAAGTAATGCCCTGCTTTTTCAGTGTCTGCCTTGTGAGCTTTTAAATTATCCCTTTCTTTCAGCCCTTCCCTGAAAGGGTCTGCCCTTGCTTTTAAAAGTGCTAATTCATGGCTGTGCTGAGGAAAATGGGTCTTGGAGGTTGCTTTTGTTTTTAAGGAGGTTAACACTCTGCAAGCGTCCATTTTCAGATGCTGAGCTAAAACACAAGGATATTGGCCAGCAGAATTCTGTGGCCAAGAGTTTCAAGAGCTCTCTGTTACCTTGTTTGCAAGAGAGAGTAGAACCTACTACTACTAGTGCTAGCTGCTACAGGCTAGAGGCAGGGGAGGAGGATTTGTGCTAGTGCTGCTGCTGTTGCAGCCGGAATGGGCCTCACAATGGGAGAGCTGCTGTGGTTATGGCTGGGCTGGCTGGTGCATTCCTGCCCAGGAGAGCTCGCTGCCCTGTGGGGTTGGTTTTAAATCAGGTTGCTTGCTCCAAGGTCTGAAGTCGTTTTTCATCGCTGCACAGCAAATCAGTCTGCTCTCAGCAGAGTCCTGTAGGGTTACTGCCAGGGCAAGGCAATTAGACTTGGAATTCCATAGCTGAGGAGCTGTTTCTCTCCTTGTCCTTGCCCCTGCCCTCTAGCTGATAACTGTGTGGGAAAGGCTAGGGCAGGCACCTTGGAAAACCTGGAGACATTGGTTTGGCTTTGCAGAGCTGCTTGAGGCTCAGCTGCTGCATTTGAGTCAGGGATGTAGGAGTGGTGCTCAGCAGAGACCAGACTTCCAGCCTGTGTCAGTGTTGAAATGTCTTGAGACCTTGACAGTGAAATTGGGAAGTTCTTACTCTGAACTCAGTGCTGCTGGTGTTGCCTTAAGCTCTCCAGCCAGCATGGAGCTGATCCCATGGTAAGTTGTGAAAGAGCTAAGTGCAAAAAGTGCTGAGTTACCCTCTTGGAAGTACTGAAGGTTATTCTGCCTTGGGTGGTTAATTGCTCACTAATGAATGTGCTGTTGACAGCTCTCAGCATGCCATGGAAGCATGAAAAGGATTTCTCAGTGAGAGTTAGGTAAATTGTCTTCTAAATTCTAAAATTCTAATTTCTAAAATTCTAATGTCTAAGTTCTAAAATTCTATGAAAAAATAAGCAGCCATTCAGCCTGCTTTTGCTTTGTAAATACAGCTAACTCACTGGTATGTCATGCCAGCCCTACCCAGGTCCAGCCTTTGGAAAATCCACTTGGCTCATCTGTGTATGTATGTGCACAAAGGGCAGAGGAGAGAGTCCTCATCTGCCCTGACCAGGGGGCAAGGTTGCTGCTACGACATGGTGTGTTGTTGCTGTCAACCTGTTGTTTGGAAAAAAAACTGACTCTTTTCCATCCTTTTCAGAAACAAGAGTTGAAATAAAAGAGTCCGTCCGTGGACAGGATATCTTCATCATACAGACAATCCCCAGGTGAGGCACTTGTGGCTCAGTTTTGCACCTGGGATGTGTTTTTGAATACCTCGATCAGCAGTGGTTCAGTGGTTTGCTCCTGTGAAGTAGCACAACAACCAGTGGAACTCATGCAGTGTTGTCATTGCTCTGACTTAGATTAAGGCCTCACACAGTGTTAAGCTGTTAACATTCCCAGGGGATTGATTGCAGCACTGAGATGCTTCCCATCAAATAGCTGGAGTGTGTCACTGGAGGCAAGAACAGGAGTGACTGATGGTTTCCACTGAGACATCCCTGCCCTGTGTGTTGGTGGCCTTTCAGGCTCAGCTGTTGGGTGATTCCTGACTGGTGTTTCCATCCCAGGTTGGGTGATTTCCTCTGCCTCCCAGCCACCAAGCAACAGAGCCAGCATCAAACAGCAGCTGCTGCTTTCATTGCAGGCTGGATTACTCTTCCCCTTTTGCTGTAGTGATGTGAAACTGAGCTCAGGTGAAGCCCATAGCCTCCCTCCTGTACTTTTACACTTCATCATGATGGTGGGCCTTTTTGGGTTTTTATTTTGGGCTGTTCTAGGCTTGGAGTAAGAGAAGTGCTACAGGTAAGCAGGGAACTAGAAAACCATCTGTAACCCCAAGAACCTTGCTCCCTGCTGGCTCAGGACAGCACTAGGGTGATGAGAAGGGAGCCTACAAATAAAGGATAACTGCAAACTGACCTCCTGTGAGTATGAGAGGTGCTGTTTTCAGAGATGAGGTATTGATATCAACAAAACAAGCATATTCCTGCTCTAATAGCTTTTTTCAAGCTCTGCTCAGATTTTGGAGATCACAAGAAGTAATTAATTAGCAGAGCTCAATTGCAGCTCAAAAGTAGCAGGGAGCAGAATTGCCTGGATACAGGAATTTTCCTTGCTTGCCAAGGAAGTAGAGCCCACTGGGAATTCAAGTTCATTTCCTCTGTGAAATGCTTGGCCTGTTGTAAAGAAATCAGTAGGACTACCAGACCAGCTTACTTGCTTCTGGAATTCCTCTTGCAGGCAGAAACATGTTCCTAGGGCTCATCTCTCTCCAGAGAGATGCCCCAAGAGTTTCCTCCCTCAGGGAGCAACTAAATCTCTTCAAGATGAAAATCCCCTGCTGTAGGATTATGTTTCGGGTGAATGGTGCCATTCTGTTGTCCCTTTGAAGGAGTTCTCTGAAATAACTTGTAACGGAGAGCTGTGTAAACATGAAACAGATCAAGTGTTCAGAGAGCTAACTCAGAGCATTAGGGACAGGAACAGTTTTGGGAGGGGAAAACCTCACCTTTGGTTTTAGCCTGTTGATCCCCTTGTTTTTCCATTAACTGAATTCAGTGATTTGGGCCAAGAAATTGATCTTTTTTAGACAGAATGTTCAAGGCCCTCCAGGTGAGGAGCCAGTGTTTTGCAGCCAAGTCATCTTTCATTCCTAAGCTGCAGCTGTGCCTTGCTGCATTGCTGGAGAGGACAGGTTCAAGGACATCTCCATTTTGCAGTGGGTTTCAGGGAGCTTTTCAGGAGAGACAAAACAACAACTATGTGGAATAATCTAAGAATAGGATTTCTACACTCAGTAGTGGTTTGAAAAGAAAATATTAGGACTTGTTAGTAGAGAGGGAAACAATCTTGTTATGCTGCAGTGTGAATTCACAGTCTGCATCTTAAATGCTCAGAGAGAACAGAAAGACCTGAATATTTGATACAGGCTCTCTGTTGTAAAAGCTGTAACACAACAAAAAAAAGGTGACAAGGACAGTTACCATCCATTTGTGTGAGGGAAAATCAAATAGCTCTTGTTTAGGAATAGAAAAAATGAAGGAGTTGGTGATTTTGTGATACCCTAAACGAAAAAGGAGCCTTTTAGTGCTGAGTGTTGGTGCTGATTGTTGCCAAATCCGTGGAGAGTGTCACATTAGGTGTTTGCTCAGCCTCCAGAGCAGGGGTGCCCAGGATGGCCCAGGCAGAAATAAGGAGCAGCAAGGGAGGCTCTGGTGTGGTAAGCAGGGTGTGGAGGATAGCTGAGCTGTCTCTGGGTGTCCTGGGAATGAGCTGCCAGCCCCTGTGTGAGGTCTTGGCATAACTAACTGAGCATGGCCTCAGAGCTGGGGATGGGGAGGGCAGCAAGGAGCCTGGGATGCTCTCCTGGGGACCTGTTTTGGAGATATTGGGGCTGGGCTTCCTCACCAGTGTCATTTTCCCCAGCTGGTGCCCTTGGTTGGGGTCAGTGCCCCTTGCAGAGGAGCAGGTCAGTGATGGCTCAGCATGAAGCCATCTCAGCCCACCCACCCTGGGCCCTGCTGGAGGGACAGACATATCATATCCACCTCTGCCTAGTGCCTGTGCCTGCTGGTCTGCAGGAGCTTCCCAGAGTCCAGCTTGGGATCCTGCTTGAACACAGGGAGAAGTACCCTCCTTGAATAACTTCTCCATCAGTATGGCTACTAGGGTGTCCTGCAGCAGCACCAGGACTGCTCGTGCCTTTTGAAGTCCCAGCCTTGTTCTCTACCTGCTTTGCATGTGAATATGTATGTATTTGCAAAGAGTAAGTTGAAAAATAATGATAAAAAATACTGTTCCTCAGATGAACTTTAAATGGGCTTCACTTGGACCACTTTGTTTTTATATGACACTGATAGTAGCATCCTTTTCTTCTCTCACAGCCCCACTGGCACAGCTAAATCACCAAAGGGAAGAAACAGTTCTTTGTTGTCCTGTGTGGCAGGGGGCTGTGTTTTATGTAATTCTTGGCTGGGTGCTCCAGAGCCAACAAAGCTTTCTTGTGTGTAAATGGCATTGTGTGCACAGGCTGCCGGGGCCAGCAGGACAGCAGAGACCCAGAGCCTCACAAAAGAAGAGGCACAAGTGGAGGTTAATTTCCAAAGGAAGGGAGAGCAGAGGGGAAATAGAAATGGTCAGAGGTTTGTCATGGGTCGTGTCTCTGGGCATTTGGAAAAGCTGTCTCAAGAGGAAAACAGGGCCTGAGCAATGTCTGGGTAATGTCCAGAAGGCTCTGCAGAGCTTCAGGCTGCTCTGTTTACTCCTCTGCTGCTGTGTGGAAAGATTCACCTTGGGCAGGGCTGGAAACCCCCAGGCAAGGGGGTCTGTGTTGCAGGAGTGCCTGTCCTGCCATCTGAAGCACGTGCTCTTCACTTCCCAGAAGTTCTTGAGTCAGTCTGTGGTGATGCAGACAGTGTCTCTTGGTGTTGTTCTTAAGAACTAAAAGGGAACTAAGGGCTTAGCTTCTTTCCCCATCTCAAAATTAATTAAAATGCAGGTTAATACGCTCCAGTCATTGTGGGAGAGCAAATACTGTGGGGGATGTTTCAGTCTCATGACCAGTGACAGGACTGGAGGAAACAGCATGAAGCTGAGTCAGGGGAGGTTTAGATTGATATTGGGAAAAGGTTTTTCACCCAGAGAGATGCTGAGCACTGGAACAGGCTTCCCAGGGAAGTGGTCACAGCACCAAACCTGTCTGAGCTCAAGAAGCATTTGGGCAACACTCTCAGGGACAGGGTGGGATTGTTGGGGTGTCCCGTGCAGGATTAGGAATTGTACTCACAATCCTGATGGGGCTCTTCAAACTCAGTATATTCTATGATTCCTCTGCCTATGTTACTTTTTCGTTTGGTTGTTTTTTCTTTCAAGAAACAGTCCTGTAGCATTTCCTGTGCTGTTGTTCCTTCCATCTCTAGATAACCTAAGAGTGTGGAGATGCTGATGTTCACCAAAGTGCTATTTCTGGGGCTTGTACTGCTCCAATTACAATAGTTCTTAAAGCAGGAGAAATAACACTGTTAAAGAGGAAAATACCCTAAGAAATTCAGTGTGGATGAAGTTATGTTGGCTGCATGTATACTGCTTCTTTAAAACAGTATTTTATTTCAAATTATACTGTATCGAGTGACATTTGTTCCAAAGTGAATTCTATACAAAGCTTTTTTGTTGGATTATGGAGGGAAATCATCATACACCTTATGTTAGAATATAAAATCAAATTCCAGTCCACAGCTCTTGAGTGCTGGTGTGTCCTGTACATGTGAGAGTTGATTGTAATTTGTTGTGGCGTGGTAGAAGGAGCTGTGTGCTGCAATCTGTCTCTGGCATACATTAGCCTCAGATGTAGCATGATTTCCTTGGAATTTTGGTGAGGGGTGGTCTGGGTATAAATGGAAAAGGAGTTGTACTGGAAAAACACCTGCTAATATTTGGAATTGTGTTCAAATCTCCTAGAGATGTGAATACTGCTGTCATGGAGCTGCTGATCATGGCCTATGCACTGAAGACTTCCTGTGCCAGGAACATCATTGGGGTCATCCCCTACTTCCCCTACAGCAAACAGAGCAAAATGAGGAAGAGGGGCTCCATAGTCTGCAAGCTGCTGGCTTCAATGCTTGCCAAGGCAGGTGAGTATCCCAGGGAGCAGCAGCCCTGCAGGCTTGGTGCTGCTGGCTGTCCCACAGGTCATCTGTCCTTCCATGCTCCTGTTTGATGTGGGGATGTGTTGCTGAGATCTTGAGCCACATTGGGGGAATTAATTTTCTTCAGCTTTCTTTGTAACTTGCACCTGGGGAAGTGACCTAGAAATGTTATAGTGGAATACAGTGTCAGCCCAGTGCTGTGGTATCACATGCCTGTTTCTCATTATGTCTGTGGAACCTTCTGTGTTAATCTGTTTATGATGATTTTATGACATGGCATAATGGTCTGAGTAATAGCTAAAACAGTCTGGAAAATGGAGGTGTTGAAGGAAATCCACATGGAATATTTTCGATAAATTGTCTTTTTTTTCCCCCTTAGGTTTAACACATATTATCACTATGGACCTTCACCAAAAGGAAATCCAAGGCTTCTTCAGCTTTCCAGTAGACAACCTGAGAGCATCCCCTTTCTTGCTTCAGTATATACAGGAAGAAGTGAGGTTACTCTAGTTCTGTGTATATCAACTTGTCTGAACTCATTTTAATGTGATGGCAGCATTGGGCCTCTCCTTAAGCAGAGGTGGTGGTGTCAGCCTAGGTGAATCCTTCTGTTAATGAATTCTTTCTTAGGGGGTACCTACTGCATGTTTCATGGAAAGCTGTGACATTTCTCTGATTGGATAGGAACTGAACTGCAGCACAAGCAGGAGAGAAGCTTGCTCTCTGTGGATTGAGAGATGCTACTTGTGCTCCTGCCTCTAATCACCTCTGAAATCCTGTTAAACTGCTCCCCTTCTCCCTTTGTGCTGGATTTCTGACTGCTCTGAATTATTGATAGACTTTGTCTTGGGCTGAGTGTAGGAGTGCTGAGCACAGCAGGGCTGGGAGCAGGGCATGGAGGTTTTATTCTCCATGTGCAAAAGATGATGATTTATTCCCACACGGTGAGAGCAAGGCTTCCCCATATGGGGAGGTTTAAACTTAGAGAACATTCCCACCTTTGGGAATACACAAATACTGGTGTTGGAAGCAAGTGCAGTTGCCTCTCTAGTTTCTTGTCACAGCATGAAAATTTGGTTCTGGGGAGGAGGATGGGTGAAATTATTCAGCCATGTATCAAACCAGTTATTCCCTAGCAAGAATGTCTTTTTTTAATTAATTAACTTTTTATCACATCCAGATTCCAGATTACAGAAACGCAGTTATTGTAGCCAAATCTCCTGGTGCTGCTAAAAGGTAAATGGATGCTTTGCTATCTGGTTAAAAGTTACTTGGAAAATACCTGAGCTGGTGGAAGATAGACCAGGGAAAGTATGGGAGGGTGACAGATGGATTGACAATCTGGTCATAATTCTTTTGTGGCTGGAAATGGGATGGATGTGGTGCAGATAGAGCTGAACTTTGTATTCCCACCCCTATGGGCATAAACTGACAGTCTCATTGAGATGGTTCTCCTGGGGTCAGACTTGCTGCTGGAGTTTCAGCAGTGCCTGACCATCTCAGAAAGCATTTCCAGTGTGGAGGAGCACAGGAAAGCCTGTGGTGGAGCCAAGGGATAGAGTGGGCTTTGGGATATTGATGAGGAATGAAGAGTCACTTCCAGTGAGGTTTCTTGCAGAGAAACAGCCACAGAGGTGCAGTCTTTGCTTGCTGTTGGTGTGGGAGAGCCTTGCTGCAGTGGGCTGTGGAGCTGCATCAGTGATCCCAGCAGCTCCTGAGAGGCTGTTTTTGTCTTGCAGGGCTCAGTCTTACGCTGAGAGGCTGCGCCTGGGGCTGGCAGTGATCCATGGAGAGGCTCAGTGCACGGAGCAGGACATGGATGACGGGCGTCACTCCCCTCCCATGCTCAAAAATGCAACTGTGCATCCTGGCCTGGAGCTGCCATGTAAGATCAAGTTTCTCTGCTTGAGGGGGAAAAAAAAGAGAAAAGTTTGGGAAATTTCTTTAGGTTAATCTGTGTGGTTGTAACCAAACTAAAGATAGTTAGACCAGTGGAATTTTTGGGTTGATATCCGTGAGTTGTGTGACAAGTCACAGGGAAAAGTTTGTATTTAACTCCTTCTGGCCATGCAGAGCATCAGTATTGTCTCCTTGGCTGTGCCTGCTCCATAGTGTTAGACTGACACTCTGATAAAGGTGATGCTTTTACAGTGTTCAGCAACAGAATTCCTTGAGCTGATGGAACAAGGGAGATATAAAAGTGCAAGTAATGGGATAACAACCACTGAGACAGGCTGTTGGCTCCATTGGTGTAGGGGAGAGCTGGTCTTTGTCTCCCTTCTCTGCAGCCATAGTTACTGCTGGAAATTTTCTTCACCTCAGCACCCAGATGATCATATTCCAATGTCTGCTTTGACAAGGTTTTGAGGTTTATGTGGCTGGGGTGAATAGGTTCTCCAAGAGCATTGTTGACCTGCTTCTGGAGCTCTTGCCATTGATTTGGGAGCAGAGAGGACAAGAAAAGGAGGAAACTTGTATTCTGGGAATTGCCATCCTCAGGACTGCTTGTATTCCTGCAGCAATCAAAGAAAAACAGTGCAATCAAAATCCAGCTCCTTTTTGGGAGGATTTTAGCTTTCTAGGCAGGTGGTGGCAGGACAGAAATTGGGAGCAGGAAGGTGGCTGAGAAGTGCCCATGGGAAAGGCTGTGTGCTGCTGTGTGTGGCAACACCAGCAGTGGTTTGGGCTGCTGATAATCATCTAATCTTTGGAAATTTAGGAAGAACATCCAACCAGTTTGTGAGCAGCTTGTGGAGGGGAGGCAAGTAAGACTGCAGGCATTTTACATCACCCCAGTTGTGTCTTACTGCAGTACAACCAGTTAAACAGTGCTTTTGTTGCTGGTGAAATTTCTCTTGGGCTTTGGGGGGCAGGTGGGGTTTGGCAATGAAGTTTGGGTCGTTATTGTTCTTCTGACAAGGGTTTTTTTCCATGTCTGTCCAAGGAAGCAGGAATTTGCATGGTTATTCTTCACTTTCTCCTCCCCCTCCTATTCTGGAGGATGCTGTCCCCCAGAATATCAGTAGCTGACATTTGTCTGCTACAGAGGAATTGATGTGATTGTGTTTTTATTTCCAGCCATGTCACTTCAAAGAAGCTCAATTGTGGAAGGTTGTGCTGCTGGAGAACCCTATAAATGGTTGTTCATACAGAAATATGCCCTTATCCAGTTTAGTTATGAATCCAATGGAAAATTGTTTTCAGTCCTCAGCTATCCAAACACTGACTAATTTGATGTGTATCACCACTTTCTTATTTTATCTCCTGCTGCACAAACTCAGCACTTGACCAAGGACCTTCCATCCCTGCATGCCTAAGGCACAGTGTAAAACAGTTGAGCTGTGGCTTGGCAGCTCCCTGCCATGGGGTGGATTGTGGGGCAGATTTGTCCAAAACTCTCAGTAGAAGCTGTCTTTCTCTGCAGTTTTCTAACCTGAGACGTACCTGGTTTAGAGTGAGCTGGGTTCTGGAGGTGCAGAATTGAGGTTATCCCTATCTAAAAGCAGTCTGTACATTCTGGTTGTGTCACAGTCTCTTGCCAGACGGAGGTGAAAGTGAAGCTGAGATGGCAACACTGTGAGTGTCTGTGCTGTGCCTCATTTCTTGTCCAATTCAGTCATTTGAAAAACATCTTCCAACCTCAAATGTCACTTATTTCCACACCCTCATTCAGCTCTCCCTTCCTGGTGGTGAAAGCTCTGAGGCCAGAGTGTAGCAGGGTTCAGCTGTGTGGTTGATTGTGAAAGGTCAGACATGTGCTGCTGCTCAGAACTGGATATTCCTTACACCAAAACTGTCCTCAAACCCTCCAATTGCCAAAACAGAAGCGATCTGTGAGTCTGCCTGGCTCAGCAAGCAAACCTGGGCCTGGCAGGTAGGAAGCTGGGGCTGTTCCTGAGGAGTGGCTGAGACTTCTTATGGAGCATCCCACTCTGGGCTACAACCAGATCAGTGTGGAGCATCCCAGACTTGGCAACTGAAGCTCCAGACAGCTGTGTTAGAGCCAGGAGAGAGTGAAACCTGTGTTGGGGAGCAGCCCCAGAGCCATGGCTTGTGCTCTGTGCCATTCTCCGTGGGCTTCCTGGTGAATTGGCTGGGCTCCTGTGTCCTGGCATGCACCTCCTCCGCCTGTTGTAGCAGGGATCATGTGCCTCTAATTAATGAGTGCTAGGCAGTGTAATGGTTTATTTATTGTCCTGTGAGTGTGGCCTGATGTGATATTCTGATTCGTAGGGAGCCACAACAGAAAAATGCCAGAGGTGCTTCTAATTGCAGTTAAAATGCTGCGCTGGAGTGGCAGCAAGAGCCCACAGCACTGCAGCCCCTGAAATCAGAGCCTTGGAGACAGGAATCACTCCAAGGTTATTCCCTTTGATTGTGTGCTTTTGTGTCTCAGAGCTTGCAGCTGGCTTGGGGCTGTGCCTTAACAAATGCATGGGGACTCTTTGCCTGTTTCCTGGAGAAAAAGAGTGAAGCACCATCTGTTAAATCATTTCAGTGGCTTTGGAATTCAGTACTTTGTACAGAGAGCTAATGGTCTGCTTGAATCCCAGAGCCCAGCAAACTGCCACAAAGGGAGTTTGGGGGAGAAACTGGAGTGACTGTGGGTCTGTTCCTACTTCCCTGCCCCCATCTTGCCTGTGTTTAGGCTGGGCACAGGGGTGTTTTCTGTCCTTCCAAGGTTATCTCTACACTAAACAATTCATTCTTGAGCAGCCTTTTGCTCCCAGGCTCTGTGATAAATGCAGCATTATATTTCTTGGTGATTGTCACTTTAATTTGCACTGTCAGCTCCAAACAGGATTTATTTTAGTATTTCTTAACTCATTTTTGACCACTTAATTGAAGCAACATGTTTACACACCTGGAAATGTTCTTTCTTAGTGCCAGTGATCCTGCCTTTAACATGTGGTACTTTGGTGTATATTATGCACATCTGAATGAAAGAGTTCTTTGGTATTCTTGTTTTATAAAAAAATGGTGGTTGGTCTAGTTTTTTTCTCTTTTATTTTTTTTGTTCTCAGAAGCTACAGATACCACAAGCATCTTTTCTTTCTCTCCAGAAAAAGTCAGCAACTCTTTAAACCAAACTTGTACATGATCCAAGGGGTTTCACCATGCAAAGTACCACCATGGCTTATTTCTGTTACCCTCTTCTGTCTACAAACACAGAGGGTTTGTGTCTGGGAGGAAAATATTCTTTTATTATTTGAATCATTTTTCAAGGCACCTCCTCATAGCAGTTCTGACTTGCACATCTTGATATGTTCAAAGATTTTGAAGAAGAAGCTGCCTGCACTAACCCTTGTGTAGACTCTCATCACCTTGGAGCAGTTGAGATTTGATGTGGTTGTGGGTAGATCTTTGGCTTGCAATTTTTTTTTTCTTTTTTTTGCAGAGAAAATTGAACAAGGAAAAGGGAGAACATCTCTTTAAGATCCGGGTAGGTCGACACGTTGCCTACCATTCTTTAAAAATAAACCAAAATCGAAATACAGCTTTTAAAAAACAGAGAGAGATGCAAAGCACTGCTAATGTTGCTGGTTGCCATGTTAGCCTTTAAGCACAGCAAGCAATGTGTCTGCTTCCTTCATGGAGTAGAAGGATGCTGACTTGCTGAAACTCCATATCTCTGTGAGTAAAATAGTGCTGAATTTCAACTCCCCAGGCCTGTTCACCATTTGTGTAGAAAAGTTTCCCCTGACCTGGCTGTTGTAAACAGAGATGGCACTCATCAGTGGATACACACAGAGGCTGGGATGGCAGCCAGGTGGAATCCTTTTGATACTTCACAGCTCCCACCAGGAGCTTTATTACTGTCCAGACTAGATAGTGAACTCATAACTAATCTGAGCAGGTCAGTAGTGCCTGTAACTGAAATTTATGATCTGCTTATTTCTCGTGGTGCTTAATCTTCATTTATTACAAATAATCTTCCTTCTCATAAGAATATTTTTCCTTCAGGATTTAGATGTGACTTTGCTTTTGATAGGAGACTCAGAAATAACCATGCAAGGGAGGCTGAGGAATCTGTGCCATGAAGAGCTGTTGATTAACTCTTCAGTCCAAGGTAGCTGTGACTTTTAACTGCAAAAACCTGGCAATGAGTGATGGGACTTTGGGCAAAACAGAATTACTGGATACCTTTTATACAGTTTTGGTAGGTTTATGGAAAACCAGCCTGGAGTAGATCATGGATGTGAAGAACAGCTCTACACAAGAATCTTGGAAATTGTGGTGCTTACAATTGCTTTCATCATATCCCTCAGTGTGAGTCATTCACCCAGCTGTGCTTGCACTCTTAAGCATTCCCAGGCACTGCTGAGATATGGGAATAGTACTGGATCATCCTGCTGTGCAGGATGGGGAGTTTGATGCAAGACTTTTTTGGTGAGGAGAGCAGAGATCAATATTTAGACAGGCTTTTTGGTGGGCAATTGCTTGTGTTCTCCTGCTGCTCAGGTATTACAGTGAAGTGGATTATCCTAAAAGAGAAAAATCCTGCTTTGTCTGAGCTCTTTGAGGCACTTGAGAAGCCTCTGTGGCCAGAATCCTGGCAAGACCTGAGCTTACAAAAGGAGGGGCACCAAGATCCTTGGTTAGGACACTTTGCACTCACTGTGAAGAGTATAAAATAGGGGTGTGGGGTGTGGAGGTGGGCCAGGTAAGTTTTACAAAATCTGGAGGTGCCTCTTGGCTTCAGTGGTTAGATCAGCCCAAATTGTCACCTGTTGACACACGTTTGCCCACCACAGTGTCCTTTCCGTGCTGGAGGTTTTTGTACCAGCACCCCATGGCAAGTGAGAGCTTTGGCAGATGGACAGCAAGTCCCTGGCCTGTACTGGAGGTTGGTTGCTGTTTGCTGTAAGTGTCAGGGCTGTGTTACATCTGGACACTCTCAGTGCATCTTAGTTCAGATTTCTGGTATTTTTATGATGCTGCTGGAATTTTGGCAGGATATGGTTTTGCATGAGCCCTGTCAGTGCAAAAGTAGTGTCAGGAGGGGTGGAACCTTATTTCCCAGTACATTTCTTCACTGTATGCCAGGTAGCACAGCTTGTCAGTGTATCCTTTGATCCAGTTGCTGGTTGCACTGAGCTTGTTAAACAGAGTTTCAACTGGATTTTGTCCTACTCTTTCCATTAATCCACTTAAAAAATAATCAGCAAATTTGCTTCTGCAAACTTCCTTAAGCTTTCTTTGCCTGAGCAGGTGGTATTAAGGTTCTTACACCCTCTCAAAGATCCCTCTGTGTTTGGTGATGTGCGAAAGCAAATGAGCTGCAGTGCACGTCTCTGGTCCTACAGATGATTTACTGAGTCCAAGAGGTGAAAAGTTGCACCTTGTAAAGCATCTGCCCTTTGAGAGGTGCTGCTTGGAAAAGCCCATTTGTTGTTCCCAGTCGTGGAATGGACCCTTTTTCAAGTCCTGTGCTGGAGCACAGAGAGGGTCACTGATATTGCCCATAAACCAGGTGCTGCTTTGTAACTCCTTGCACAGGGGTCTGTTAGAGAGTTGGAATTGCTTTCTGTTTCTGAGCTCAGTACAAAATCCCCACAGAAACAGAATTTCCTCTTTATGCAGCAGTGCTGTTCATTTGAGGAGAAAAACGATGATTAAATGAAAGTTTCTCACTTAGGTGGGTGTCAGGATCATGTAAAGCACACCTGTGTCTGCATCAGTGCAAGATGTTTAATGGTTCAGCCTCTTGTCTGGTGGAACTGTTGGGGTTTGACTCAAACCTGAGTCACCTGGATTCTTTTTTTCCCTTCTTCTTTAGTGATGATGGCCAAGGAGAAACCGCCCATAACTGTGGTTGGAGACGTTGGAGGAAGGATTGCCATCATCGTGGTATGAGTGTGAGGGGAACAGGTGGGGGGTGGCTTCTTCACAGCATCTTTGCTTCAGCTGCTCTCTCCCTGAGGGTCAGAGGGATGGCTGGTATAGGAGTGGGAACGTGGTTTTTAGACACACTTTTCTCCAGCAGTGCTGGTGACTTTGGTTATTTCAACTTTCTGTTGAAAACCATTCACACTTCAGTTCTTTAAGCCCTAAAATGTTCTTGCTGCCTTGATTCTAAGTGTCAGATGTCTGCAAGTAATTAATAACTCCAGGACACACAGAAAGCTCCTGAAGTGTTAAAAAACCCCAAACAAAAAGCTTGCCAAGCCTCTCTTACTTGCTATGCCATACTGCAGTGTAAGTAATCAACATGCAGCTCCTGCCCCACGGAAAAATAGGCCTTGCTGATGATAAACTGCAAGTGCATGTGCAGAGACTGATTTGTTTCCAAGACACAGCATTTGTTCTCCACACTAGCAAAAGGGTCATTAAACCGGGGAAATAGCATTCACAGATTAGTCATGCACGTGGCTGTCCTCATCAGCAGCTGAAGTAGACAGGGATTCTATTTTTCATCTGTGTGCATGGCCAAAGCTGCAGTAGCCTGCAGATCCACTCCTGCCCTGCAGGCTCTGTAAACTTCTGGCTTTGATGTTATTTCTGTTTCTGCTCAGGATGACATCATTGATGATGTGGAAAGCTTTGTAGCTGCTGCAGAGATCCTGAAAGAGCGTGGAGCCTACAAGATTTTTGTGATGGCTACTCATGGGCTCCTGTCAGCAGATGCCCCTCGTCTTATAGAGGAATCCTCCATTGATGAGGTGAGTCTGCTCTCCACACTGCAGAGTGGGGGCTGGCACCAAAACTCACAAATTGATGTCCTTCCCAAGGCACCTAGCTCATGTCTGGAATTACTCATTTAATCAGGTGCTTTCAGTTAGTTGGTTCTTCACTGGAACAAAAAAAAAAAAAAAAGTGTTTGTGATTAATACTTGCTCACATCAGATCTGCTTCCCTAGTGTATTTTCTCCCTAAAAAAAAATTAGTCGTCCCTGCCTGGAGACTTCCCTCCCTGCAGCTGGGGCTGTGTGGTGCCATCTGACTGTGCAGCCCCTCTCCCCCAGCTGATCAGGGGCTGCTGGTAGATGAAGAGGGCAGGATTTCAAACCTTAGTAATAGATCCTCTGATCTGAGTTGACCTGTAGCCTGCTGGAGAGTGCTGGTTATGCTGGTCCCCTCAACAGACTGTCACAGAGGGGAGATCATTTATTTTAATCTTTTTTCCTAATATGCAGTGAGTTCTCCCCCTGAACTGTGAAACAGCAGTACACACCCCTGCTGGAGTCAGTCCAGGGTGGATGAACATTCCAGCAGCACAACTTCCTTTCCTTTTTGGCCCTCCCTAGGTGGTAGTGACCAACACTGTTCCTCACGAGGTGCAGAAGCTGCAGTGCCCCAAGATAAAGACTGTGGATATCAGTTTGATCCTGTCGGAAGCCATCCGGCGAATCCACAACGGCGAGTCCATGGCCTATCTCTTCCGCAACATCACTGTCGATGACTAAACCCGAGCCTGCCCCTCTCCTGGGTTCCACAAGAGAAGGAAATCTGCATGGAAAGGCAATACCATAAAACATAGGCATAACACAGCTGTTTATTTTTGTAGGAGTGTTGACGTTTTCAGGGTCTTGAGCCATGAGATCTAATAGAAAAAAATCAACCTGACCAGCACTTTACAATAGAAGGGGCCACTGGCAGTGAGGGGAATTACACCTCGATTGAGAGAGATGGAAAAATGAGGTGGTGTTGAATTTTTAAGTTCCTTTAATGATTTTTTTTTTTTTTTAGTGTGTTTTCTCTTGCCCTGTAGGGGCAGAAAGAAAAGCTAAACAGAAGTAGCTGTCAGCTTGTGAGAAGGGAACAGGGACTGCTCATTGCTGTGTGGGCAGCGAGAGCAGCCTTTGGGGTTGTTTCTGGCTGTGTCTCACCCCAGAGCATGGAAGGGAATGTTCAGGCTGTGCTGCTGGCAGAGCTGAGCCAACAGCAGCTCCGTGCCAGCTCAGTGGCCTCTCCTCTCCTGCACAGCAGAGCAGGGACTTTCATCCAAACTAAATTAGCAGAACATCCCGAAAGGACAGCTTAGGGCAGCCCATTGCCTGGGCTGCTCCCATCCCTGGGTCAGGGAGCTGGGAACAGGCTCATGTGTGTGTCCCAGCAGAGCAGGGAATGCCTGTTAATGTGTTGGCCTTTTCATTTTGTGAGCTTTGGATCATTATTGCTCTTCAGTGATGAATCACATGAGGGTCTTGGTCCTCTCTGGAACACTTGTCTGCACTGCAAAACCAGGCGTGATTTTTGGAGTTGCGTGGGGCTGAGTTTGTGGCAGAGTCTTGTGGGGAAGGGAAGGTGGAACAATATCTGCTTCTAATGCAGCTGTGCTCTCCAAAACACTAACACTGAACCTGCAATAAAAAGTATAAAATTTTTCAGCTTTGGTGCTTCCTGTGAATCCTGTGCCCTCTGAGGAGCTGCTGTGTCTATTCAGTGGGGCTGTTGCTGTAACAAGGCTCACTTGGCAGCTTGTAGCCTTCTTCCATGGGGAAGTAGGACTGGCTGATCACTCCTTTCTTGAGTGATACTAAATTTTGGGTGGAGGGGACACTTGAGGAAGCAGCACAAGATGCATGTGGAGGGCTTTGTTTCCAGTATGATACAAGGATAAACTCCCAAACTGATCTTTCCCCTTGATGAGAGGAACACACTTCAGAAAAAACTTACACCACTCGTCTGCTGATGTGAAGAACAAATAAAAGCTGCTGGAAGCAGTTGCTTCGACAGCACAGGAAATGTTTAGTTGTTTAGTTTTGGTTATCCTTACTCTACACTTTTCTTCTTCCACTCCAACATATAAAACGTGCCAAGGGGCACAGTGACTGAGCAGGACAAGCCTTGAATACCAGGGAAACAAATGGGCCTCAGCATGGAGTGCTTGGACCACCTTCAGTATCCAGCATGGATTAAACCTCCACGCCAAATTCCATGAGGGATGTGAAGAACTGGATGAGGTATCAAAGCTATTGATGGGTTTTCCTGCACTTTCCAAGTACCACAAACCAATCTCAGCTGTACTCTGTGACCACAGCCTGGCTCCTTGGCCTGGAGGGGTAACATAAAGCTGTACTACAAGTATTGAACAGCTCAGCTGGAGCTGTGGAGTCCTTGCAGATGTCTGTGCCCCTTCTTCTGAGCCAGTGCTGCACAATGTTCTTCATCCTGGAAGTCAGTGTTAAAATGTGAGCAGTATTGCTGTTCTCTCCCCTCCAAAGTGCTTGTCAGTCCTGCCAGGAGCAAGGTTGGGGCTCATTGAGGGTTGTTGCCCCATTCAGGCTTGCCTTTGCTGGGCTGTATTTGGGTAGGAACCATAGAATCACAGCACCACTGAGCAGAGGGTTGTGCCTGTGTGCCCTCATTGTCATGAGTGAATGCTTTATGGTTGCTTAAAGAATCACCAGCAAAGGTATCAGCAAAAGCAGGTTTAGTATAGAAGTGAAAGTTCCACAAAGTTGTTGGCAAGGCCAGGCCCTGTAGTGCCCCCGTGCAGGCTGTGTGAGAACATGGATCACCTCTCCACAGGGCACAGCTCTCCTGGGCAGGCTCAACTCACCCTGCCAGCGGCTCCTGGGGCACCACTGCCCAATGTGAGCTGTCCTTGGAGTCCTTTCAGGGCTGAAAGTGTTAGTGGCTGGAGGTGTTGTGGCACATGGTCCCTGCAGGTCCTGTTGGTTGCTGGAACCAGGACATCAGCAGGAGACAATGGGGACATTCCACACAGGGCTGAGCCAGTGCTGTGTAACAATGGGCACTCTTTGCCAGGGCAGGGGGACACTGTAAAGAGGGACACAAGTGGCACAGGCTCCAGAACAAGGAGGAGACTGAAGAGGAAGGAGCCTGTTGGTCTTCCTTCTCCTCCTTCTAACATCTCCTACCACCTGCCACCTACCTGCTCCTCCCCAGAGCAATAGCACAAGAGGCTCTAGTTCCTGGCAGTTCTGTACTTTTGGACACATCAGCAGCAATGGCAACGCTCACTCTGGGCCAGATGCTGGAGGCTGCCCTGGGGTCATCGAGAGATGGACTCGTTGACTTTGAGCAGCTGCACAACCTCCTGAACGCGATGCTTTTGCACCTGGGCCTGCGGGATCTGCTTGTCCAGGAGAATGGGGAACCACTGGAGGGGGCCGAGGAAAGCCCTTTCTCTTTCCTTAAGGAGTTAAAGCAGAAAGTGGAAGCCAATGAAAAAGAAATCGCTGAGGTAGAGGCTCTTCCCAGCCCCAGGTGCTGCCCTCAGCCACCCCCTCCTCTGGGGTCTGAACCCCCTGGTGCTGCTGGGGAGCTGCTGCTGAGGATGTGCTGAATTCCAGGCCCTGAACTGCCCCTGGCTCTGTGCAGACCGTGGTGGGTGCAAAGGACGCTGCCCTGGGGCTCACCCACCATTCCCTCTCCTAGGTGCGGGCTCTTTGCCAGGAGCTGCGTGAGGAGGTCAATGTGGTGAAGGAGGAGCAGTCCCACATGGCAGAGGACATGCAGTATATGCTGCAGAATTTGGACATGGTGAGCTGCTGCTGGTGCTCTCAGGAGCTGCCCTGCAGCCCTTGGAGGCTCCCAGCGTGAAGGGGTGAGAGGGAAGGGTGTCCTGAGGGTGGAACGTGGGCACTCATCCCAACCCACCTGCAGCTCCCCCACTTTGCTCTGCCACCACTGCCCACACGTCAAGCTGGTGGTAGAGGTCACTGCCTCCCTCAACAGGGCTGCTGAGCCATTTGTGAACTAAGCAGCCATCCAAAAAAAGTACCCTGGGTCCGAGGAAGGTGAGGAGACAAAGGTCCACCTGTGGAATACAGCCACAGCCACTTGGCATAGCTCTGTCCAGGATCCCTCTGTCTGGTGTCCAGGTTAATTTGCAAATGTCCCTTTGAAATCCTGCTCCTGTGTTCTGACTCCTGTCTGTCCTCACCCTGCTGCAGGAAGGATTCCAGAACATGCTGAAGGAGCTCTGTAACCAGATGATGGAGTCTCTCATGGTATGTCCTTCAGCACACCCAGGGCCTGCTCCAGGCCAGGGTCCCCTCACATCAGGACATGGTCCCCAGAAGTTCTGGAGGTGGCGGGGAGGGAGAGGGGTCAACACTCCTCTGGATCCCATCATGCTCCCAGTTGCACAGATGGCTCTGATGCCTTCCTTCCAAAATAAAACCTGAAAGAGGCTGATGCTCTCCTCAGCCCCAGAGGAGGTGAGAAACATGGTGTGCTGGGATGTGCTGGAGGACTTCCTGGTGGGCAGGAAAGCAGGAGAAGGAGGAGGACGAGGAGGCCAAGGTCTGGCAGGTGGAGCTGGATTGCAGCCCCCTGCACCTCCAGCCACTGTGCACCCCAGTGCCTCTGCTGAGGTTGCTCAGGACTCCTCTTCCCACCAGGAGAAGGACCTGGCATAGGCTGAGCCAGGGCAGCTCCTCAACTAACCTAACATGTGGTCCCAGCTTGTTTCTGCTCAGAAAAGGGCCATGTTCAGGGTGGTGGGAGAAACAGCAGGAGCTGGTGCCTCCCTGGGGCCAGGCTGTGCTGGCATTGCACCACAGCCCCTCCTTGCTCAGCATCAGGCAGGACCACGGCTCCCTGCCCTCCAGGTCTCCTGGAGTGTGGCTTGGATTAGGGGACAACAGAGGGACATTCTGGGGCAGGTCTGGGAGGCAAGAATGCCTTCCTGTTGTGTTAGATGGCATCAGTCAGGTGTTTGCTGGTCCCCTGGGCTGGCTGGGAAAACCACAGTCATGGTCAAAGGGCTCAACTGGCCGGGGAGGAACATTTTGCAGTTCAGCACAGGCAAGTGCAGGGTCCTTCAGGTGCGGAGGAACAGCCCAGGCTGGAGAAGCAGCTCTGTGGGGAAGGAGCTGGGGGTGCTGGGGCACGAGGAGCTGTCCCTGAGCAGCGCTGTGCCCGAGGGCACCAGAAGGGCGCTGCTGTCCCGGGGGGCGTGAGGAGAGCATCTCCAGCAGGTCAGGGGGTGATGCTGCCCCTCTGCTCAGCCCTGGCCAGGCCTCCCCTGGAGCAGTGTCCAGTTCTGGGCTCCTCGGGATGAGGGACACGGAGCTCCGGGTCCTGTGGAGGGCCACCAGGATGGTCTGGGGACGGCAGCATCTCTGTCCTGGGGAAAGGCTGAGGGGGCTCGGGCTGTCCATCCTCAAGAGGAGACACAGAAAAGGAACCAAGGGAGGGTGATGCTGAGCATCCAGGGGAGGATCTGTGCCTCAGTTTCCCCAGGAAGAGCTGGGCTGGCAGGCTGGCTTGGGGATCCTGAATGCAGCCCAGTTTGGTAGCCAGCCCATCCTCTCCTTCCCAGTCTGCCATGAAGGAGATGATGCAGGGCGGCCAAGGCTCAGACAAGCAGAAGCACGCTGGCTCCAGGCATCTGGCCCCAGACTCGACTGATGACCCAGAGCTGATTGTCATCGGCAACGAAAGTACCTCTGGGCACAGCTGGGGAGGGACCCGGGGGGTGTGAGGGCACAGGGGGCCTGCAGGCTGCTGACTGCCCCCAGCCATGTTCCCCCTGGCTCCCCTGACCCTGGGCAGCTCCCTCTGGTTTCCTCTTCCAGTTACCCTGGTGGAAAAGCCCAGGACACCCAGGCACGGGGACGGGCGGGCTGCCAGCCCTCTGCCCCCCGACGCCAGGACACCGGGCAGAGGGAAGGAGGAGAATGCCAGCAGCGACCTGCTCCCCGCTGGGGAAGATGCCACGGGACAGAACGTGGAACAGAGTGACAGGGGACGGAGTGGCACGGCACGGAGGGGCTTGGGGTGGAGTATGGGGCAGAATTACATGGGACGGAGTGTGGGACAGAGGGACATGAGACGAAACGTGCAATGGAGCGACGCAGGACAGGAGGACATGGGACAGGAGGACATGGGACAGATCAAGGATGAAGAGATCGAGGTACACATCTCTACGGTAGAGGATCTTCCCAGCCCCTCTCAGGGCGGTCCCTCTGAGATGACCAGCATGGAAGAGATCAAGGAAGAAGACACCAAGATGAGCATCTCCGAGGTAGAGGCTCTCCCCAACCCCGTGGGTGCTCCCCCTGAGACACCCCCTCCTTTGGGGTCTGCATCCCCCTCTTGCTGCCCTTAGACCAAGGTCTGCTTTAAGACCAAACTCACAGTGGCACAGGGGGCTTCCTGGAGGGAAAGGGGTGGAGTTCTGGGGGCGAGAGCTGGGGCTGAAACACTGCTCTGCTTGCTCAGGCTCCTCCCCACAGTCAGAAAAAGAGTTTGGATGGCAGTTTCACCACCTCAGGAACGCATCCAAGAGCGCCTGGCACCCACCTCCCAGTGCAGCGGGTGCAGTCAGTACGAGGCCACCCAGGATCCCAGAACCTCTGGGTCCCAGCCGAGAGCATGGCTGGGACAAGCAGGTGAGTGCCACGGGGACAGCAATGGCACTGGGGACAGCGCTGGCCCTGCTCCCTCTGGCTGGGCCCATGGGTGCCCTGGCATTGGATCCATCTATCCACTGATGGAGCCGTGGGGATGCTGATGAGCATTTCCTCCCAGGGGCAGTAGGCTAACAGCATCCAAGGAGGCACGTGGAAGAGGCATCAGGATGGAGGCATTCCCAGCTGAAGCTGGAATGTAGGTGCAAAGGCTTTTGTGACAAGTGTGGGGGACATGGCTTGTCCCCTGGCAGGGCTGGGACACGCAGTGCCAGAGCCCAGTTGTGACCTGCCCTCCTGGCAGGGCACAGGGGGGTCCTGGGTGCTGACCAAGAGAGGACACAGGTGTGAGGCTGGTTGGGATGGCAGCTGTGGGATCCTGAGCCCTCCACCTCCCATCCCCGCGTGTCCCGGGCAGCCACAAGCAGCCACCCTATTTTGGAGGCACCAGTGGGACGAGATGAGCATGTCCCAGGCTGGGAGCATCCCACCCTAGCAAGGGGTACAGGAACTCCCTCCTTTGACCTGGCCACCAGCCCCAGTTCCCACGGGACTGGGTTGCCCCTGGGAGACATTCCCATAGCAGTGGCTTTTGGGAACTTCCCTCTGTGGATTCACCATTGTCCCAGGTGGGACTCCCCAAATAGCCCATTTCCCCCCATCCCATCCCTTTTATTTTGTAACCAGCCAGTGGGTTGGACTGTGCTGTGGTATGGTGGAGAATCCAGGCTCAGCACCCCACCCTAAAAATGCCGGACCTCCCTGCAGTGCTGTGCCTGCACAGTCAGGCCTGTGTCCCCCAGGAGCTTGCCCAGCCCTTTTCTCCCTGCTTTAGGATGCTCCTAAAGGTGCCCTCTTCCGAGTACACACCTTGTGACCAGCTTGTGCAGTTGCCTGGCCGGTGAGTGGCACCAGCACCGGTGCATCAGGGGTGGGACAGGGGCAGATGGGTGCTGGCAGTGCCCTGCAGTGTCAGGGGTGGCTCGTGTGGCCCCTGTCACCCACCCGTGGCCCCTGTCACCCTCCCCAGACACTCTGAGGCCATCTCGGCCACGCCACCGCCATCCCCCGGCTTCTCCATGCGCCTGCCCCGCGCTCGCAGGCAGCACCGAGTCCAGGAGCACAGGTGGGGACTTGGGGACCCCCCTGGGCCCTGGGGAGCTCATCCCAGCAAGGAGAGCTCTTCCCTGGGTGGCAGAGCTGGGAAGGGGCAGAGAGGAGCTGCAGAGGGTTTCAGAGCCAAGCCCTGAAGCCACATGTGATGAGTTGTGTCTGCGCTCAGCCTCAGCTCAGGCTTGGTGGGACTTGGTGCCTCCTGTGAAAGGAGTTGCCAAAATCAAGCCCTGGAGCTGGGACAGCCCTGCTGTCCCACAGGGGCTGTTTCAGAGCCTGGCACAGCCCTGCTCCTGCCTCCTGCTGTCCCCTGCAACGGGCACCAGGACCTGTCCCAGCCATGGGCAGCCCTTAGGGCTGTGGGGAAAGGGCAGATCCTGCAGGGCTGGGTGGGCAGGGGTCTCCTGCAGCAGCTGGAGGAGGGGGAGCACCCCCTGAACCCCTCCCTGGCACAGCAGGCTGAAGCACAGGGTGCCAGGGCGCCGGGCACTGAGCACCCCCGTGCCCTGTCCCACAGGGAGCAGCCCGTGGAGGGGTACTCCCGCAGACCACCGCTGTACTCCGGGGGCAAACACACCAGCGTCAGCCCCGTGAAGCCCATGAAACCACTCCTTCCAAACCCCAACGAGGTAGGGATGGGAAAGGTGGGGACACACACAGGACACCGAGGCTGGGAGAGTGATGCTGAGCATCTGGAGGAGCATCTGTGCCTCAGTTTCCCCAGGAAGAGCTGGGTGGGGAGGCGAGGGGATGCTGAATGCAGCCCAGTGTGGCAGAGCCAGCCCATCCCCTCCTTCCCAGCCCGGCACGTTCGAACTGATGGGCAGGGATGGAGTCGTGTACCGGGGCCGGACTCCCCCGGGGATGGACTGAGCAAGTGGCTCCAGCCTGCAGAAATAAAGGGTGACCAGCAGCCTGTGCCTCCTGAGCGAACTGGAGCTTTCCTTCGTGCACAAGGAGGGGCTGGCAGCATCCCTCATCCTGCCAACAGCCCCTGTGACACCCCCTGGCCCCCTCGAGCCCCACTTGTGCCCTGCCAGGGGACCCCAAAAGGGGCCTGGGACAGCAGGAGGAGGAGGAGGAGGAGGAGGAGGAGGAGGAGGAGGAGGAGGAGGAGGAGCTCATTTGCTGCTGGAGAAGGGGGGAATGGGGAGCTCGGTGGGAAGGACAGCAGGAGTAGAACAAGAGTTGGATGCCAAAAGCAAATCCCAGCCCAAGCCGCTGGTTTGCTGTCACTTATCCCCCCGATGAGCATCACAGACCCCCTCTGCCACCCCCTCGTCCCTCTTGCATTGTTCAAAGGCACAAACCCCTCTGCTCCCCACCTCCAACCAACACACCATAACCCCAGGAGAGGGACACGTCCCCTCCTTCCCGAGGGGTGTCACAGGGGCTGGGGATGGCCCCTCACAGGCAGTGACACTTCCTGGGGGGGACACAAAGGTGGTGTCACCTCTCAGGTGAGAAACACTGAGGGGAACCCCACAGGAACCTCGGGGGGACTCAGAGCTTATGGGGGACATCCCCTGGGGGCTGCCTGGGCAACCCACCTCCTGGTGGATGTCCCCAAACCTCCCCCCCACAGGGACAGCCTCCATCCCTGTCAGCTCCACTCTCCTCCACGGGCACCTCAAGCCCAGGAATTCCCCTGGAACCTTCTCCCTGCTGGGTTTGGTCTCTCAGGGGAAAACCAGGCGTTCAAAACCTGCTTTGGGGGTACTGAGGTGGACACAGGCGGATCTGGGATCTCCCCAGTGCCACCTCCTGTAGGATGACTGGGAACACTCCGAGCAAACCCCTGGGCACCAGAGCAAAGCCAAGAAAAAACCTTCCTGCACTCCTGGCTGGCATTGAGAGGCTTGAACACCTCTGGGACCAACTGCATTTGCAGGGCACGGCCCAGCTGGGGTCACCTCTTTGGTGTTCATCATCCTCACGCCCCTTTTGCTGCCCCCAGGATCCAGGTGCACCCTATAAACACTTCCACACCCCTGCACCCCCCAAAACACCCCCAGCCCCAACACCCCAGCCTGGGGTGACCTTTGGAGCAGTAACTGCAGATGGGGGAATTTCTCTGCCTTTTCTCCACGGAGTTTGTGCCACCTCGAGGCCCTCCCCATCCCTGCAGGAAGCTTTGGACTGTGCCTCGAGCCTCCCTGTCGCTCCTGACATTCCCAGAGCTGCTGTGCTCCCATTTTTGGGGTTTTACCCCAGCTGTTTGTTGTGTGAACGCAGTGGCCACGGGCCTGGGGAGCTCCTGTGGTGACCCTTCTGCAGAGGGGGACACTCAGAGGACATTATCCGGTGTGCCCAGTGCTGAGGCCTGGGGGGGCTCATCCCTGGGTGGGTGATGGGGCTGGGGGGGCCAGGTTGCTGGGGGGCTTTTGCAAGCTGTGAGATTTTGTGAGGGGACAGACGGGGGTGTCAGCTGCACCCCCATGGCCCCTCTTTGGGGACAGCAGTGAAGGCAGAACACAGACTCAGTCCCCACTGAGACTGAGGGGTCACCCCCATTTTCACTGTTCTGCCAAGAACACCCTCCCAGCAGAGAGAAAAGGCAGGGACAGCTGGTGTTAAAAAAGTGATTTTTTTTTTTTTAATTTTTATTATTTTTTAAATTAATAAAAAACCTTCAACCTGTTTTTTGCTGGGTCTTTTTTATGGTTTTGTGGTTTTTTTTGGTTTGTTTTTCTGTTTGTTTTTTTTTTTTTTAAGCAACATTGATTTGAAAACTAAAAAACCCCCAGCTCCCCCCTGCCTGGGGAAGCACCACTTGGGCAGTCACAGGGACAGGGGGACATCACTTTGATAAACCCCCAGGCCCTGGGGGTGCTGAGGGAGGGAGGATGGGGTTGGGGGCAAGTCCAGGGGGGGTCTGTGCAAGAAGCCGGGCTGAATTTCGGGAGCCAGAGAGCTGCTTTTGCTCTGGGCACTGCAACAACAAGTGCCCAGGGAAGGCAGAGCTGGGGAGGGTGTCCAGCGGCTCCATGTGTGTGTGGCTGATGATCTGAGGTGCCAACAGCCACCTCCACCCATTTGTTTTTGTTATTCCTGTCCTCCCCTGCCCTGATGTAGAGATGCTGGGTGGGGATAAAGCCACAGGGAAAACCCCAGACACCCAGCAGCTGCCTCCACGCTGCTGCTCCTTCTCTCTGGATTTATATACATTAGATATATTTATATATTATAGTTATATATTTTTTTTAAAAAAAGGGGAGTAGAGAGCAGCCAGAGACTCTCATGGCTCAGCGCCCTCCCTGGCAGCATTTGCTCCACCCCCCTCCCCTAAAAATAATAATAAAACCTAGAAAATGATATTCCAGTGCGTTTCTCGGCGAGCCCCTGCTCCCAACGCCCCGGCCCGGCCCCCCCTGACCCCCCAACAGCCCCAACCTTATCTCTGCCCATCCATGGTGGCCACGGCTTTCTGTGGGGGGCCCGGGGGCGGCGGGGCGGGCGGCCAGGAGGGCTGCGGGTGGTGCAGGTGGTGGTGGAGGCCGTGGGCGGTGGGCGAGGACGGGGGCAGCCAGGCGGGCTGGTGGTTGGGGGGCGAGGAGGCCCAGAAGGGGCTGAAGCTGCCCGGGGGGGAGCAGGCCATGGAGGTGATGGGGCTGTTGCTGCTCTGCAGGCTCTCCGAGGTGCGCAGCTTGGAGAACATGGCCAGCGCGTCCGGGAAGTTGGGCGGCGTGGCCGGCGTGTTGCTGGGGGTGCACATCTGCAGGGCACAGGAGAACAGGGCTGTCAGCTCGCTTTTGGGGTGAGGGGGGGTCCCCAACCTGCCCACCACAGCCAGATCCATCAATGGGGATCTGCTTGTATCCCACACCTGGCGCCCCACACAGCCCAGGGAGAGGCTCCAGCCAAGCTGGACATTTTACAAGGACATTTTGGACCATCCCAAATGCTCAAAGCTCACGGATGAGGCGGGTTTGGGGAGCAGCACAAACAGGACTGATGTAAAGTAGGGTAGGGAGGGTGTGGGGTCCTACCTCGCCCCACAGCACCCCCTTTCACCCGGTTTCCTCAGCCTCTTCCCCTTCACACCCCATTATGGCAGAGACAGCAAAAGGCAAGCAGGGCCCCCCCAGTTCCTGGTACAGGCTCTGCCTTCTTGGTACCCAGCTAAATTTAGCACCCGGACAGTGACGGATCCGTCCCTTTTTCCAGCAGAGGAAAAATCCACCAGGGAGGACCCAGCCCTGCTCCGAGGCTCGGGGGCTGCCACAGGAACCCCAAATCAGCACAGAACCGGCTGAACTGAGAACTGGAGAGGTGCTAAAGGGGGGACAGGGCTGTGTATGCAAATTCCCACACGGCTGCACACACAGGGAAGGGTCTGTGGGCAGGGGGATGCCTGGACATGCGGGGTCCATGCACAGGGAGATTTCACCCCTCTGGCAAAATCCATCCCAAATCCCTGTCGCCCTCCTGGAGCCACAATTGTTTGTGGGGACTTCAAGCAGAGTTAAAGGGCTTGGTCAGTGTCTGCTGCCTTTAGCAATGGGGGAATTGAGATATTGCTGGTGGGGAATACCTGCTTGATCTCTCCCTTCCTGGGGCTTATCCCAGGATTTGCCCCTGGCTGGTGCTAAGCTGCCCCTGCTGCTCCCCCCAGCACAGGCCAACACCTAAATCCCTCTTAGAGGCTCCTCCTCATCCCCATCCCGGCCACCCTGAGTGATGCTGGGATCAAAGGAGCAAACCCTTGATGGGGGTTTGCCAGATTAATTTGAAATATTAATTAAAAAACAAGAATTTCCACGTAATTATTGCCTTGCCCCTCCAACACATCTTAAGGAGAGCTGTCAGAGGGTCGGTCACCGACACCCCACACAGCTCTGGCAAGTCTTGGCCCCACAGAATCTGCAGGGACTGTGGGGAGCCCCCCACAGAGTGGGGGTGACAGGGATGAGCCCCGGCCCATCAAACCACAGCCACACTCACAGCTTTGTTCCCTGACGCTTGAAAAAGAAATAGAAACTGCCAGCACAAAACTCCTCATCTCACGCCTGCCTTGAGCCATGTGGGGCATTGCAAACTGCTCAAATCATGATGCTGGGGAGGGGGAGGGAAACACCAAATAAATTCTCCAAAATAGGAGCATCTGGAGAGAAGGTAAAAGGTATTTTGACACCACGTGGAGTTATGAAAACATTGTTGAGGAGGGGGAGAAGCGAGTGGCTCGGTTCTGAGGGGGGAAGGGGTGCCTGTTTTGGTTGGGGTGGGGATGGGGTTCAGCAGCCCTGCTCTGCAGGAATTGCCCCGATGAGGTTTTGGGGTGAGAAGAGCAGGGCCTGGATCTGCTCCTGCCTGCTCCCCCGGCAATGCCCCTTTTCCACCCTCTGCAGCCTCCCCGGGGCAGCACGGAAACGTGCGGGCTGGGGAGGAATTGCAATAAAAAGGGGTTTTAGTGGGAGCTGGCTGACAAAGCGACTTTCTCCGAGAGAAAGCCAGCGCTTGCTGCCGGCAATGCCAGGCCGGCTGGCGACTCCCGATGGAAGGAGAAAAGGGGGAAAATTCGCCTTCACCCCCATCCGCTCCTTCCCCACGCCCGGCACCGCTCAGTTCCTCAACAGCGGAGGATGGCGGGGCGGGGAGGGAAAACAAGAAGGAAAAAACCCCCCTAAGAAACACAAAACAAAACACCCGGAGGGGAACAACTTCCTCCCTTCGGCCAAGGGGATGTGCCCTCGGCCAAGGTCAAGTGGCGTGGGGGGAAAGGGGGTCCAGACGTGGCCCGGGGAGGCCGATTGCAGCGCGATGCTCGCCGAGACAAACTATTTCCTGGCAGACATTTTAGCTCGTGTTTACATTCTCCGGCTGCGTGCTCCTGAGGGCGCCCAGAATATGGCTGGCAGGGAGCTGACAGCTCCCGGGGCCGGGGGCTGCACCCCTCGGGGGGCTTGGCATGAGGGGGGCTCCCCTGGGGGGTGCTGCTGGTAGGGGTGGGTGTATGGGGGGGGTTGGTTGGTGCTGGGAAGGGTCTGAAGGTGTTTTTAGGGCTGGGGGAGTTGGGGAGGGGATGGGGCGGTGCAGGGTGAGGGAGGGGTTGGGGTCGCACTTACCATCTGGGGGGGGTGGTGGCTGCTGGGGATGTTGGTCTCCTGGAAGAAGGCGCTGAGGGCTGTCTGTGGGGATAAGCTGTCAGCTCCAGCCCACCCGAGACAAAGGGGGAGGGAAAACACGCGGCCCCCCAAAGTCACCCCGCAGCCCCCACCCCCGCGGGGCGCACCCAGGGGTGCCCCCAACCCCGCCAGGCCTTGGGGCTGCGCTTCCCCCGACCCACCGGAGAGATCGCGTCCCCTGCTCGCTCCTGGCTCCCCACGCTTGGGGGACACCCCAAATACTCCGTGTTTACACCCCCACCCCCAGAGCGGAGCGCAGGGAGGGGCCGCGCCGCTGGGCCGCAGCTCGGGTTACGGCCCGGGTATAAATAGACCCGGCGGAGCCCGGGGCCGGATCGCCCCCCGCTCCCCGGTGGGTACCGGGGGGGGCGGCCAGGACCCCCCAAAACCCGGCCCCGAGTGTCGGTGGGCCGAGACCGCACAGCCCTGCCCCCACCCGCACCGCCTTCCGCCCCGCGGCTCTGCGGGCAGCCGGGGCGGCGCATCGCGATCCGGGGCCGTCCCGGTTCCGGTGCGGTTCATCCCGATCCGTGCCGCCCGTGCGTACCTCGAACTGCCAGTGTGCCGCCTGCAGCAGCTGCTTGGCCTGGTCGGCGGCGCAGCCCGCCGCCAGCACGAACTGGTTGATCATCACCTGGTGCCGCAGCTCGTCCATGTTGACGGACATGGCGGGGCGGCCCCGGCCCGGCCCGGCCCGCACCGCCCGGAGCGCCCCGCGCCCGCCGCGCCCGCCGCGCTCCGCCGGGGCACCGGGGGGCGCCCGCGCCCCGCCCCCGCGCGCCCATTGGCCGCCGCCGCGCCCGCGCCCCGCCCACCGCCGCCTTCGAACCTTCCAGCTGCCCCGGCGCCTCCCCATTGGCCGCCGCCTGTGTTTTGGCTGCAGGCGGCGCCGCGATTGGCTGCAGGGGGAGGAGGCGGGGCCAGGCGGGAGGGAGAAAGGGAGGGCCGGCCGCTGATTGGCCGAGTGGGGGTTTTATCGTGAGGCGTTGGTGACGTCACGTTCATTGAGGAGGTTCATTGAGGAGGGGGCGTTGGTTGGGAGGAGATAATTGGGGATTTTTGGGGGGTTCCGTTCAGAGGAGCTGCTTAGGGGCTTATGGAGGTGGGGTTCGCCGAGAGGAGCTTTCAGGGGGTTATTGAGGGGGGCTTAGTTCAGAGGAGCTCTTTAGGGGGTCATTGGGGGGTTCATCGAGAGGAGCTGTTTAGGGGGTCATTGGGGGTTCATTGAGAGGAGCTGTTTAGGGGGTTACTGAGAGGGGTTCAGTTCAGAGGAGCTGTTTAGGGGGTCATTGGGGGGGTTCAGTTGAGAGGAGCTGTTTAGGGGGTCATTGGGGGGTTCATTGAGAGGAGCTGTTTAGGGGGTCATTGGGGGGTTCATTGAGAGGAGCTGTTTAGGGGGTTACTGACAGGGGTTCAGTTCAGTTCAGAGGAGCTGTTTAGGGGGTCATTGAGGGGGTTCATTGATAAAAGCTGTTTAGGGGGTTACTGACAGGGGTTCAGTTGAGAGGAGCTGTTTAGGGGGTCATTGGGGGTTCATTGAGAGGAGCTCTTTAGGGGGTTACTGAGAGGGGTTCAGTTCAGAGGAGCTTTCAGGGGGTTATTGAGGGGGACTCAGTTCAGAGGAGCTCTTTAGGGGGTCATTGGGGGGGTTCGGTTCAGAGGAGCTGTTTAGGGGGTCATTGTGGGGGTTCGGTTAGGGAGGTCCATGGAGAGCGGCTTTGGACAGGGGTGTTCATTGTTGGGGGGTCACGGAGAGGGGGGCTGTGCCCATCCCTGCATACCCCAGTTGTGGGAGCCACTCCCATGGGGGCTGCACCTTAACCCCCTGCCTTGGCTCCCCCAGCCAGGCTCAGCCCTCACCCCTCATTCCCTTTGCAAGGCTCCTCTCTTCCTTCAGCAAAGCTCTCCCAGCACCCCATCTCCTCCTTCCTGGGGACCCTGTTGCCCACTCCAAGGATTCCCCCTTTACCCTGTCCCTTGCCTCCCCCATCTGGGAACCATTTACCCTGGGGATGGGACCCTAACCGGAGCAGGGACCCATCTTCTTCATCCCCATGTAAAGGCTGTGGGGTTTAGGGCAGCTCCCAGTTTGGAGGTGGGGGGAGGGTTGGGATTTTTTGTTAATGGTTAAAATCCTGATGCCTCTGAGCTCCAGTCTCATCCTGCAAGGATGAACTCTCCCCCGGTGTGCTTGCCCCACGCCACGTTTGGGGATCCCAGTGGGACTTGTGCAATTCATGCCTTTAAGTGTTTTGGACCCCAAACAAATAAAGAAGGGACTTTGCAAGTGCATGGTGTGAAAATAGGTCGATCTGGGAAGAGCCACGGGAGGTTTGGATGTGTCAGTGGTGACCAGCTGGCCAGGAGAGAGGAGGCAGAGCAATGGAAACTCGAAGCTGCATCTGCAGCTGGTTGCCCCCAGAGTAAAGGACTCTGTGGGGCTTCTGCAAAGTCCTGGTGGTCCCATGAAGGTGAAGTCCAGCAATGCCAGTCTGTGCTTGCCCAGGCTGGAATCCTCCCGGGATATTCAGAGGGATCCCATCACTGGGATTCGGTGATGGGCACGGAGGGTCCTGCTCGCCCAGGAGGATTTTGGTAGTTTTGTCTTCTTGGAGCAAAACCAGCCTTGAGGCAGGTGTGGGTGTGAGAGGAGCACTTGCAGATGCAGGATCCCAGCCCCACCTGCCTCTCTCAGCCCCTCCTGCTCACCAAAGCCACCCATGTGCACAGCCCGGCTTCGAGCTGGGAGCAGCCAGGACGTGGCAGGAGCTGGGGGATGATATGGCTTCGAGGGCAGGATCCTCTCTCTGTGCCACACACGCATCCCAAATCCCACAGCTGGGCAGCACCAGCTTCAGACAGCCCAGCAGACGTGCATTTTGGGGTTAAACATTGCATTTTCTCTGGATTACCCCTCCAGGTCAGCCCTGCTGGGGTTTTGTCGGAATCTGTGGGTATTGGTGATCCTGAGATTGTAGAAAGTCTCTGTCTTTCTGCCCCGTTGCCAAAGCAGAAGCCATAATTGGTCTGTGCTGGTTTCAAGGTTGTTTATTCTGTTTATCTCTAACATGTTCTGCTGCCCTGCCGCAGCTCTGTCCTGCAGGGCAGCGTGTGGGGCTCTGCCCTCAGTGGGATGGTACAAACATTAAATACCAGAAACTACCTGTGCTGGATTTACAATAACGTGCCAATATCTGTCACCTACATTGGACAGGGTGTCCCCAGCCTAAACCAACAGAAAAATGCCAACACCACAGTGAAACATGGAGGGCATGAAGAAGGAGAAAAAGGACAAGACACACCCAATTCCTCCATCTTGTCCCCTCTGAACCCCTAATCTAGAAACCTAAAATTTTACTTTTGCACCCGTGCCACACTTGATTATTACTTATATCAACCACTCAGAGCTGGTAATTCATCCTGTAAGATTGAAAACTCTTTTCCATGGACAGAGATCACAGCCAGTGTCTCTGGGGGCTCTGTCCAGGGGGGTTCCTGACCCCTGCCAGGGTCCCAGGGCAGCCAGAGGGAAGCCCTGGATTCCCACAGGGTTTGTCCTGGCTTTATGTGTGCTGGGACGTGCAGCTGGGCAGAACTGGGAGGGACCCTGCCCTCGAAGCCCCTCCAGCTTCGTCCCCAGCTCCTGCCACGCTCCCGCGCTCCACTGCGGCACTGTCCTACAAAATCCTCTGCTGCAGTAATCGCTGGGAAAAAAAAAAAAAACAAAACCCACGAGCCGTGCATGCAGACAGCAGCTCTGCGTGTAATGACTGCCAGGTTATGGATCTGCACGGGGATAACTTTGAATTATTGTCTGCACTAAAGCCCTGCAGTCTGCTGTGTGCCGGTAATGAGATGTGCTGGCTCCTTCCAGTTTCCCGCTGTCGGTGCTGGCTGGAGCGAGGCAGGGGAGTGGGGCTGGCAGCTCAGCAGAGTTTTAAATTATCCATGTGTAGAACGGGATCCCCAAAAATGTGTGCTGAGGTGAGCAGGGATCAGTTCCTGTGGTCCCAGGGCTCCCAGCTGGGTACAAACACTCAGAGCTGGATCAGGCTCCTGGTGTGGATGTCTCAGCTCTTCAGAGAACCATTTGGGTTGGAAAAGACCTTTAAGATCATGGAATCTTAAATCCTCCTCTCGGGCCGGGGCTCCCGCTGGCACCCAGCCCAGGTGTCACTGCTGGGAATGTGTGTCCCGGTGTGCCAGTGACAGGCTGACAAACAGGGCACAAAGCCACCCTGGGCTGCACTTTGATTTGGCTTTTCTCAGCTGCCTTTGGGGCTGTGTGGGTAGGAAGCAGCTGGGAGGGGAGGGGATGAAGGGGCAGCCCCAGGGACGGCCTTTGCTCGTCACCACTGAGCAGCCGAGGCCATCAGGGCAGCTGATCCTCCCCCTGCACATCTCCCGTTTGATATTTATAGCACTCGTGTTATCAACTCAAATCAAAATCATGTGATGCTCCGCTAACTGCCGCTGCCCGACTAATTAATCACCGGCGGGTTTCAGTGAGCGGTCAAAGGGTCCATCCTCCCTCTTGGCTGCAAAATGAGGAGTGACCGGTGCTTCCCAGTAATTTAACTCTGGGGGAACTGGGGGAACTGTCGGGTGCTCCAGAGGAGCTGCTGGCGTGCAGCAGGGCAGGATGGGGATGATGGAGATGGGCACTGGCGGGGGGCTCTAACCTGGCCCTGCCCAGCGCCCCTGAAGCGCTGCTGGAGGGGATCAGAACCTCTGCCAACATCTGCACAACATCCTTCCCTCTATAACCTGTCGGGAAAAGTGGGGGCTTGTTCTTCTCCCGGGGGGGCACAGGGACAGAGGGACATGCCCCTGAGCTGGGATTGCTGCCCGGTGCCACCCACTCGGTGGGGCTGGGGGCACGGATGGGGTGGGCAGAAGTCTCTGCGGGGTGACTGAGGGCGGCGGGTGATGGCGAGCAGGGCCACTGAGCGGTACTGGAGCAAACTGGGTGGCACGGGAGATGCCAGGCGGGTGGCACTGTGGGGGGACAGGTAAGTGGCACCTGAGTGGGTGGCGGACACCGGGGCAGGGTGATGCCGGCAGCATCCCTTCCTCTCACCTCCCAGCGAGCCGGAGCGGGCCGGGGCGGGCCGGGGCGGGCCGGGGCGGGCCGGGCCATGCCAGCCCAGCCCCGCCCCGAGTGTCGCAGCCCCGCGGTGCCGCGGAGGCGGCGCCGGGCGCGGCGCAGAGCGGAGCGGAGCGGAGGATGCTGCGGGCGGGGACCGCCGCCAGCCCCGCTCCGGTCCCGGTCCCGGTCCCGGTCCCGGGCGGGAGGATTCCCCGCCGCCCCCCGCCCGCTGAGCCCCGGCCCGGCCATGGGGGCTCTGACCAGCCGGCAGAACGCAGGGGTGGAGGAAGTGGATATCCCCGCTAATTCCGTCTACAGATACCCCCCGAAATCCGGTGAGCCCCCGGGGTGTCCCGGGAGGGAAAGAGGGGAGCGAGTCGGGCACGACCTTGCTCCGGGTGGGGTGACCCTGCGCACCCCAAAGCTAATCTGACGCACGGGGGGGCACCCTAAAAATCTGGGTCTGCTGCGGGGCACCCTGCGTGAGTGATGGGGTCCCCCCTCTCCGGGAGCCCCTTTGCCGGTACAGCCCGCTTCCCAAACTTGGCTGAGTTGACGCGACTTTAATGACATTATTCTCATAATTATTTCTGTAGCCGCGGTCTGCGGCACCGGGTTCCGGAGGCGCTTTTTATAGCCGGTTCCTCCGGTGCTGGCTGCTCGGGAAAATGCTGGGTTTAAATTCCCGGGAGGATGAGGGAGGCTGGGGTGGGAGGGATTGGAGGGGATCCCTCCTTCCCAGGGCTGTGCCCCATCGTAGCACCCCAACCCTGCCGTGGGGAGCCTTCCCCTTCCCGGCTCCTCTCCCTGCCTCCAGCTCGCTGGTGATTCAGCTCCCGAATCCCAAATCCGGCCCTGTCTCAAACCTTGTGCGTGACCTTGGAAAATCCGTCCCTCCCCTCTGTGCCTCAGTTTCCCCTGCAAGGGCCGGGCTGAGCGGGTGTCCGAGGGGGGCACGCTGGGCAGGGAGGGGTGATGGGGTCCAGTCCTTGGGTGGGCAGCGCTTCAGAGCCACAAAAATACCGGCACCGGTGGGTGATGCCCCGGAGCACCGTGTGCGTGTGAGGAATTGGCACAGGGTCCTTACAGCACTAAATATTTGTAATATTTTGGTAGTTAATAGGATGAGGTAAACTCTGAGATCGTTAGTGCTGTGACAAATTATTCACTAATTACAACTAAAGACCTCCTTAGCAAGATTTACAGCCAGCACAAACCCTGTGCTTGTCCTGAAAAGCTGTGCTTGCCTTTTTTTTTTTTTTTTTTTTTAATTTTGAGCTAAAATAGGTTGCACAGCTGGCTGGAGATGGCTGATCCTTGACAGCCTGGCCTCCCGCAGGGCTCCCCCAGCTCCCCCTTTTATGTGGTTTCAAGGCCTCTGTCGCTTTGATGCCAGGTGAGGCTGGACCAGCCCATCCATGGGGTTGCTCTTTGTAGGGACAGTGTCTCCATGCATCACAAATTTTCCCCTTGGGACCCTGTCTTATTTAGGGGCTCTGAAAATATCTGGGTAGGAAGGGGTGGAGGGTGCAAGTGCATCCAGCTGAGCACTTCCAAACTCATCTCAGCTGCAGAGGTCACCAGGTTGATGCTTAACCCCATCTTCCAGGGGGAGCCTGGGGCTCCTGGCTGTGCTCAGCTGGCCTGGTGCCGCTGCTGGGGTCTGGGCAGAGCTGGGGGGATGGTCCTGGTGCTGCCCAGGGTTCTTGGGGGAAGGGCAGGAGGTGCCCAGGTGACACAGCCATCTGCCCTGGGACAAGGGCAGGCTGGTGGCCCTGGGAGATTATGGCTGGTTTGCCTTTAATCCGAGTGGGATTTGCCTTCAGTGCTGCCAGCAGCCCAGGGAGGACGTGCTGGGCAGCTGAGCTGATTCTGCTGTGGCAGCAGCACTTCCCTCACCTCAAAAGCCAGCTGGAAACAGCCACTGGTTTGGAAATGTGGTTCTGGTGAGGAATCTCACGGGACCTTGGGGCATTTCCCTCTGTCTGGGATGTGGCTTGGGCTGTGGGCTCTCTCGTGATGGCCTGGAATAGGGCAGCTGTGTCCTGACCCAGTTTAGCATCTCCCCATCCTGGGAGTCCCATCCCCTTCAGACAGAGTGTCAAGGGGGTTAGTTGAACCATAATTTTTGAAAAAAAAAGGCTGAGATTTACTTCTGTGGCACCACTGGGAGGAAGAGCCAGCAGGGGCTGTAGCTGGAGCCCACTGCCTGGCTACTGGGATGGCTTTTGGGGCAAGTCTCCGGCTTTCAGGTGCTGTCCCCAGCTGAGGGGGGAGCTGAGCTCCCCTGGGGCACATGGGACTGTGAGCAGGGGACAGGAGCAGGGGATTAATGCAGCAGTGGCACCCCCAGGTGTGGGGCACAAGCCCAGGGGGTGGCAGAGCACTGGCGCAGCAGTGCCATGGACAGGGTTTGGCCTCAGCTCTGGCTGCCCTCTTTAGAGCACAGAATTAAATCAAGGGCTGCCCAGGGGGAGAAGCACCCAGAGCCTTTCACCAGCCCATCCCAGCACCCTGTGCTGGCACCCACGGCCTCAGGCTGTGCAAACCCGGTGCTTCCCTCCCCAGGAGTGTGTGGATGAGCTGGGAATGAGCTTTTCTGTTTTAGCAGCTTTGGAGAGCCAGAGGCTGCAGCAGCAGAGCCCAGCAGGGCAGCGATGGCTTGGGGCACAGTGCAGGACATGTCACTGCCAGGGCTGTGGGCACAGCACACACGAGGGTCCTCACCCTTCTCTGTCAGCTGGACAAGGTGGCATCGCTGGCACTCACGGGGAAAAGGAGCTGACAGCTGCTGCCAGATGTGTGCTGGCGCCAGCAGATGTGCAGGACACACAGATTTTTATTTTATGGTTTTTTTTTTGCCAGGGACCTCAGGCAAATTCCTGGGGTTTATTCCTCCTTTCCAGCAGCTGCTCTGTGCAGCCCTTCCCGAGGTGTGGCTGTCCTTGACAGGCTCTCCTTCCCCAGGAATAGGTGTTGGATTTACAGTCAGCCCATAATAAAGTGGCTGTGGCTGGGAAGGTGCTTCCCTGCCCCCCAGCCCTGTCCAGGGAGTCACTGCCACCTTCTGCCGATGCCCTGGGCTTTCCTGTGCTGCTGCTTCCCTGGAAAAGCCTGGCACACCTCCAGCCTCTTGTTTAACAGCAAGGAGGACCTTTCCTGGGAGGGAGCACAGAGCTGGTTCTGCCTGCTGTCAAGAGGGATGTTCTGGGAGCCTGCAGCACCCAGGGATGCTCCCAACCCCTGGCAGAGAGACTGGGTGAGGGCAGCGTGGTCCTCACCTGCTCTGCCCATCCTGTGGGAGCCCCCAGCACGCATTAAACTGCAGCTGGGCCAATCACAGGGAGCCTGTGTTCCATTTCCCAGCTTTTCCTCACTGCTGGGGTGGCTTTTCTCCATGTTTAAATGTCATTTTTTTGCCCTCTCCTGCTCTTGCTCCAGGTCAGTGTCAGGAAAAGCTCTGGATGGCCCCGTTCTCCCCTGGCTGTGCTGTTGCAGGCAGCTCTGAAGGCACTTTGCTCTTGAGGCTTTTTTTTTCCACCTGGCCGAGTCTTTCCAGGCCAGCTGCCTATAAATTATGTACATGGAAAATGGGACCTGAAAGCGGCAGGCATCAATAATTGATGGTTGACGTTTGCTAAGGGGCTCACTGCATCCAGGCATCCCTGCACACGGGGCCTGGGGCAGAGCTGTGTGACCCCCCTCCTCCCTCCTGGCCCTGAGTTAGATCCCCTCCACTCCTCCCCTTGGGCTTTGGGCTCCCTTTTGGCTTTCAGTGCAGTGTTAAAGGCTGATCCAGCCCGGGACAGTCCCTGCCTCTGCTGGGAGCTGATTGCAGTCCTCACAAGCAGAGCTGCAGCCCTTAACTCCTTTATTGTGGTCCCCAAATGTTTCCTTTTGGGGTGTCCCCCAGGGGGGTGCAGATGGATCTGTGCTGATGGGTTTGGGGTTTTTATAGGCTGGACAGTGTCCCTGTGGCTGTCAGGATGCAGGGTGCTGTGTCCATATCTGACTGACTCTTTCCCTTTTATCCCACCTCAAATCCCAACCCTCCTGCCTGGCCAGTTCCTGTGCCACAGCATGCTTTCCCCACAGAGCCCAGATCCCACAGACAGGGAGCAGGCACCAGTTATCTCCTGGCCAGCCTGGGAGGAAACTCCTTTAGTGGGGAAGTGCCTGACCTGGGGGCTGCTCTCAGCTCAGAGCTGGGACATTCTGGTGTTTGAAGGAAGAAAGAACCCTGGTCATTGCCCAGCGTTCATCAGGAGCACTCTGCAGGGCAGATGCTGACCTCCTGGAGGGTCTGCAGGACCCCAAAATCCTGCCTTGCACAGGTGAGCCCTTCCTAGGGCAGGCTGCAGGCTGAGAAGTGACAGAACTCAGCTCAGCCGTGCTTTGCCCACCTTCCTGGTGGCAGCTGTGGCCACACTGCCCTGGGGCTGGACCCCTCCACCAGCCTGAGGCAGAGTGAAAATTTACAGGGTAAAAATTGATTTAGATTTAAGTGAAATGTGCTGTTTTGAGCTTGTTAACATAAGTAAAAAATGCTGTCTAGTTTAGTAACTGCAACGCTAGCAAAGTTGCCTTAGCTAAAGAGAAAGAATAGAAATTTTTAAGCTAAAAAAATAAGAGAGAAAAAAGACTCTTTGGACTTTGAAACAGACAGTGCAGAGTGACTTAAGAGTTTTTTTTGTACTGTTTGACAAAAACTGAGTATAAGTGTAACTAGCTGTAAGTGTAACACGAAATTAGTATAATGAATATGCATGGACCTATTATGAAATTCTATGCATATGGAAATTAGTTAAGGGTAATAAAAAAGGATCAGGAGTTCTTAGAGGGGGGCATATGTCTGTTGAAGGGCAATGAGTCTCTACATGTGTCTAACATTGTAATAAACATACAAATCTTTATTGGAATTGTGGGGTTTTGATTTTTCATCCACGTTTTAAGCCTGGTGCTGGAGCGGGTGGGATGCTGGAAGAGGGGAGGGCAGGCAGGGAGTGTGGCCCTTGGCAGCCTCTGCCTGCCTGGGGGCTCTCAGCCAGTGAGAGTGCTCCCAGCAAGGTGACCCTGGTGACAAAGTCACCTTGGAGCCATCGATGGACAAAGTCACCTCTGAGCCATTGATGGGCAAAGTCACCTCAGAGCCATCGATTCGGGGCTTGGTGCTGCTCCATTGCCCAGTGGAGCTCTCTCTGCTCAGGCTCTCACTGTGTTCTCATTGCAGGGAGTTACTTTGCCAACCACTTCATCATGGGTGGGGAGAAGTTCGACTCCACGCACCCTGAGGGGTACCTCTTCGGCGAGAACAGCGACCTCAACTTCCTGGGGAACCGGCCCGTGGTGGTGGGTACCGGTGGGGACCCGGGGCTGGGGGGACCTGGGGCACCTGCACGCCCCTTCCCAAAGCTGTGTGGGTCATGGGGTGTGCTGGACAAGGCTGCTGCTGTCCCCCTCCAGGGGCAGAGCCGGCCAAGCCCGCCTGGAGCGGGCTGAGTGGGTTCTCTGATGGCTCATCCAAGGGTTGGGTCCCTGCTGCAGCCTGTCTTCTGTCAGGGACTAATGGTGGAGGGGAATCGGGCTGATTTAATCCAATTTCTCTCTCATTCCCTCTCCAAGAGCTGCATTTTCTCTTGCCTTCCTCATCTCATCCAGGAGCCACATGCCAGACAGGAGGGCACATGGTGGGGGGCATAACACAGAAGCACTGGTGTGGTTTGGGGTAGTAGGGCAGCTTGGACAGGAACAGATGAAATTACTCCCCAAGCTGTAGCAAGGAAGGGGAGAAAATAAAAGTAAAAAGGCTGGGGGTAGGTTGGGGCTGGGGACAGCACAGATGGGTTTTGCAGTGCTGGGTGCTGCCAGCTCCAGCTGGTCTCAGGGCACAAGGGAACCCAGCTGGAGGGGTCCCTGCACTCCAGGCTCCTGGAGATGGTTTTTGTGCTTGCTGCCTTTGGAAAGGGAGGACATGAGAGCAGGGGTTCAGGCTGGGAGTGATGTCCCCCCCATCTGGGTGCTTCTCAGCAATGGGACAACTCACCAGCACTGGCTGGAGGAGTTTGGGGGGTTAAGTATTCAAAAGATTCAGGGTGAGGGCTTAACAGAAAAACTTGCCTGGTGCTCTGGGCCAGCTCTCAAGCATTGCCTGCTGCCAGTAAAGTTCCTGTTTCCTCCTTGGAACTGCCTTTGGTAGTGTTTTGGCAGCATTGTGTGCTCCTTCAGCAGGGAAGTGTCCAGCCCTGGGCTGTGCCAGGGCAGGGATCCCAGCAGAGGCAAGGTCAGGAGCACCCACAAAGCACACGAACACTGGGTGGCCAAAGGCAGAGCCTTTCTCTCCCTTCCCCAGAAAATAAGATGTCAGCACTCAGCGTCTCTTCCAGCAGCGAGTGTTGAGAAATCCTCTTGATTACAGTAAAAGCCTCTAAACTGCCCAGTGAGCAGTTCCCATGTCAGCAGAGCAGCAGGGAAGGCAAAGGAACAGCTTGGAAACAGCAGAGAGAATTAATACAGCATCACGAGCTAAATTGTCCCGCTCCAGTTTAATTACTGATGGCTCTGGGCTGCAGAGCTGTGACAAAGATCCCATCTCCCCGGGGAGCAGGGGCAGTTCTGGGGCTGGACTTTTGGGTCAGGCCAGTTTTGGGGGCTCAGGGAGGAGCTGGGGAGGATCTGTGCTGGTTCTGGTCCAAGCTTGTGTCCGGGCAGCACTTGGGCCTCTCTGATGCTGCCTCCAAGTCCTGTCCTGATGCTTCTTGGCTGCGACACTTTTGCTTTCTGACCTTCTGTGAGAGCCTGGCTGGGCTGGAAACATTAAAGATGGCCACTGCTTCTTGGTGGGGGATTAATTTTGGGGATCAAGGGCCAGGTGATCTTGGAATAATTGTGTCCCAAGTCCTCTGTGAGCAGAGCACTTTGAGCTATGAACAGCGCTGCTGCCGCAGGGGTGTGCAGGGCAGCCGGAGGCTGTGCAGCTTCTCCCCTCCATGGATACATGATAATCTGGATTTTCCAGCTGGGAACAGGTTCCCAAGGGGCTGGGAAGGGCGTTGCAGGTTTAAGTCCTGCCACCATGCAGGGGCTGAGGAGCAGAGGAGCTGCTGGAGGCACACAGGGGAAGCCAGGAGCTGTTGAAATGTGCCACTGGGTTTCCGTGCCCACGCAAAGCTGCTGGAGGTTGCTCGTAGAAAAACCCCAAGACAGACTTTTGAGGGTGGTTTTTATTTCACTTCAGCAAAAGCTGGTCTGCACCAAATGTTGCTACAGGCACGTGGATGAGGTTCTTCACCACAATTGTTACCCTTTTCTTTTCTGTTGTGTTTCAGCTCGATTGAAAGTCAGGAGATGCAAAATGTCCTCTGAATAGCCCCTTTCTGATATGCAAAGTCTGGCTTGTAAAAGTTAATATTAAAAAAAAAAAATCCAACCACCCTCAAAACGTGCTTTTCACACGTGGGAGTGAAAGAGCCCGAAGTGGTTTCTGCAGCACAAAATTTGCCTGTGGCACTTCCCCATCATGCCCAGCCCCACGGCCCCTGTGGGTGGCACCAGGGGACCTGGCTGCCCCTTCCCTCCTCTGTCACCCACCCCTGGCTGCAGCAGGAGGGGGGTGCACCCATGGGTGCTTTCCCTGCCAGAGTTGGTTTGGGTATGGTTTGACTGGGTGAGGTGCAAACAAGCAATTTTGGATGACTGCGTTAGGGGATGTATCACGACGTGGCACAACCTGTCATGACATGGCTCAGCTTCAGCCTGGAGCGTGTTCTCACTCTCTCCCCTCCAGCTGCAGTGGGTGACTCTGCAGGTGCTCAGTTCTGCAGGTGCACTTCTAGTGACTCATAAAAAAGTTCGTTAACAGCAGTTTAATGACTCTGCTGCCCTTTTCCCTTCCTGAAGAGGATGAGAGCAGTGGGATTCAGCTCCACGCTGCTGGCAGTTCATGTGCAAAGCCTCTGGTGCCATCAGGCATGCTGTGCCCAGCCTAGGCTTTAATCTGCCCCCCACCCCATCACTGTCCAGCCAAAGGGACAAGGAACAGCCCCTCTGTGTGTCCCCTCCCCACTGAAACTGTCCCTGCTGTCCTGGCCTTGCTGTTTGTGGAGGGATGTCCCTGTCATCGTGCTGCCTGCTGCCCAAGTGCCAGCAGGAGCTGCTCAGCACCCCTCAGGATGCCCAGGCCACCCCAATTCCCTCTGCAGGGTGTTGGATTCGGGTCACTGGGGGGGTGCAGAGCCCCCGTGTGCGTCTGCCTTCACCGGTGTCTCTCTTGTCCTAGTTCCCTTATGCTGCTCCACCTCCTCAGGAACCCGTGAAGACCCTCAGGAGCTTAATCAACATCCGCAAGGACACCCTGCGCCTGGTCAAGTGAGTGCTGGCACCCAGGGCCCCGGGGCACGGCCCCTGATGGGTGCTGCTGGGTGCTGCCAGGGCTGCTGGGTGCTGCCAGGGCTGCTGGGTGCTGCCAGGGCTGCTGGGTGCTGCCAGGGCTGCTGGGCACTGCCAGGGCTGCTGGGCACGGGGCTCTCATCCCGGCAGGATGGAGGGAGGGAGGGATGAGCTGCTGCCCTTCCCCTCCTGCATGCCAGCACAGGCAGTGCCGCAGGATTAGAGGAGCTTAGCGCTGCCTTTGAAGTTCTTGGCTTCTTCTTCCTCCCCCACCTTCCAAAGGCTGTGCTGGAGAGAGGCTGGGCATTGCAGCAGGGCCGGGGGATGCGGGATTAGGGCTGAAATCTGTGAAACTTGTGGCACTTCCCAGCCTGCAGGCCTGACCCCGGCCATGCCAGGCACTCCTCTTGTGCCTCAGTGTCCCCTGATGGAGGGCAGCAGCCCCTTCTGGTGCCGAGGGGATTAGTGCTGGAGCACCCCAAAGCCTGTCTCCTGGACCTGCTGTGCTCCCCAGGTGCTCGGAGGAGGTGAAGACCCCGGGGGAAGAAGTGAGCAAAGCCAAGGTGCACTACAACGTGGAGTTCACCTTCGACACGGACGCCCGTGTGGCCATAACCATCTACTACCAGGCAACTGAGGAATTCCAGAATGGGGTGGCGAGGTGAGGAGCCCCAGACAGGCCTGTGTCACCCCCCAGCTTGTCCCCCAGGCCTGGTGTGTGTCCCTGCCTGATGGACATGGAGCCTCTCCCCTCAGGATCTTTCCTCTTCAGGACAGGAACAGCTGAGGGTGGTGCTGAGATTAGAGGGGGTTCCTTGTTTCCCCCAGGTGCCACCACCGGGTCCTTGCCAACCTCTGCCACCTCCTTCCCTGTCACATCCTGCTCCCTCTTTTTACCTTCAGGTCAGAATTGAGACCAGGGTAAATAATTTTTCCCCCCCAAGACCCCTCCAGCTTGGCTGTGGAGTTGTCCTGTCCCCTCCTATGCTGTCCTGGTTGCCCTGTGTATTCTTTACCCTGTGGATCATTTTAGCCTTTTTTAGAACTTCTCACCTCAACCCCAAGAGGCATCTGGGAGGGGAGGGTTGACACCCCCTCCTCCTCCCGTTTTCCTGGCATCTCAGTGATCTGGGGAGAGCAGGAGGGGTGTGGGGACACCCGTGGTGCCCTGACCCTGTCCTCTCTCCGTGGGACAGCTACACCCCCAGGGACAACAGCCTGCAGTCCGAGACGGTGCACTACAAGCGGGGGGTGTGCCAGCAGTTCTGTGTGCCCTCCCACACCATCGACCCCTCCGAGTGGAGCGAGGAGGAGGTGGGTGCCTCCAGCCCCCCATCATCCCTGCAGGAGGAGGTGGGCTGAAGCCTCAGCACTGCTCCATCTCACCAAGCCTCCCCTGTCTCTCTCCAGCTGGGCTTTGACCTGGACCGTGAGGTTTATCCCATGGTGGTGCAGGCAGTGGTGGATGAAGGAGAGGGTGAGGAGGGGGTTCCTTGCTGGGATGGCCTTTCCCAGTTTGCTGGCATTGTGATGCCAGCTGGGCAGAGCCTCCTGCTTTTCCTGGCTGCTGCCGTGGCTCTGCCTGTCCCCCTGCCCGTCCCCTGAGCCCTGCGTGTTCCTTTGTGTCTTGCAGAGCACAGTGGGCACTGCCACGTGCTGCTGGCCACCTTTGAGAAGGTAAGTGCCCCCTCCTCCTACCTCCATCACCCCCCAGGCACAAGAGCCTGGAGAACCCCTGGGAATCAGGATGGTGCTGCTGGGCTGGGGATGTTTCAGGCTGCTCCTCAAATCCTGGGACTATTCCCTCATTTTAGGCACCCTCTTCTAAGACATTTGGGCTCAAATCCATCTTCCTGCCTCCAACAAGCTTTGCAGTGTGTGTGACCTCCCACAGCTACCTGGTGCTGGACTGTCAGGAAAAGCCAGAATTCCTACAAAATGGGCTTTTTGGGAGTGGGGAGGGAGCAGTGACAGCAGCAGGATGGGTGGGTGCTCTGGCACAGCAGCCCAGAGGTGCCACCCATGTGCTCTTTCCTCCCTCTAGCACAGTGATGGCACCTTCTGCGTGAAGCCCCTCAAGCAGAAGCAAGTGGTGAGTGTTGAGGTGTCCCTGCACACCCTGCAGGGGAGGCACTGAGGGGTTTTGGGGGCCCAAAAGCCCCAGCCTTGCCCCTGCCTCCCAGGGAGTGCAGTTTCAAGGTTATCAATGCAAAGAGAACCCCTGGATTTTGGGGGGGGGAGGACTGGCCCGAGCAGGGGGTGGGGGGGAGCTGCAGTGGCTCTGGGCATGGTGTCTCTGCTCCTCACCCCTTCCCCATGGGATTGCAGGTGGATGGTGTGAGCTACCTCCTGCAGGAGATCTACGGCATCGAGAACAAGTACAATACACAGGACTCCAAGGTGTGTGCCTACATCCCCCTGCCTGCATCCCAGGGTCTTCCCTCATCCCTTCTTCCCTTCCCCTAGCTCAGGTTTGGCCACTGAAACGTGCTCAGGGCAAGAGTTTGCAGCCCAGCACGGAGCTGGTGATGCCTGGGGACATTCTGTGTTGGCATCGAAGCTGCTGGAGGCAGAAAATGGAAGGATTGAGCTTTTCCCCCCATTCTTTGTGGTTTTTCCACCCCATTCTTAGATGGGGCTTAGATGGGGAGCATGGGGCTCAAAGCATGGGGTGTGCCTTATGCTCTGCTCTTATATGGAAAAACTGGGGTGAAAGTTTGGCTTTCTGTTTCCTTTGGCCTCACTCCCAGTCTCCTGGAGGAGAGGAATGAAGTCCCAAGGGGTCATTTGAAGAGCAGACAGCTGATGGACGCAGGCAGAACTCTCTCTGAGCACTCAGCCAGTATTTTAGAGCCCCCACCCTGGTGCCACGTGGGCTGAGCAGTTCCCTCTGTGCCCTGGGCAGGTGGCCGAGGACGAGGTGAGCGACAACAGCGCCGAGTGTGTGGTTTGCCTGTCGGACGTCCGGGACACGCTGATCCTGCCCTGCCGCCACCTCTGCCTCTGCAACACCTGCGCCGACACCCTGCGCTACCAGGCCAACAACTGCCCCATCTGCAGGCTGCGTGAGCCCGGGGGGCTGGCAGGGCTGGGAATGGGCTGGCATATCTGGGAATGGGCTGGCAGCTCTGGGAATGGGCTAGCAGCTCTAGGAATGGGCTAGCAGCTCTGGGAATGGGCTGGCAGCTCTGGGAATGGGCTGGCAGCTCTGGGAATGGGCTGGCATCTCTAGGAATGGACTGGTGTCTCTAGGAACAGGCTGGCATCTCTAGGAATGGGCTGGCAGCTCTGGGAAGGGGCTGGCATCTCTGGGAATGGGATAGCATCTCTGGGAATGGGCTGGCAGCTCTGGGAATGGGCTGGTATCTCTAGGAATGGGCTGGCACCTCTGGGAATGGGCTGGCAGCTCTGGGAATGGGATAGCATCTCTAGGAATGGGATAGCATCTCTAGGAATGGGCTGGCATCTCTAGGAATGGGCTGGCATCTCTAGGAATGGGCTGGCTTCTCCCACCCTCCAGCTCTGCAGTCCCGCCAGCCCCACTGGGGATGCCCCTCTTGGGAAATGGGGTGTCATTTTTTGACAGGTCTCCTTTCCATGCCTAGTTTTCACCCCTCCCTTTTTTCCCTGCTGCCACAGCTTTCCGAGCCTTGCTTCAAATCCGAGCCATGAGGAAAAAGCTGGGCCCGCTCTCCCCCACCAGCTTCAACCCCATCATCGCCCCGCAGACCTCCGACTCCGAGGAGCACTCGGTCAGTGCCTGGCTGAAGGTGGGACCCTGGCCTCTTCCTCCAGGATGGGGAGGTTTGGGGATCTGTGTGTCTCTGAGGATTTTTTGCAAATTCATCTTGCAAAAATGCAGGGTTGCTATTACCAAAAAAAAAAAAAAAAAAAAAAAAAAAAGGTTTTTGGCTGGGTGTCCATTCTCTAGGTTTGAGCTTCTTCCTGAGCCATCTTGGTCCCACTGGGAGTGAGGGGATCAGCAAAATGGCCCAGGGAGGATCCTCACCCTATTAGCATTCAGGAACACACGTAATCACGGGATATGATTATCTGCAGGTGCTTTTGTTGAGAGCTCTGGGAATCAGGGGAACAGACCCAAATCTGACTCTGACACAGCTTTCGAGCTGAACGTATTTTATATTCTATCATATAAATTATTAAACTTATATTGTTCTATTGTATACATTGACATGAGTTTCTCATTATCTTTCTTAGGCCCCTGACCACAGTTTCTCATTATTAGTCTTACAATTAAACAGTAATTATATTTAATTACTAAACAATCATCCCATCTAACAATTATATCACTTATCATGTACTAGCTACACAGGTGCAGTTCTAGCAAGGTACAAGGTCTTCCTGTACTTAGGGTATTTATTTGTCTTTTCAGGGCCTACTAAGCTTAATTTTCCTTTTGACCCTAAATCCCCATGATTTTAAAACCCTTTTACTATCAACCCCGCGTCCCCCTCTCCGCAGTCCTCGGAGAACATCCCGCCGGGTTACGAGGTGGTGTCGCTGCTGGAGGCGCTCAATGGGCCGCTGACGCCGTCACCAGCAGCGCTGCCCCCGCGGGCACTGGGGGACCCCCCGGGCGTGGGGACCCTGCCCTCCTACGGCACCGATGGCCCCCTGCCCCCCCTGCGGGGCCTGGCACCCCTCGAGCGCCTGCCCGACTGCGGCCCCCCGGGACTCAAGCTGAAGAAGAGCATCTCCAAGTGAGTGCCAGGGTGGGTACGGGAGGCTGGAGATGCTCAGGGCTGTGGGCATTAGTGAAATCCTCTGCTTTGCCCCTTTGGCCAGGTCCATCTCACAGAACTCCTCCATCCTGCCCGAAGAGGAGGATGAGAAGTCGTGCACTGAGTCTGAGCTGAGGGTCTCCAGGAGGAGATCCCCAGCCCGGCACGAGGAGGTGAGCACTGTCCAAAACATGCTGGTGGGGCAGCAGGTTTGGAGGAGGCCTGGGACTGGAGAGACTGGCTGCAGTTGTCCCTTCTGGCTCTTCCTCCATCCATGAGAATGCCTGGAGAAGATGGGCCGTCCATGCTGAGTATCTCCTATCCCATCCTTCCTGTGGGCTCCTCTTCCAGGAATGTGGTGCAACGCCAGAGAGTGAAAACCTCACCCTGTCATCATCAGGAGCCATCGACCAGTCCTCGTGCACTGGGACACCCCTGTCCTCCACCATCTCGTCCCCAGAAGGTACAGCATGGAGGGGCTCACAGGCACTGGCAGGGCAGCAGAGCGGCATCGTGATCTCAGGACTGTCACACTGTGGCATGGCCCCTTCTTACCCTGCCATGGTGTCACCTCTCCTTTGTCACCTGTAGACCTGGAGATGGGGGTCATGGGGGCACTCATCATGCCTGTTTTGTCACCCTGTAGACCCAGAAACAGGGAGCTGTAAGCCCTGGGGACCTGCTGCTGGCAGCTTTGCGGGCATCACATCCCCATGGCATGCAGCGAGTTCTTCCTCTGCACCCCACTCCTCCTCATTAGCCCCTCTTCCTTCAGTGGGTGCTGTGCCATGACTCCCACCAGTGGGTGGGGGGGTCCAGCGGCCCCCTCAGCCCCTGCTCTCCCCCAGAGCCTGTGAGCAGCAGCCTGGCTCAGTCCGTCATGTCCATGGCCTCCTCCCAGAGCCAGCACTCCCAGCTCAGCACCGACACTGTGTCCTCCATGTCTGGCTCCTACATCGCCCCTGGCACAGAGGAGGAAGAGGAGGAGGAGGAGGAAGAGGAGGGGGACATGCTCCCCTCGCCCACGGCCGCCAGCGCCACAGCCTCTGATGGAGAGGTGGGGACTGGGGCTTGTTGGGGGAGCCCAGGCTGGAGAGCTCCCCATGGGATCTAACTCCTCCTCCAAAACCACTGGCACCCGACTTTTCTTTTTGTTTTCCTTCCCTCTTTCCCACCTTCCTTCTACAGTCAACACCCGTGGAGTCCCCAGATCTGAATTTTGTCAGCATTTCTGCCGAGGAGCGCGATGCCGAGGTAACCGTAACCATCCCACGAGGAGCTGGGAGCTGTGGTGTCACCCAGCACCGAGGGGGATCCCAGCTGAGGTGTCACCCAGCACCGAGGGGGGATCCCAGCTGTGCCCAAAGCTGGGAGCTGTGGTGTCACCCAGCACCGAGGGGGATCCCAGCTGTGGTGTCACCCAGCACCGAGGGGGGATCCCAGCTGTGGTGTCACCCAGCACCGAGGGGGGATCCCAGCTGTGGTGTCACCCAGCACTGAGGGGGGATCCCAGCTGTGCCCAAAGCTGGGAGCTGTGGTGTCACCCAGCACTGAGGGGGGATCCCAGCTGTGCCCATGAAGGGGGAAGCTGGGCAGCTGGCACCACGTTCCCCCAGAGCTGGGCTGGGGAACAGTCTGCCCACGCATCCATGTCCCTGTGGGCTGCCCTGGGGATGGATGGGGCCGTGGGGCTGTGCCCCACTGATCCATGGACGCCCCAGGGCCAGGGATGTTCCCCCAAAGGGACCTGGGGACAGCCCCTGGCACATTCCCGGGCTAACACTCGCTGCCTCTCGCCTGTGCCACAGGGCAACGATGTGCTGGAGGACGAGGACGCCTCTCCCACGCAGGAAGACGGTAAAAGGCCCTGGGTCGCTGCTGTCCCCTCGCTTTCAGCTCACTGTCACAGCGAGTGGGGGGTGCTGTGCTGTCCCCAGCTCCCCACTGCCATCAGGGACAGCCCTGGGGACCCCACGGGCGCTGAGGAACATCTGCCACAGTGGGGACACCCACGGGGGGCTGAACACCAGTGGGAGGGGGAGCCAGCCAGCCACGGGGACCCCGAGAGCTCAGTGTGGGACATGGAGCAGGCCGTGGTTGGTGTGCAGGACCCAGTGGTTTGTCCAAGGAGACAAATGGGAAAGAGGTTCCTTTCTCTCTGTGTTTTTTCCCTCGCCAAGGTCTTTTCTCACGTCTCTGAAACTGTCCCCTGTAGAAATCAGTGTCTGGGCTGATTCCCATAGGAAGGGGCTGCAGAGCTGTTCCCTCTGGGATGCTTTCCTCACTTTCTTTGGCCTGTCCTCAATGTGCTTTTGCAAGTCAACACATGCACATCGAGGGCTCCTCTCACCTCCTCCCTTGAGCTCAGACAGCCAAGGAAAGAGGTGGTCACCTCCATGCCATCGGCCACCATCTGCCCTGGATTGCTTTTGGGCAACAGGGAGGCCCACAGTGTGCCCCTCCCACATTTCCAAGTCTCTTTTTTTAGCAAAAATATGAAAAAACTTATTTCCCCATCCAAGCCGGACGCTCAGCCAAGCTGGAAAGCAGGAACACCCATGGAACACCCATCCCCAAATCATGGCCTCTGACCTGCAGAGAGGCTCGTGCTGATGGGGAAACTCAAGTATAACACGTAGGAGCAACCAGGGGTTGTGGTGGACATCCATGGGCATCCCAACAACTCTGGGAGCAGGATGGCCTTTCTCCTTAGGACACAGTCCTGTTCTCAGCAGGGCTAGTGGCATGTTTGGGAACATCCCTCCTGAGGTTCAGTCACCTGCATCTGATGGATGCAGGTAAGAACCTGGGGGCTGGTCTCTTGTAGAAGCGATGCTAAGAAGCAGAGTTACCTCCTTCATCCCTAAAAGCCTCCATCCCCCCTGCAAAAGCTTGGCTACGGCTTCTTTTGCCCCACGCATCCAGCTACTGCCTCTTCCCGGCATCCACGCAGCTCTCACTGCACCACTGGTGCCGGAGAGGCTCCTGCAGGAGGTGATGGGTGCCACCACAGCCTGGCTGTGCCAGAGGGAAGGTTTGGCTGAACCCTGGGCAGGTTCATGCTCGCGCCCGTGGCCGCATCGCCGCTGTTGCGCTGCCCTCCGATGCGGCCGGTGCGAGGAAAGGAGCAGCTGGGGCCGTGCCCAGGCGTTATTGTCCACTCTTCACCCGCTCCCACCCCGATGCATCGTTTCTGTGTCATGTTTTGTTTTGAAAGAGGCTGGGGAGGGGAGAGGAGAAGCCCCAGAAATCCCACCCCGCAGTGCACAAAGGCGACGTCGAGCCCCAGCGCGGCCGCGGCGTTAACTGCCTTAACTCCCTTCCAGGCCCGAGGACAGGCGCTTTCCTCGGTCTGAGGTGTGACAATAACAATGACATGGGCATCGCACACGTGAAAGCGCTGGACAATAAACTGTGCTCTGAGGCCTGCTTACCTGGTGAGTGGCCGTCTGCTGAACATGAACTTGGGGTGGGGGGGACAGTTCCACTCTTCCCTGCATCCCCCCAGCCCTTTGCATCCATCCCTCCTCCTCTCCCATCGCTGTCATTCCCACCATCCTGGCCACTACCATCCCTGCCAGGCTGTCCTCACTGCACCCCTCCACCCTTCCCTCTGTGGGGCTGAGCACCAGCCATAGGTCAGGGTGGCCTGTCCAGACTGGGATGTCCCCAGACTTGCTCTGCTGGGATTCTCTGTCCCTTGGCCAGGGGGCTGCTGGCACCTCAGGAGGCACCAGTCCTCCTCAGGAAGGTGGTTGTGTGGCACAGCTGTAGCCTGGTACAGGCTTGTGGTGGGCACAGCAGTATTTTGGGTTGGGATGTGATCCACAGGCAGTCCAGCTGTCCAGCAGGAGCTGCCTGCCTTCTCCTCCAAGGCCAGGGAGATGGGGTGTGTCCATCAGGTCATCTTTCTACAGAGCCCCAGCATTCATCTGTCTTTCCCATTTCTTCATGATTTCTCCCCACCCTCCTTCCACTTTTGTTTCCTCCCAGCCTCTCTCCATCCCTTTTTTTTCTTCTTTCCCCCCCAGGCTCCTCTGTCTGTGTGAAAGTTCATGTTCGCTCTGTGCCAACACAATTTTCTCCACCCACGCTTGTGCCCCTTCCCTGCCCAGAGTTGCCCAGAGGTGACAAATGTATTGAACACCCCTGGCCCCTGTGTGGAAGGGGGCAGTGGGCTGGGGACCCTGCCCGGCCCTGCAGGCTCTGCTTCCTCAGCCTGTGTGTGGGGCAACGGGCCAAAAACCAAAATAACCCCCTCCGTGGGGTCTCAGTCAATACATTTGTGGACAAGCTGAAAGCAACTCTGCCTGTGCCTTGCCACTTCAGCTGACTTTGTGGCAGGTCTCAGACTTGCAGCAGGTGCTGGAGAGCCAAGAGGGTGGGTGAAACCCACTGGAGGGAGGGGAAATCCTTTCTTCTCCCCTGCTCCTTTGGGAAAGCCTCCTCTCCTGCTGCCTTGCCTGTTCCTGGTGGTTTCTGTGCTGGAGAAACACGGCTGAGGCTCTTGGCGAGGAACAGGCACCTGCAACAAAAGCTCTGTGTCCTCTCCATCACCCTCTGTCAGCAGCTGGCTGAGTCCTGCTGGCCTGGGGGGGCTGGGGAAGGAGCTGGGGGTGTCCCAGCAGCACCTCTGCTTTGCTGGGGGGCCTGGCAAAGCATCCCCGGGCTGTGGCAGCAGCCAAAGCCAGCCTTGACTGCATCCCTCTTGGTTGTGCTGGGGGGAGGATGAGGAAGGGGGAGCTTTGCAGCCCAGATGGCTCCAGCACAGGGTCAGATTCTTGCTCTGCTGTGAGGTGTGCACTGGCCTTGTCCCCTGCCTGGGCTGTGGTGCAGGAGCTGAGCCCAGCCAAGGATGTCCTCTCCATCCTTTGGCCACCACAGCTGTCCGTGTGTCCGGCAGCTGCAGCCCTCAGCACGAGCTGTGCTGCATGAGTGGGGTGATCCAGCCTCGGCATTTGTGGGGAAAAGCTGAGGAGGTGCAGAGTGGAGGCTTTGGGGCTGTCCATGGTCCCCTGGGAATGGCAGAAACTATGTTCTCCATCTCTTTTCAGTCGCTGTAGGATATGAGGCATTTTTTCCACATAATAATGGGCAATGATCATTGTTTTCTGACTTTCCTTTTTGAGTTGTACCAGTTTGTGTAGATCAGGATGTTCCAGCAGTTTTTAGCCAGTTTTTAACAATCCATTCCAGTAGGGGTTGTGGACAAAGTGTCATAGAAAACATCTAGCCTACATTTTGGTGCACAGTTTTTGGTAGGGAGTAGCTGAAGTCACACTCTGCTCTACAGGTGAAGTTACAAATATGTGGATTGAAGCTGCTAACAAAGCTGTATCTTTGTGTCACCCACTGTTCAATTGTCACAAGGGGTTCTTAGACAGACACCCCCTTATCTTATGGACACTGGGACGGGTTCAGTGTCATTATCAGGAGACATTTCTAGATGATAGGCACAGTTCTGTGTCCAAACACACAGCTTAGGCTATCAAAATATTAATTTCACTTATAAATCCCTGTCATTCTCTCACAACACAACAATCTACATCAGTGGTTTGCCATGCAGGTGTGTGATTATTCTTAAAAGCCCATGCTCAGTGCTCCAATGGATCTAATCCCATTCCTACCACAAGGATTTGGTGCAAGTCTCTTGAGCAGTCTCCAAGCTGGTGGCATTTGATAATGATGTTTTTGTCCTCTCTCTAATGGATGAAGGTGCAGGACGTGGTTCCTCAAAGCTTCTTTTGAAATATCTGCAGATTTTAATCTGGTGGGAAAGAGCTTTGTGAGGAGGCAGAAGTCCACATTGCAGGGATTTTAGGACACGAGGTTTAACTAAAACCTTACGTGGATCCTGCAGAGCACGAGTTACAGGGGCTGTCCCCAGCGTTCAGAGCATCCTCTGGCCACAGCCTCTGCTGGGGGCAGGGTGGAAAAACAGCTTTGGAAAGAGAAACTGGGGAGAGACATCTGCCAGAAAGGCTGGCACTGAGGTGGGGGGGCTGGGGAGCTGCTGTGGAGAACCTGAAATCCCCTGAGGGCTGCTGCTGGTTTAAAGCCAGAGATGCTCGGCGCTGTGAGCAGTGGGGCGAGCTGGTTGGGTTCCACCAGGATGGGATTGGGATGTGCCCAGGGCCCTGACAGCAGGGCAGACCCCTCCAGCAGCACCAGGGCTGGGAGATGGGTGGGCACAGGGCTGATGCCCTGCTCCACACCGTGTCCTGCTGCCCCAGCCCTGCTCCTCGGCTGAGCAGAGCTGTGTCTCTGCACTGGAGCACTGCAGTGACTGAGGCAATATCAAGCTCTTAATGGGATTTCCGTGTGCGTGTACGTGTGCTCCTGTTTAATTATCCATTCCCCCCGGGATCTGCAGACTTACCGTGCCTCGCTCTCCAGCCTGAGCTCGCCATGAAAAGCCACTCGAAATGGCAGCTGTCGCCTCCCATAAATCAGCAGGCAGCAGGATTTTGTTGCTCCCCCTCTGGGAAAGCCTCAGCCCTTGGCCTTGGCATGGCCTCACACAGTCCTTCCAGCTCAGAGCTGCCCTGGGCACAGGGCTTAACCTGGCTGGAGGTGCAGCCAAGCTGCCTTAGGGGTGCACCCCTTCCTAAGGGCACCACGCAGCCTCTGATGGGTTTGGAGGTGGGACACAAGCCCGGGGCCGAGCTCTGCCATCCCCCTGCCCCAGCTGAAGGCTGCTGCCGGGACTGGGAGTCTGCAGCTGGAGAGGAGGCACATGGGGACCCAGCTGCCCCCACACCACAAGCATGTCCACCCCTCAGTTCCCCTTGGCACCAAACCCCGGGGGGCTCCACGCATGGGGACCCCTCACCCCGTGCCCAGCGGCAGCTCCCCCATCTCCCAGACCCCTTCACAGGCGACGAGACCGCCGGTCACCCGCTCGTGTGCATGTCCCCGTGTCCCCGCGCCGCTCCCGCCTTCACCATGTGCCTTCTGGTCTCTCCTGCCACGCAGCCGCCGTGCCGGACTCCTGCCCCATTAACATTGAGGAATAGGTGAGACCATGAGACCATCCCCAGAGCTGCACCTGCCTCGTGCCCTGTCCCCCGGGGGGTTGGCACTGGGTTGTCACCCATTGCTGGTGTCCCCCTCAGAAGGGGACGTGCCTTGGTGGAGGCCTGCAGCCCCACAGGACACCTGCATGTGGGCACAGGGGGCATGGGTGGCCCCCTGCATTTGGGTTATTTAAACCCAGCGATGGTCGTGCTGTGCTTCCCGTTTAGCCCCTCAGCATTCCTGAGAAACTGGGAGTTTAAGGGGCTCCCCCAGCCTGGAGAGGTAAGTGCAGGCACCCCCCAGCCTTCACTGCAGCCAAAACCCAACGGGGGGCTGGGGAGGCGGGCATTACTTGGGAGAATAAATCACATCCCCATGGAGAAATGAGCCCAGTGCACCAGTGGGCTTTGGGAGCCCCTAACCCCCGTTTTCTCCCCCCAGGCCCAGAGGCAGCCAACAACAACGTGGGGCTGCAGCAGACCTGGCCCCGCTGCCCCCCTGGCCCCCGGGACCCGGAGCGTGCAGCGGCCGCCCTGCCCATGTGAGGGCTCAGCCTCGGTGGGGCACAGACACCCCTGCCCACCCAGGGGGACCCTGGTGTCTGGGCACCGTGGGCATCGTCACTGCCACCCCTTGGCTGGACCAGGACTGATTTTCAAAACAAAAGATGGTAACCTCGACTTTTCTGTGGGGGCTGAAAGCCATGTTACTTTGGAGCCCCCTACTAGCACCTTCCAGCCCCAACAGGGACAAGCTGGGGTCCCCTCCTGCCCCCCCAGTCATCTTACACCCCCAGGCTCATCTCCACCAAGCTGTGAAGCAGATGGGACGGGGTCACCTCACCGAGGCAGTTCTGGGATGTGGGTGGGTGGGGACAGTGGGGGATGCTGTTCAGGGGTGCGGGTTGTAGGATGAGCATTGGGATTGGCATCCTTGGTGCATGAGCTGCTGACTTTCATGGGGGGCCGCCCCCACCCCAAGTTTGCTGACCTGTGCCCTTGCCCTGCTGTGCACTGTCCCCAGGCCACGGGATGTCCCCATTAATGCACTGGCAGTAATGGTGCCCCCATAGCTCCCCCTCCCTCTGTTTTTCTGAGCAGCCTCTGGGCTCCTGAGGTGTGGCAGGGATGGGCAGGAGGCCTGGTACTGCCCCCAGCCCATGGGGCACTGACAATTTCTCCTCTCTGTCTTCCGCCCTGCTGTGAGCTCAGGGCTCTGGGCTGTGCCCTCTCTCTGGAACAAGTGCCAAAAGTGTCACCCCCATGCCACCCATCCTGCCCTCCCCATAACACGTTGTAGCAAGGGGTGGGTGAGGCTGCCCCCATCTCCATCCCTCTGGGCTGACAGCAAAAGTGGATTTTGCTCTAAGGGCAGACACACAGGGATAGTAAAGCAGGAGGAATAAAGCCACAGACCCTGGGGGCCTGGTGGGGCCACTGGCAGTGCCAGGCTCTGCTCCAGAGAGCACCAGGGACAGTCAGAAATCTCTTGGAGCCCCATCAGACCCCGCATCCCAAGCTAGCGGGCTCTGGGGCTGTTTGGGGCAGCCCAGGGTGGGAAGCTGAGCCTCCCTTTTCCCCACCTGGTTTTGTCACATGGCTGTGGCAGCAAAGGCCACCTCCTCTTTGCAGGACACAGCTGTGTTTCAGAGCCACCTTAGCGCAGAGATGTTCCTGCACTGAAAGCAGCATCCCTGGAGGGGGTGGTGTGGGAAGCAGGTTCCCAGTGCCACCCCCACAGGCTGTGCTGATGATGGCTGTGGCTCCCAAAGAGGGATGAAGCCCTTTTTGGGGCTGGGGGGTGTTTTCTCTGCCTGGCTCACAGCCAAGGCCGTGATAGCTGCTTGCTCCGTGGCCCCAGTGTGGGTCCTGCCAGAGGTGGGTTTGGAGCCAGCCATCCCACTGCTCTCTCCTCTGGGCTGGCTGTGTCTCCTCTAAGCTCAACAGCTCCCAAATTCCTCCCTGGGACGCCAGGGCTGGGTGCTTGATGTGAGGGGGTGACATCTCCAAAAGGCCATCCTGAGGGCTGAAGTGGTGGGGACAAGCCTTGTGCCCTGTTTGGGGACGTGCTGGGTGTCCTAAGGAGCCACAGCACCACACAGGGAGAGCTTTGGAGGTTGTGCTGAGCTAAGAAAACCACGGCAGCCATCTCTTCCCTAAATCTCAGCACGGGCAGGGGGGAGAAAACCGGGCTGATGCTCCAGGGCACCTCCTCTACCAAAGCCCAACCTTCCTCGTGGTTTCAAAGGGGACAAGGACAGCTGGCCTGGCAGCCTGGCACAGGCTGCTTGTGGCTGCCAGCAGAACGAGGAGGACTTAGGAGTGACCGGGAGGGTTTTGTGGCTCCTGGGAGCGGTGGAAAGGTTGCAGGAGCCCCCAGACAAACGCAGTGCTGCTGCCTGGCTGCCAGCGAGGAATCCATCCTCTGGGTGGCACAGGAGAGACGGGATTTGGGCGTGGGTGACATCAGTGCCATCCTCGGCCACCCTGAAGGGATAAGGGGCAGGCAGGAGCTGCCAGCTGGAAGGTGACAGCCCCTTGTTCCAGCGACCCACGTGTCAGGGATTGAAGGAAGGAAACCAGATTGCTGCTTATGATTTTGCTTTGAGCATGTCTTGGGTTTTAAGAGTATGTTTAATAAAGGGTATCTTACGTGGACAAAGTGTCCAGAGTCATTTTGTGGTGGCAGGGTGAGGGCAGTTGGGGTTTGGGGGACTTGGTGTGTAAAAACCCTTTTTGGCTGGGAGCACCCACTCACCTGTCAGCCAGGTACCTTCTCCAAAACAGCCCAGCTGATCCAAATGTCCTAAAACACTTCCCAATCTGCATTCCCAACTATCCTAGATCCTGCCAGGATGGAGAAAGGGCAAATGCAAACGAAAGCTCTGCAGGAAGTCTGGCCTGGGGTAGAGGCATCCTCCTGTTGTGTGGTGTGGGTGGCCCCTGTCACTGCTGGGATGGATGAGGACACCCAGAGGGAACTTTCCCTGAGGGAGAAGAGGAGCAGCAAAGATAAGGCGATAAGGTGATTGATAAGGGGATAAGGTGATAATGGGATAGGGTGATAAGGTGATAAAGAGATTGATAAGGTCATCGATAAGGTGCTAAGATGATTGATAAGGTGCTAAGGTGATAGGGTGATAAGGTGAGAGGGTGATAGATAAGGTGATTGATAAGGTGATAAGGTGATTGATAAGGAGATAAGGCGAGAAAGTGATAAGGTGATTGATAAGGGGATAAGGTGATAAGGGGATAGGGTGATAAGGTCATAAAGAGATTGATAAGGTCATCGATAAGGTGATAAGGTGATTGATAAGGTGATAAGGTGATAGGGCGATAGATAAGGTGATTGATAAGGGGATAAGGTGATTGATAAGGTGATTGATAAGGTGATAAGGTGATTGATAAGGTGATTGATAAGGTGATAGGGTGATAAGGTGATAGGGCGATAGATAAGGTGACAAGGTGATTGATAAGGTGATAAGGTGATTGATAAGGGGATAAGGTGATTGATAAGGGGATAAGGTGATAGGGTGATAGATAAGGTGATAAGGTGATTGATAAGGTGATAGGGCGATAGATAAGGTGATAGATAAGGTGATAAGGTGATTGATAAGGGGATAAGGTGATTGATAGGGTGATAGGGTGATAAGGTGATAAGGTGATAAGGTGATAGATAAGGTAATAAGGTGATTGATAAGGGGATAAGGTGATTGATAAGGTGATAGGGTGATAAGGTGATAAGGTGATAGATAAGGTGATAAGGTGATTGATAAGGGGATGAGGTGATAAGGTGATAAGGTGACTGATAAGGGGATAAGGTGATTGATAAGGTGATTGATAAGGGGATAAGGTGATTGATAAGGTGATTGATAAGGTGATAAGCTGATTGATAAGGTGATAAGGTGGGTGATAAGGTGATAAGGTAATTGATAAGGTGATTGATAAGGTGATAAGGTGGGTGATAAGGTGATAAGTTGATTGATAAGCTGATAAGGTGGCTGATAAGGTGATTGATAAGCTGACCCCGGATCCCCCAGCTCGCCCCGGGCTGGGCGGGGTCCCGCGCCGCTGGGCACCGCCCCCGTCCCCATGGCAACGCGCGGGCCAATGGCGTGCCCGGAGGATGTTTACGGGGCGGGGCGTTGCTGTGGCAACGCGCGAAGCCTCCGGAGCCGCTACTTAACCCGGCGGGGCGGCCGCGGCTCACGGCGGCTCGGCGGGCACGGCCCGGCCCGGCCACCGACACACCGCGGCTCCCTTTCCCTTTGCTTTTGGTCCTCCCGCATCCCCTTTTATTTTTTTTTGTATTTTGTTTTTTGTATTTTTTCCCCGTCCTTTCCGGTTTTTCCAGAAGCTTCTTAGTGTGTCGTGAACTTTGCCTCTCGGGGAACGACAGCGACACCGGGACGGGGTAAGGGGATGCGGCGGGGCCGAAGCCGCCGTTAGGGGCGGTGGGTCTGCGTGGGGAAGCGGCTTTGGTTATGTGCCCTCCCGGCCCAAACGCTCGGGATTTCGGGTTTGCATTCACATCCCCGACACAGGACTCCCCAAAGTCTGAAGCAGGCTCGCTCTGACTGTGGGTGTGCTTGGGGTGGGACCCCACCAGTTTCCCCAAACAACCCCTGAGTTGTTTCTGGGTACCACAGGAAGTAAAAGCAGAAATAGCATCAAATCAAGAGAAGTTGGCTGCGAGGGGGGAAAATTTTAAAGTATTTTGCCCTGGTGTGGAATGCTGAGAGTTAGTCCTGTGAGTGCCAGGCATCCAGAATGTGTGTTCCCAAGAAACATTCTGACTTTTTGGGATGGCAGGGCTGGATTTTGGTATTTTTCGGTGTTTTCTCTTGGGTTTTTAAAAATTCTTTGTTCAGCCAAGAGCTTGCTGGGCAGCGGGTCGGTGGGTGACACTGAGGTGTAGGAGTTTGAGGGAAGTTCCCCGAGGTTCCAGGGTGCTAAAGCCCCTCGGGGGAGGCATTGCAGGTCCCTTGCAGAGCACAGCAGGGATGGGTCTCACCCAGCAGCGCCAGGAGCACCCAGGGCTGGCCCTGCCTGGTGTCCCTTGGGGAACCTCACCCTGTCCCTGTTGTTATTGCAGGATCTGCCCCATCCCTTCCCTCCCGTCCACGTGCAGCCCGAGAAGAACTGAGGGAGGCATGGCGTGGCCGAGCCGAGCGCTGAAAGCCAAGGGCAAACTGAAATGCGTGGAGGAAGACCTGGATGACAGCCTGCCAGACCTCATGTGGCTGAGGGACTTCACAGTGGCCCAGACTGGCCTGCCTCAGTTATACTCTGGCTCAGACCCCCAGGACTGCTACACCATGAGTGAGAGTCTGTTCAGCCTGGTTGATTTTGAGTCCCCGTGCTCGCCCCTGGCTGCTGACCCGGCCTGCAAGGGCACACGGCACACCCCCTGCACGCCCGTCTCCTCCTCCACCTCCTCCAGCACACACCACGACCTGCCTGTGCCCCCTCATCTGGCAGGGGACATCGACTACAAGACCAACCCTCATGTCAAGCCACCCTACTCCTACGCCACCCTCATCTGCATGGCCATGGAAGCCAGCAATAAACCCAAAATCACCCTCTCTGCCATCTACAAGTGGATTACTGACAACTTCTGCTACTTCCGACACGCTGATCCCACCTGGCAGGTAGGAGATGTGGAGCTTTGGCCACATCCCTGCAGGCTGAGCAGGGCTTTCCACAACCTCCACCCTGCACGACGAGATCCTGCAGGGGTGCTGGATCCCACTGGGAAGAGAGTGACACCAGTGGGGAGGGGCTGGAATGGGAAAGAACTAAAGAACTTGGCTGGGCACAAATGCCACGGCCACAGGGGGGGCAGAGGGAAGGAGACATTTGGGGGGAGAGCCTAGGATCACTTTGGGAGCAGGGAGGTACACGTTGGGCTCCTGGCACCTGAGGCTCCTCTTGGCTTCAGGGCAATTTCCTCTTGGTCCCTACATTCCTGGAGTTCTCATGGAGTTCCTCAGGGTTGAGCACACATGGAGAAGGTGCCAGGTGGAGTGTCCCTGGGTGCTGAAAACCAGGCATGGGAGAGGGATGGAGATGCCACTTGTTGGACAAGTCTCTCACTGGGGAGGTTCTGAGCAGAAATGCTGCTGCTTTCTAAGCAGGGCAGTTCTGGGCTGCTGGCCCCAGGGACAGGCCAAGGATGCTCCATCACTGGGATGAGCTGGTGAGACCTGCAGAGGGAAGTCCTAGAGGGGTTAACTCATGCTGCTGTCCTCAGCTGGCACAAGCATGTCCCCAGTGAGGAGGGGACAGCCCAGTCCCCAAGCTCACAAGCTTTGGGGACAGCCCAGGGGTTTCCCAGCCACCCTGGCTCACTGCCCTCCTCTGGCACGTGAGGTTTTCTAGGATATGGCAGGGCTGGAGGGCCCTGGGGGCTCATCCCTCCACTACGGCTTATTCCCATCCCAAATCTGCAGTCCTGATGGCAGTGCCCATCCAAGCAGAGCTGGAGAACCCCACTGCAAAGCCCAGGCATTGCCCACCTTCTCTCCAGGCAGGTGGGTCTCCAGTGGCTCTTGAAGCCCATCATGGGGAAGGAAACCTTTCCTGATCCCCCTCCAGGGCCATCTTAGTCCCCCTCTTACACTCCTATGAAAGTGATTTGGAAGCAGGAGCTGGGTGCCAACAGGTTTACTTTCTCCTGTGCGCTTCATGGCTGGGAATTCGCAACATTTTTAATTAAATGTGTTCATTATAAAAAGAAAGAAGGTTTTCAATCCCTCTCTGCAGAGATGCAGGGGGTATCCTGGACTGTTGCAGGCAGGAATGATAAATATGTTGACTGGCTGAGTAATAATTCAGCCTGGGCTGAGCGAAGTTTGGGAAGGGGAGGAGAGATGGGCAGCAGAGAATTCAGCTTTCAAGCCTCTGATCCTCGTAAAATTTCATTACACAGTAAAATTGGAGTTACCACAGCCTGGATTGTGTGGGGGAATATCTGTGTTCCTGCTTCTTCTTTCTTCTCTTTTCTTTTTTAAAATCTTTTGTTTCTTTTCACTTTTTTTTCCCCCTTCCTTTCTCTTTTTTTTTTTTTCTTTTCTTTCTTGTCGAGGCTGTGTTCTCATCCCCTATCCCAATTCCCGTACGTGAAGACAGCCTGGAAAGGTCATGCCACCCATAGTCTGGGGGGAGATGGATATATTCCTGTGGGAGCTGAGTGCTTTGGAGAGGAGCCAACAAACCCAAGGAGCTTCAGCCCAGAGGAGGGTTTTGTTGTGTGTGTGTGTGTGTGTGCATGTTTTTCAACAGCTCTAAGCAATTGAGCCTTGTTTTTCCTATTCGGCACCACAGATTATGGATGAATAAGCATAAAGATATCCAGGCAACATTAAAAAAAACCCACCTCTACCATATCCGATCTTTCAGTACAGTCCTGGCTTTGTGGTGTCCAACGCTGGGTTATTTGCCCAATAACTGAATTTCCTTTCTGATTATTCACATCACTCCAGGCACATTCAGGGTTTCAGAACAGCTCAACGGGAGCAGAAACTCCTCCTTTTCTTCCCCCATCCCCACCTTTTTTTATCCCCTCAGCTTATTTGAGCAGTGGCTGATGAAGATGCAGTGATTTCACACCGAGCTTCCCTGGGCCAGAGGCACCTCTGGGGACACACAGGGTGGAA